TCTCAATACGTAAGTCTCAGCGAAACTTCGTCTGGGTACCTCATGCGTCGATAGAACTAATAAGATCTTCACCAATAGGCACCTAGCACAAGCTATCCGCCAAGGGCAAGCTCTTGGTCTTGACCGGGAAAGTCCACCATCCATCTCGGATTGCCTTGAGAGGGAATTACGGCACAGAGTTTGGTGGGATCTGGCTGGGGCAGATACGTACGTTCATTGTTGCTTGCTGAGGTGCGGAAAACGGTTCTCTAACATGACGCAGGTTCCAATCACTCTGTCTAGGAAGACCTCCTTTGCTGCAATCGCATCTCTCCAATGTCCCATTCCCTTCCAACTGTAACGATGTCGACATCAACTCTGTCTGTGCTCAAGTCAAGCCTCTGAACGAGCCGACCGAGATGAGCATGCACCACTTTCGCGGTCGAATCTTCAAGGTCTTCAACAAGCTGTGGTTGGACAACGGTGCAAACCTCGGTTCTCATGATTTTGTGTCAAGCATCGATGCTGAGCTTACGGCTATCACCGACCAGTTTCCGTGGTATTTCAAAGACCCAGCACGGAGTGTGGAAAGCAAGGCTCCGGCACTTCCACCAAACTTTGGCTTTGTTCTGTGGGGTCACCATCTACTAGACAGTTGCATAGCAGTTCAGAGAGTACGGATGTACCGACCATTCCTTCAGCTCAAGGCCGGCGAAATGTTCCAACGCTGTGTCGCGGCGGGGTCGTCGACATTGACGCTGTACAAGGCCCTTCGCTCCCCCGACGAGGCACGTTTCCGACGATCAGATAAGTTGCGAATCCAGGCGTATCACGTTATTTCAGCCGCCATTGTTCTTGCTACTTTTCTTCTGGTAGAACAACCCGCCAACGCAGCCTCAATCCGCCATGATATTGAGATGATAGCTTCAGACTTGCAACCCCCCGCACCGGGAACTACAGAAGACAAACGCTCCATCGCAACTATCGACGACGGCCTCAAAGTGCTGCATCAGATCTTGTCTATATCCGACAACAAAGCTTATAATCTTTCACAAGATACTGCAGGCCCTGCGGCGCTGGCACCAGGGATTTCTTCCGTGTTCGGCGGAGAAGCCACAGCTCGCAGATATCTCGAGAGATGCGCTTTCAAGTATCTTGGATGTGATGATGTAATTCACAATGGACAACCCATGGCTTTAGCCACTTCAGCCAGTGCTTCCAGTTGGGAGGCACTGATGGATCCTTCGTCGTGGGGCGAATGGGGTGATGGGTTCTGGGCAGAATTGGACCTGGCCATGGGAGAGGGCTCAGGAGAGATTTGAAGCTCACAAAGAGAAGATCTCAGCACTTTAAAAACCGCGATGTTATGCTCTGTCCTAAGGTCTCTGTCAAGTGAAGATATTTATTCTATTGGGTATCTTGACCATCCGCGCTGCTTTGTCTGTTCTTTGCAAAGTCATACGATGTGGATCACAACTTAAAAGACGAAGTTGGAATTTCTCTTCTTACCGCTGAGGTCGAAAACCACTTAGTTTTTGTTAATTGTTTTCACAGTTTCATTTCGTCGCAATGAATATCTGCCTCGACCCATTCTGAGCTTACCGCTGAGCTTATCGTTGATCGTCTTGGAACATTTTGGTTGTGTTGACTTCGCTGTTCAACTTTCATGTTGACTTGATCTCATTCTCTTGGTAATCGAGAGCACCGCAGTGAAAGTTCAAGACTAACTGAACAATTGGCTTTTAAAGTGAGGTGGTTGGTGGCCATCGGCTTTTATATCCGCTTTGGTGGTGGGTATTCCGCGGGGAATGTTTCGTGTTGGCTGCGTAGCGTCAATGCCATCTTTAACCGGACCAACTCAACAAACAAAACCAAAACCCACGATGACCAGCAGGTCAGCGGGGGTTCGGAGACTCATCATTGGCGGTGTATCCAGGAAACTCTGGGGGGATACGCGGGGATGCTCGGGCTTGGCGGCATTCGGGGCAGTTGGCCATCCTTGGACGTCCGGCAAATGGGCGTCGTGCGTTAGCGTCCCCGTGGGAGCTGTTGCGGGCCACTACGGGCCATTTGCGGGGGCGGGGATGCAGTAGCTCCAGTAGCTCGACACAGGGCCGTTCCACCCAGCCCAGGGGCTGCTGCCGGGATAGCTCCCCAAAGCTCCCCAAACAGGGAAAATATCGCCGACACGCGCCCAACAAATCCAATCGGAAGACGCGAGACGGTGACATGATGTAAGGAAAAGCAAGACACCCCGACTGCGGACATCGTCCGATATAAATATCACGGCGGGCAATACCTCGAGCACTCGGACAGCTCAGTTCAACTTTCGTGAGCTCGATCGATACCCCTCCGCCTCTGCCTCCTCTTCACCTGTCAAACAACGACTTCCCATCACGTCCATACCTTACTTTACGACCTAACAGAGTCAGCAAAATGGGCAAGCCTATCGTTCTCCAGCTCGGCGACGACATCAAGTGGAACCATGACCTCTACAAGGACTTTGGCTCCAAGTTCGAGATCCGGCGCTCCTACAGCATGCCGCGCGCCGAGTTCATCCAGGCGCTGAAGGACAAGAAGTTCGGCGACTTCTTCGCCATCTACCGCCCATTCTGGAACACGGGAGGAGAGATGGGCAACTGGGACAAGGAGCTGATCTCGCTTCTACCCTCGTCATGCAAGGTCTACGCCAGTGCTGGAGCTGGGTTCGACTGGGTTGACACGGAGTCGCTGGCACAGCGGGGTAAGTCGCTCGGACGCTGCAACGAAGCCATCGATACTTTGTGCCAATTGCTGCGACTACGTTGTCGCCAAGCAGGACTAATCATTCTACAGGAGTGACTTATTGCAACGCCGCCGCGGCCTGCACGGAATCTGTCGCCGACGGCGCCATCTGGCTCCTCATCTCCATCTTCCGCCTCTTCTCGTGGTCATCCACCGCCGCGCGCTCAGGCGACCCCGACCAGTTCGTCGACGCCAACAAGAACCTCGCTGTCGTCTCGCGCAACCCCAATGGCTTCAGCCTGGGCATCATTGGCTTCGGCAAGATCGGGCGCAGAATTGCAGAGAAGGCTTACCGCTCCCACGACATGAAGATCCTGTACAACGACGTCGTCCGCATGCCTGCCGATCTCGAGAAGTCCACGGACGCGACATACTACAAGAACGTCGACGACCTGCTCGCCACCGCTGACTGCGTCTTGGTCGCGACGCCTTTCGCCGGCAAGACGCTCCTCGACGCCCAGGGAATCGCAAAGATGAAGAAGGGCGCCAAGGTCATCAACATTGCCCGCGGCAAGTTGATTGACGAGGATGCCCTCGTTGCTGCGTTGAAGAGCGGCCACCTGTCCGCCGCTGGACTTGACGTTCACTTCAACGAGCCCCATGTCAGCAAGGAGCTCATCAAGATGAGGAACGTCGAGGTTCTGTCGCACAATGCTGGAGCTTCACTAGATGCTCACATCGGCTTTGAGAGACTGGGCATGGAGAATATTCTGTCCTTCGAGAAGACGGGCAAGGCCATCACCCCGGTCAATGCCCACTTGATCAAGCAAAGCCGTCTGTGATGGGATGAGATGGATTGGGAAAAGCCGACATGAATCTGTATTTATAGCAGGGAAACTTTGGAGTTATGCGGTGGAAACTTGGACGAGGGAAATATCATGACCAAAAAAAGACAGTTTTACAGCCACCTTCTTTTGCACATTTACCGACGTGACTACTGTTAATTTCTCTTTCAACGCGCGTGCATGAGATGGGACTTCGTAGACAGCGCTGGATGGGAAAGGCAACCCTCAAAAGAGTCCGTAAGTAGGCTACAATAAACCTCGTGCATAGACTATAGATTTGCGGAAACGGAAGTCCCTGAGTGTTTCGTGCATAGCTCTTAGTGCTACAAGTTGCTTGCCTGTGTCAATTACACTGATTGAGTTGTTGAGGATGAAGAAATCAACATCCATGCTCTCATCGGCCAATCATGTACGAGTAAGGCTTTGGAACCATGTTTCTCAGACATCATTGTGCCTCTAAATTCATCCTAGCCGTCGTGACAGTTGACCGTTCGGTCCACACCCAACACCGAGAGCCGCTTAGACGACTACCAAGGATCGATTTGGCTCCCGCACTCCCACCGGTAACTTTGGCGGAACAAACTTTGCCACTAAGACGAAAGTGCTATCCAATCCTTGGCCTTGGTCCAAGGCATGTCGGACATGTCTCACGTAGCCAATGACGACGTGGCAATTGGATATTGACGATACAGGTTACGCAGCAAGCGGCATCTGATAGTCCTACTGTCCGAAGAGGGGCGGGATTTTCATGAAACTTTATTCCGACTGCTTACAAAATAGGTCCAACGTCTTGCAATCATTTCTTGTCGCGTTCCATTGGTTTGAAACCTACATTCCAGCTCTGTCCTGATACCTGCAACTTCCAATTTGAGGTGGTCTAATGCCATCCCTAGCTGAGCCCCGTCACCGGCGACTAACAGTCAATATAACAAGCACCCTGTAGCCCTCTTCCCATCCGCCTCGACGGGCTGTCTTCTCACGAAGCAAAATGGCTCTTCTCAGTCCGATCACGATGCTCGTTGCTCTTGTTATTCTCGGCATAGCCGTAACAGTTCGCGTGAGTCCAAAGATTTTTCCGTTGCTGGCCGCCAGCTGCCTGATGCTGATCTCGCGATTTAGCTTGCCGTGGCTGCTATATCCTCGCCTTTGAAGCACATACCTGGACCCTGGTATATCAACTTCACGCATTGGGTTCTGAAATATTACACCGTCGCGGGCCAGCGATGTTGTTGGACACCTAGCTTTTGGAGAGTCTTTCGAGCTGTTAGAGCTGGGCAAGGTACGTCTTGATATCTCGCATCATACTAAGAGCAAAAGGCTGATGATATCAATCATTAGAAGAACCGATTCGTCGAGGTTCTTCAGGCAGCAGCTGCTGCCAGTGCCCGACGCATCGAGCTGCCGTGGCTACACGCTTTCATCAGTCATCTCTCACGGCTTTCACCCAGGACAATGCAGCTGCTAACCAACACGAGAGGGGAGATGATCAGGTACGGCCAGAAAGCTGTCGAAAACCTGCGCCGAAATAAGGATAACAAGGCGAATCTGTTTGCTACGATCCTGGCTGAAAGCGAAACCAACGAAAAGTCTAAGCTTACTGACGACGTTATCCGGGTAGAAGCCTCTAACATGCTCATTGCTGGGTCAGATACGCTCTCGAACTCACTGACATACGTCGTCTGGGCGATTCTGAAGAGACCCGAGCTCCAACGGCGGCTCGAGGATGAAGTTGCAGCTTTGGACGATCATTTCGACGACGTTGTTCTGGAAAAGCTTCCATTACTGAATGCTGTCATCTACGAATCGATGCGTCTCTACGGCGCTGCATCGGGCAGTTTCCCTAGAGAGACACCGCCGTGCGGAGCTACCATTGGAGGTTACTTCATCCCTGGAGGTACGGAAGTAGCACTGCAGGCGTACACTATCCATCGCCTTTCCGAAGTGTTCTCAGACCCCTTGAAGTAAGTTCCGCATGCTCTGCTTCGTGACGTTGGTGACATCGTTTTGCTTATCTCCATTAGATTTGACGAGTCTCGGTTCATGCCCGGAGTTCCGGCCGAGCGGCAGAAGCAACTTTTCTCGGCATTTGGTCATGGGTCACGATCGTGCATTGGAATTCACCTGGCCTGGATGGAACTGAGGCTGGCCATCGCTCTGTTGTTCCGGAAGTGTCGGGGTCTGCGGCTTGCAGACGATATCACGGACGATATGATGCACATGGTGAGTTTTCTGGTTATAAAGCCAGCGGGAAACACATGCGATGTGACGTTATGCAAGAAGTAAGCAGGACCTCTTGGGAATCGTTAGAGTACAAGAGAAACTCTACAATCTGTGGCATCGTGAAAAACTGCGTAATTGACTCTCTGCCTTCCCTTCATGGCCACCTCGTTCTCGTCTTGTAGAGCCCAATGCCGATGACCATACGAAACTGGCTTTCTCTTGCTGGGCCAACCCCTTGTCTATTCTCTCCTTCAGTCTCCTTCAAAAACTATAGAGTCGCCTCTCTCTTCCGCCTTGTCCTTGTCGTTCGAGTAATATGGTTCCGATCATTTTGAGCGAGTGTCGTGAGAGACATTCTAACAGAGGCGTCGCGATTTGGTCGTGCGTAAGACCATTCCATTTTGGAAAGCAAATTTTCATGGTCGTAAATGAAAGCCGTGTGCATCATCACTTCCAAGCCTCTTGATGTAGTTTCGTTCTCTAGCTTTCCGACTGAAGATTTATGCGCCCGGACATGACCCGACCGGAAGACAGCGCGAGCGGAATGCCAAGATGATAGTCGATCTTTCAGGCCCTTGGAAAGCTGAGCATTGCTGTATCCTTGTCTGTACATGCGCGGAATAGATGTCAGGCTCGCCGGAAGCTGACAGACATATTGACTCATGTCGAATTGTCTCATTTTCACATCACTTGTCCCAACTATCCCGCATGCAAAGTATCAGCAATGCTGCAGGTCGCTATCTTAGACATTTAACGCACTCTCTTTGAGGGACTTCATTAGTCGCTAGATCAGCCCTCCGAATTTGCCGCGGCCTCATTGCCTACTTAGCCTCTTGACTCTAAAGTAGAATTCCACGGCATGGCAGCGCGACATCTGCCGCAATACAGTTGCATGCGTGAGTAGGTATTTCCTTGTTTCGCTCCTGCTGAAAGCTGAGAAGCACAATGACCCAGAACAATATTCAATCCTCAATTTGGTGAACAGCATCCGATTACCGCAGTACTTGGCTTTTCCCTTCGCATGGGCAACCCAGCATGGATAAGTAGCCGTTCCATCTGAGGCAAAACGGGTGTGACAGGTTCTAGAACCTGTAGAAAACCCGACTGTGCGGGGAGAACCTCTTAACCGAGCCTAATAAAGTGTGAGGTGAACAGGTGCTCCTAAAAGCATCAGTCCGCTCAAGTTGGACTTTCGTCGGGTTTACGATCAGAACATCTGTTCATGACTCATGTTCCCGCCAAGCTACAGAGTTTCAGGGACTATTCTTTTTTTTTCTTTCTTCGCTTGCTTTACTGTCTTGACTCGAGGAAGCTGAGCAATCTTCTCATTGGCCTCCACGCCGTTAGTGAAAGAAGGTTAGTGGTTGTTCATCTTGAAGTCCTCGAGAACCTTTCGTCTTTTTGGTTTAACCGCCAACACAGAAGGGCGAAGTATGGGAAAAACGTAAGTGCTTTCTATCTTTACATTTTGCGTGGTCGAATTGAAATTCCTTTGAGTGTGCTAAGTTTTCCTGTGATTCTGGACCCAGGACAAACAACCCAAGACAGCAGAGGGGCGGTACATGACGATTAAAACATCCAGCAGGTACATCGTGTTTCGCAAAACTTTTTTCATATATGCATACGTTAGTGGGCACTTTTGTCAACGTGGCTATTCTCGAGAAGGGAAGCATCACTGGTCTTCATTTTCTGAAGCACAGAACCCCCCAGACAGAACAACATGTTGTATCCTGAACCCCAGTGAACTTTAAACTTGAACATGTTAGGGGAATGTCCAGGATCAGTGCCGTGCGTAAGTACAAGTCATGTTGATTGGTACATCTTGTGACACTATACACCGGTAAGATACGTGTAAAAACATACAAAAGGCCGTGGGAAGCCTTAACCCACAGTTGCTTCTGATCATCAGCTTTCTATCCCATCACTACAGTCTTTCGTTCAGACCGAACTCACACTCACTGTCAATATTCAAAGGTCCTTCCGACTCAAAAAATAGTGTAAGCTACACGTCGGTCATTGGCTTGACTTGGTAACAAATGCTAATGTAAGAAACTCTTATAGCAACATGGTTCGCATCACCTCTGTCCCTGCAGTTCTCGCTGCTGTCACCTCGGCCTCAGCCCTGCGATGCAACATCCAAGTCCGCAACTCCGTCGGCGGAGTCGTTGGAAGCTCTTGTGTCGACGCAGGCGCCACTGGATCTGTTAAGAGCTCTCAGTCCGGCGCTACGATAAACTTCAAGACCTCCACCAGCTGTGGCGTTGATGCCACTGGTGGTCTTGGCCCCAACGAGTCTCTCTCCAACGGTGGCAACTGCTAAACGGTCTGCATCTCTCACGATTTACGCCCCATGCAATCTCAGAACGGCCTGCTAGGGTTTGAACTAAGGACACGCAATTATGCTAGGCACGTCAGCGGTACTGCAATAGACACATAGATCTTCGTCTTCACGTCATGCTTCCGCATAGTCTTCACTTCCTATGTTCATTTCTGTGAATTTTGGGCTCTTCTAATATGAAAAGGGTCGCTGGATGTCCGCATTTCCCTGGGAAACTTCTCTCGTTCTATCAAAGTAATATCAGGCATCGTAATGAGCCCAAAGCCAGAATTAAATCCATCATTCTGTCGTCACATGAGGGTTCAGATACAGGCAGGAGAGAAGGGGTTCACTTGACATCTATCTGTGAGGTAGCTTCCTAGATCATGTTGGTAGGCTTATTTCTACATCTGCAGATCTCGGAGATTGATAAGATAAGTCGACTTGGCAACTACTCAGATGAGAACTGTCGACAAGCCCATTGATATCGGGAGCAACGAACTGTCAAACTTGACAATACGTCCTGCAACGTTGCGAGATAGCATAGATACAATCGTCGAGCTATCTCATGCGCCAAGTCGGTAGATAGTCTCCAACGGTCATGTTCATCCGAGAGTCTTGTCTCCTGTGCCCTTATCATAGGCTGTTGGTTTAAACCCCAACAGGACTCGCCCGCATCCCGCATTTTGAGCTCGACATACCCCACTTACATTGCGTCTTGATAACGCCATCAGATAATGCATGCCTTATTCGTTGCGGCAAGATCCCTCCGCATCCCATGCTATTCCCGCGGTTTGCTCGGTAGATTGTGAGGTAAATAGCCGATGCGAGAAAGACCAATATGGACCTCGAGGTCGGGGCGAGTGCGACGCAGAATATCGCCAACTTCGCTATTGGCCCAGCCACTAGCTCGTCCAACATTCCCAGCAAGCCGTTCCGGGGTTCTTCGCGGGATTGAACGTTGACCAATGATTGCCTTGTCATTTCCCCTGCCATAAGATGATAAGCTATTCCCATCTTGAAGAAGAAACTGCATTATCGGGGTGGCAACGCAGCTCCTTTCACAGCACATCACGAAGATCCGCAATTGCATGCTGTTAGTGCCCGGAAGACCTGTGGTTAGTTTCTTTATATTGAATGCCATGGCGTCCTTCCCAAGTGTCTGCTCTCGTAGCGCGTATTTGGCAATAACGCAGCCATGTCTCAATTACGGGATGAGAAGGCTACGCTGAACGATTCCAAAGCCCCTAGTGTGGCTGTTGATCCTGTGCTTGATACAACGGAGAAGCTCTTTCTCGGTGGGCTAGATGACAGTCCAGACGGTACAAAGCGGGGATCGACTGATGATTCGGAGCCGGAATATGACTTTAAATCCGAAGAGTTCGCAAATATTCCAGAGCTTGTTCGGACCGTCGTGGGCTTCGAAGATGACCCGTCCTTGCCCGTCATAACCTTTCGATCCATTCTACTCTCGACCGTCTTTTGTACGATTGGCAGCACTGTTTCTCAACTCTCATAGTAAGACTACATCTCTATATCACTGATCTAGCAAGGAAACTGAATAATCAATAGCTTCCGAACAACTACTGCGCCGTTCCCAGTCTTCTTCGTTATCTTGGCATCAGCCCCTCTTGGAAGGCTACTTGCCAGAATACTGCCAGCTTATACCGTGCCATTGGGCCGCTTTTCTTTCTCCCTGAACCCTGGGCCATTTTCTATCAAAGAGCATGCAATCATTGGAATTGCGGCAAATGCTGGCAGTCAAGGCCAGTGGGCAAGTTAGTGCAGTCCACCCCTTAAGCTATTACTTGCACTGACCTGATCCAGCTTACCTGCCCACGAATGCGGCTTTATACTACGGCATCACAATAAATCCAGCCATAGCTTTGTTCTTCGGATGGGTCAGTTCCATCAGCCTATTTTGGTGTCCCACTAGCTGATCTTGGTAGGGTGCATCGCTTCTCGGATTTGCCTTCGCAGCAATGGGTAAGGCTCTAGAACTTAGCCTCAAAGAGAACCTTCTAACTCCACCAAGTTCGAAAGATTTTGATTGATGATCCGGAGTTCATCTTCCCACTTTCTCTGCAGCAAGTCACGCTCTACAGAAGCATGCAAGGCAAAAGCGAGCTTCACAAAAGCGTTTCTCAGAAGCAGATGAAGGTAAACAACTTGTCCCCCGTACATCCTGGAAATGGCTGACGTTCTTGTTTAGGTGTTCTGGTGGATTTTGCTGGGGACATTTGTCTGGCAGTTCCTACCTGAGTATATATTCCCCTTCGTTGCCGCACTTGCGCCTCTTTGCTGGTTCGCTAGCCGCAACCATGTGGTCAACTTTCTCGGTGCTGGCAGAGGAGGTGTCGGACTTCTCAACATCACACTCAACTGGTCCAACATCACATCTACGGTCATCACCTACCCTTACAGCGTTCAGGTTACCATTTTCGTTGGTTTTGTTATCACGGTAAGCTAAAGGTCCCTACCTGGGCTTCACGATACTAAGAGAAAAATTTCATTAGACTTGGATCTTGATCCCAGTTGCGTACTTCGGGAACCTATGGGGGTCCCCTACGTACAACATCATGTCCAATGGCGTATTCCAGAAGAATGGATCAGATTATCCATTTGAGTCTTTGAGTAATAATACTCTTTCCCAACTGGTTATTGATGACTAATTAGCCCAGTCTACACTGACTCGAGCGGGAACCAACATGTCAATGAGACAAGGTACCACGAAGTTGGCCTTGCCTACTCAGGCGCTCAATACACGTGGGAGATTTTCATGGTAAGTGGAACACACCAAAGCCATCTACTGGGTACGGATATCCAATTTCTAATGCTTTTTCATACAGTGGTATGCATCATACATCTCCTCGTTTGTCTGGTGTGGCTTGTTCTTGGGTCCCAAGATTGTCAAGATTTGGAAAGCCAGGAAGGATAAAGGAGAATACCATCAGGATCGTTTGAGGTAAGCAATCACCTAAGATGCTAGGGTAAGACTTTTCCTGACTCGAACAGCCGCATCATCCAACAGTACCCCGGTCTCACTTTGTGGTAAGCTCCATTGGAGATTCGAAGCGCACAGCGCTCTGACTTGTTCTAGGGAATGGGGTCTTCTCACAGCGATACCCGTTGGAATTCTTCTCATCATCGTCGCCACAAAGTCTATCTGGTTGCCGACCTGGACCTACTTCGTCGCACTGGGATTTGGTGCCGCAGCCATGTTACCTATGAGTTTGGTCTACGCCATGTCGGGTTATTCGATCAAGGTTGGCTTTTTTAATGAGCTCATATATGGATGTAAGTGCCTAACCTCTACCTATCATGACCAGTAGAAGCTAATAGTCGTCTTCAGACATGATAGACGCCCGTGGATCGTCTCGCCATCCCCTTGGTCAGCTTGCTTACCGCATCATTTCCGGCAACGTTTGGTATGATGCTCGAATTGTTCTTGAGGACCAAAAGGTGAGGCACGATCTCTGTCCTCGGCATGTACAGCAAGACTCATAATCAACAGATTGGCCACTATCTCCATTTACCCCCTAGGGATGTGATTGGCATCCAAATCATCGCAAACATGCTCGCTCTCCCTGTCAACTACGGCGTCATGCGATGGGTCATCGCCTCAAAGTTCGACTACGTCAGTGGTCGCGTCCCCGATCCTGCGGGGCAGTGGACGGGACAAGAGTTCAAGAGCTACAACACAGCTGGAATTCAATACGCCCTGGTCGGTCCAAAGAAACTCTTCGCATCATCTTTCTTCAAGCCAGTTTTATATGGGTTCCCCGCAGGCGCAGTAGCTCCCATAATTATCTGGCTCCTCCACAAGAAATTCCCTAAAGCAAGATTTGATCTTTGGAACTCGACCATCTTCTTCGCCAGCGCCGCCACCTTCCACGGAAATCTCAGCACCGGACCTTTCACGACTTTCCTGGTTGGAACGTTCTTCAATTTCTATCTGTACCGGTACAGACGCAAGTTTTGGAACAAGTGGGCTTACATCAGTGGTGCCGCACTGGACACTGGATTTAACGCCAATCTACTGTTCATCTTCATCTTCCTCGGAACGACGGGAGCTGTGATGGTGAATTGGTGGGGTAATAATGCAGACAATATTGAACGCTGCTTCGCCTTGAAGAATTAGAGAGGTTAGCTTCACACAAAGCCTACCTAACTGCTTACCAACAGGTTGAAGACATCACTGAGGTCAAAATTGACGGGGTTGAACATACCCATAGGATCATTAGTACGTCGCATGAAAGTAGACAGTATGAGATTCACCATTGAGTGCAACGAAATCATCTCGACATCGCAAAATCGATGTTTTATCTAGTAACCGCCTATTTTTCTTGTCCCAAGCGACTACTTCTCCTGTGGCTAGACTCTACCTTACCGTTGTCGTCGTTATTACTTCTCGTCGTCGTCGCCGCCGCTGTCACTACTATCGTCTCAAATGGGAGGAATGATGGGAAATTAGGCGGTCTCTTCATCTATATGATTTGAATCTCGACCAATCGTTTCTCCCCGTTGTCCAACCACCCTCTTGCTTCACCACGCATGAGACCTTCCACGAAACACTGGCTCACGAAGATCGAGTCCCCTTTCCTGAGTGCTTTCAGTGTAGCCGTCCCGAAGAGTCCTCTCTCGGTAGTAAATACAGGATATACGATGCCCACATGCTTATCCAAGGATTCTACGAACGCCTTAGGATTCTTGCACATCCCCACATCCTCAACACGGCGAAAGAAACTCTTGAAATCGCAACCCCTGGTCTCCAATGAGCGGCAGCCTGCTTTCGGAACTGATTCAAGTCGTTCAAGTTGGCGTGGTTCAGGACTGGGCCCCAGCCGCGCTCCTTCATTACGATGATATTCGGATCGTTGCTATCCAAGCTGTCGAGCCATGGAATGTCAAGGACCGTTGTTCCCGTATGGCAATCGTAGATCGCTGCTCGATGTAGGGTTTTGATGATCGCCTCTTTCGCGTTTTGTGGCAATTTCGTGCAAGCTGGCTGGACAGCATCTTCCAAGACTGAAAGTCCTCCACTTGCCCATCCTAAATGAGGTGCCGTTCCGTCCACCACGTCAACTTGGAATCCTTTCGCCACTAGTACCCTCCCGTCATTCTCCAATCTGTATTCTGCTTCTTGACCCCAGCTAGCATCGCAGTCAGTGCCCCAGAGATAGGGATCCCACGAAGAAGTCAGATCAGGTACCCAAGACGAAAGTTCCAGATCAGAGTCTGTTGTACCAGTAAGGATGATGTCGAAAGACTTGAAGCCGGAAACAAGTGCTCTAGCAAAGTCACAGAACACCTCGGATACATCTTTTGTATAATCTGGCTCGACATGTTTCGTCACATACTCGGGTATCATCCCCATCAAGCCGTAAAGCCGGTCTCGCAGGTCAAGTGAGCCAGCGAGACGTCCAACCATTAGGAGTAGCCCCAGATCGTCTTGGTCCTTTCTCTTCTCTTCTGAAGTCTGCGCACGACCACGACGGACGCGCTCTTGATTGGCTTCGACCAACTCAACGAGCTTAAACACCCGCCACACCTTCTCTCGAGCCCTTACGGCACCACGGATGTTGGTTGCGCGCTGCAGGAAGTTCTTCAACGGGATCAACCCCATCCGGAACGTCCCAAAGAGAATTGAGGGATTGAACGGCCCAAGGCACTTTTCTTGGATAACCCATACTCGAGTCCAATATTGTGCGCTAACGACAATGTCAATCGAATTCCTAATGGTCTCCTTCTTTATCGGATCGACGAGCACTTTCTCAAGTGCCTCAGAAGCTGTTTGATCGTCTTTGCACTTGATGATGCACTCATGCAGCAGTGCAACATCGTGGATGGCGTCGTCTGGAACCTTGCCGAGCCAGATCGATACGATCAGAGCCTTGCCATAAATCATGCGCATTCGCTTGACTTGACGATTGCGCTCAGCCAAGTCTTTCTGGTTGATGCAAATGGCATCGACCCAAATCTTCAAGCCACCAACATAATCCGGATCCGAAGGCAAGGCCCTCAGCGCCACCTCAAGATTCTGGCCCACGAGAATGACTCGACCATCCATGATGATGGGCACTTTGACAGTCTGATCGCCCCAAGCATAGCTGAGTGCTCCGTAGTCGCCCCATGCAAAGCGATGGTACCTCTGATGCGACCGGTCTCTTTCAGCCGGCGAGCTTGCCCTCGTGGGACTCAGTGAGCGATATCGCTCGTTTGAAAATTGACGCCAGCCCTCATCGCTATTGCGCCTGGAAAGTGATCTTATTGAAGAGTTTGATTCAAACAGGCGGTAATCTGATAGATGAGCGTCGAGAGAGACGTGCTGCAGCGTACAGTGAACGAGACCATGCCATTCCGGAGGCTCGTCACGTAACTTGGCGAGTGGTGGTAGTTCAATTGTCTGTAAGTTGAGAACGCGAATCTCGTTGCGGCTTTCGTTGAGTGGGGAGTAAGGGAAACCCGCTACATTGGTCCGTTGATGTGATGCCATGGTATTGAATGTTGGCGAGGAAAACCTGAGTTTTGGAGGCTCCAGAGAATTAGCCCAAATAATCCGATGCGGCACATGAGGTATTTAGCCTTGGCGTGTGTCGCACGAAGATGTGGCATGGGGACGGGTACGGTATTCCTCGATTCAGCCCAGCTGACGCTGCCTACAGATAACCGGGGGTTTGGCACAGCCCCCAAACGAACATGAGGGGCTGGCCAGGGTCATCATTGGTTCTTCGCCAAAGTCCTAACGCAGGTCGGTTATGAGTCCGTAGCTTTTTACACTTGGATTGGAAAGGTGTGGTCACCATTCTCACGGGATTAAGGCCGATCCCCACGCCACGATACAAGGACTCTGGCGCATTCGCTTTTGAGCGTTGATATTCTGAACCACAAATCACCAAATTGCTCCTTCTTTAAAGATACTTGTTGTTGAACTTCATTTGCCGCTCGACAATTGACTTGCCTTTGGCCAAGCTACATGCCTCGGATATAGGGTAGATGCTGATGCGGCAGCGGCACACTCTGTCTCATTCAGTTGAGCATCGGAGTCGGCTCCGATATGTGGGGCCGGCCTTTCGGGGCACACAAAGACCATCCCAGCGGCCCTCCCCGGTGTTAAGTGGTGATAATTGTGCTTGATTAATCTAAGTCTAACTGTGCCCTGTGGTGTGCATCTATAGCCTTCTGGCCGCTTAGCTAATTAGTGGGTTGGGGTGGTTGTAGTGCTGCTGCCTCCACACCGGAGACCCTGTATACGAATGTCAGGGTAAAGGGGGGAGACTACTCTACACTCTTCTGGTCAAACAGTGGTGTTTCCTTGAGTTATGAGCCTGGGCTCCGCCAAAGTCCCGGCAAAGTGCGCGGAACAGCACCAACATTAAGCGCTGATCAACTCTGGCGCTTAACCACCCCTGCTTGCAGTTGCATTGCTTCAACCACCCCACGGCACAGCCATACGTTCTGACGAAGCGCCTTGGAGGACTCCAACATTGTTGGTGCTATGTATCAACGGCGCCACCCGCGCGGCCCGTCCCCTCGATGGTTTACTCTTCATCTTTCTTCACTCATCATCGTCGCACAGTTCCAAGCCATTGTATCACGCGACTTCTCCGGCCAAGTAGCAAAAGTTTGAAAGATCAATTGCATGGATGAAAATCGGCCAATCCGTCTCCTTTCTCTCGGTAAGCCGTTCGCAACTTACCTCGCTGGCGTCATGACTGACCATGCACGATACCAGATGGAGGTGGCATTCGAGGTGTATCCTCTATCCTGATCCTCAAAGAGGTGATGCGCCAGGTCAACATAGACAGGAAGCCAGAAGACCACCTTCAACCATGGCAGGTCTTCGATCTCATCGGAGGCACGAGCACTGGAGGGTCAGTAGTAGAGAATCAACCCCAACTGGTCTCCTCATTCTGATCTCCGCTTCAGCATCATTGCTCTCATGCTCGGTTGTCTCAGAATGTCAGTCGACGAGTGCCATGACGTTTACATGAAGTTGTCGAAGACAATATTCAAGCCAAAACGTTGGAAATGCAACGTATTCAGTAGAAGCATCGACCTCATATCCGCCAACGAGCGGTACGACTCAGCCAAGATGGAAGAGCTGGTTAAACAAATCATCAAAGAGCGAACGGGCTCCCGCAACACCATGCTGCAGGACCCCTTACAAGGATCATCATGTAGAGTGCAAGTCTCCCCTAGCCCAAATCGAAATGGGATTATGTCTAATTACATTTGCTAGATTCGTTGCGACGGTTCGCGCAGACGACGAGGAACTCCTCCTACTGCGGTCTTACATCAATAAGCAACAGCCAGATGTGCACTCTGCAAAGTTTGAGATGTGGGAGGCTCTCCGTGCAACCTCCGCCGCAAGCACTTACTTCAAAGAATACCGGCGCGGCAATGAGGGCTATGTCGACGGTGCCTTCAAGAGCAACAACCCCATCTTCGAGGTCCACCACGAAGCCACCGACCTTTGGCCTGGACGAGACATGTTCCTCGTGAGCATCGGCACAGGGACGAAACCAAGCACACCGCTTGGCGGTCATGTCGTCAAGCTCGTTAGGTCTATGAAAAAGCTCGCAACAGCGACGGAGGGGTCTTGGATCAGGTTCCACCGCACGCATAAGCAATTAGCGGAGGATCATCGTCTTTTCCGGTTTAGTGCCCCAGGGATCGGAGAGGTCGATTTGGGAAACTACAAAATGATTGGAAACGTGGCGATGAGAACCGAAACGTATCTTCGAGATACAACTACTGCTCGGGATATCGCACAGTGTTCAAAGGAAATGCTGGCGATTCAGACACAGGAGTATACTACTGTTCACAAGCTGAAGGATAGCGAAAGAGGTGCGTTCCGCTTGGAAAGTGCTACACCCATGAGTTAACGTATTTGCAGATTGCCTCAAGCTCTTGTCTGGCGCAGGAGGGGCTTACGAGAGCCAGAGGTTAAGCATCGAGACGCCAGTCCAAGGAACTTGCCATTGGCTTCTAAACCACGAAACTTTCACAAGTTGGCTGAGAGATGCTTCTTCCGCCTTACTCTGGGTGACGGCGAATCCTGGTTGCGGCAAGACAGTCTTGTCTCGGTTCCTCGTGGATATCCTCTCCAGACAGGCCTCTGAAGCCACCGTCTGCTACTTCTTCTTCAAGGCTGGCGAAGAGGGCCGACACCACTCACATCAAGCCCTTTGCGCCATATTGCACCAAGTCTTCAAGGAGCACGCCAAGGCTCTCAATTTCGCAATGAAGGAGTACTCATCGAGCGACAGCAAGAACTTTACACAGAATATCGAGAAGTTGTGGGATATCCTATGCGAGACGTCTGATTCGCTACCGAATAGACAGATCATCGTAATCATTGACGCCCTAGATGAATGCAGCGAGGTGACAAGAAACAGATTCATTGACTTCCTCGTGAGCACTTTTCCTCAAATGGTCGGTAGTCGGAAGTTGCTTGGGCGCCTCAAAATCATTGTAACGAGTCGTCCGTGGCCGAGTATCGAGACCCGCTTTCGCTACCTGAGCTGTGTTCGTCTCCGTGGCGAAAACGAGACGTCTTCGCTGTCAAAAGACATCGAAAAAATGGTCCAAGCAAAGGTCAGCAAGTTGAGGATAGAAGGCACGATAACACCGGAGGCCTGTTCTATCCTGGAAACCACGCTCGCTCAGGGGGCAGATCGCACTTTCTTATGGGCGTCTCTGGTTCTAGAGACCATCTCCAAGCTTCCGTCACGAAAGCTCAGTGCAGTCAAGAGCACCTTGGCGGACACCCCCGCCGACTTGGACCAACTCTACGAAACCGCCTTATTAGATGTCGAGGATCATGTGGCTGTCACTAGGATGCTACAGATTATCCTCGCCGCGACACGTCCGCTCACACTGGACGAAATCAACATGGCCATGTGCATCAGCTCAACCCACCGTACCGTTCAAGATCTTTTACAAGATCTAGAGCCGGATATGGAATACACAGTGAAGCAGCTTGGGGGGTTCTTTGTCAGGATCATCAACTCGACGGTTCACCTTGTTCACCAAACCGCTCGAGACTTCCTGTTGGTGACGACATCAATGAAGTCAACAGCATGGACGCACAGTTTGAAGCTCTCTGATTGCCATTCAACTATGACCCATTCAACGATCCAGTATCTTCTTTTGGACGGCTGGCCGGCACGACAGAAGATTCCTGACAATGGTGGAGAGGTTGATGAGTCTGATATTCAACTGCTCAAATCCCTCCCCAAGGTCGCTGCTGGCTTCTACAAGTACGCTGCGAGAAACTGGGCGATCCACACGCACCGGCAGTCAGATAACCAAGAAATCGATGCCTCTCTGAGCAAGCAGATATCAAGTCTGTGTGATATGAGCAGCGCTAGCTTTCACAATTGGTGGTATCTGATGGCAGGAGAAAAATATTTCATCGGGCATGGAATAAAAGGCTTTGTTTATGAAACATCGCCTCAAGGTCGATATCCGCTGCATTTCTCAGCAAGCCACGGATATTGGGCTGTGATGAAAGGCTTGATCGACTCCAAATCCTGTTCGGTAACATCTCTTACAGCCAAAGGCGTGGACTGTTTATACGCAGCCTCAAAAGCAGGGAAAATCGGCTGTGTCAAATGGTTGTTGCGCAATTTCGACCCCTCGTGTCTACAGGTAGGTATGGCTCTGCAGGCGGCAGCCCCGCTCGAGATCGTCACGGCTTTGGTGGAGACTGGCGTCGACTTGAGGCAGAGATACTTGTGTCCCACCAATGGTGAGATGGATGTCAGATCTGTTCTTTACTCGGCTCTTCGGTGGGGAGGTATGCCAAAACTCGAGTACTTGGTGAACATGGGGGCTGGTTGTTTAAAAGAGACAATCTTGGGTGCGGCACTCGAGGGACAGGTGGACTATTTGAAGGTTCTTCTGGCAGCCCCGGACGAAAGAAGCTCCGAAGAAAGGTTTCTCGATCTCCAAGCTGTGCTGAAGGCCGCGACTGAGAGGGGCGCGGTTTATGCCAGAAGATTCCTCATGGATTTCGGTGTACAGGAACCGGAGGGTACTGACATATCTGCGGGTCTAGCTTTTGCTGTGATGCACGGCTGCAATCCGGAGGACGTGCTGGCACTATTCGAGGATGGTGCCAGGGACATCAACGGCGCAGCTTTGTTATCAAGGGCAGCTTTTGGGGAGATGGGAGGTATCCAAACATTGTTTTCGGTGTTTGAATATCCGGTCGAAATTTTGAACGCGGCCCTAACAACATTTTTCACCACGAATTTGGACGACGAGACGAAGGATTTCTTGCTCAAGACGATTGAGAGATCCCTTTCGTCGTCCAGTCACAACAGGAGAGTCTCAAATGGCTTTGTCATCCAGCCTCTCATTGGCCAAAACTATGAGACCAACGTTGTATTTCTGAAAACGTTATCGGGCAAAGGTGCTCGAATGCCACCCGCGATGTTCCATCAGATTTTGTGCTGGACGATTGCTATGGATGAGCAACTTGCAGCTTTCCTTCTACAGACCCGCCGCTCATTGCAGGATGATGGCGACATGTTCGGGGCATGCGAATACCTCGCGCTGGCATGTCTCTGGGGCCGCCCAACGATCATCAGGCACCTCAGTGGGAGAGACACTGGTCAGGATGTGACAGGCATTTCATACGACTTACTCCTCCGCGCCGTTACTGTATCCGGAAACGCAGAGGCTCTTGACGCCCTGCTCGACAACAGGTGCATTGACTCTGGAAAAGGTGCTGCAGATAAATTTGCCGGCAAGGAGTTTTTAGATCAATGGGCTGTAGTTAAAAAGGTGTTAGGGCTCAAGGATTCAGCGGCATCTCCGCTTGACCTCGCCGCCAGGCTCGGATATCAAGATGTGATGGCTAAGTTGTTGTCGGCAAAGATGGTGGTGCGAAGTCGGACAGCGGCTTAAGCATGGCACGCGGCATTGTGTGTTGGTTCGGTTTGGCATGTTATTATGAGAAGGGCACTGTGTGTTGGTTCGACAGGAATGCTTTTATTGGACCTCAATGTTGGCGCACGTAGGATTTTCCAGCCCTACAGATTGTCCGGGTAGATGCAGACATGGGTCTGTGAATTTGGAATATTCCCTGAAAATGCTGACGAATTCTGTTCAGGGTGACACGAAAGCCAGCTGAGTGAAAGCTCCGAGACGGGCTGACTTATTAACAAGGCGATTGTAAGAGTGAGGTGAGTCGGCATTTGAAGATGTGAAATCAGATCAAGACCGAGCTCCGCGAATGATCGCCGACCGAGAGCCGTTGAGGGAAAGAGTGGGTACCGTGACAGCCCCCCGGAAACCTCAGCTGTGGTATCGGAATGCACAGACGCACAGACGGAGGTACACCTGATGCCATATGAATTACTCGCAGAAAGCAAGTATCCTTGCCTTGTGCGCCACTCCCATGGCGTCCCTCTCGCGTCATCGATACCCTGAGGTCCTGACAAATCAACACGGGAATTTACTAGCAGCGCCCATGTCACTTTACTGATTCTGCGCTGTGGGCAGCTACTTAGCACATTATTAACGACATCCACATTGAGCCTTTCCGAGCGAATTCTTGCCTGCTGCCGCTGCTGCTGGTTCTCAGACGCCCTTTGCCTGCCCAACCACACCTCTGAGCCTCTAAGCAGCCTTGCTCTTTCCCCCTCCCCCTCCTCACTATTTAGTCCGATTTCCTCCCGCGTCACCGCCGCGTACCCCTCCTTCCATCCCACATGTCTTTCAGACTCTTCCGCCCAGCTCAACGCATCGCGAAAACCTCACTACCTTTCACCTACCGAAACTTCCACGCATCTTCGCCCAACATGGTTGTCCACAACGTCAAGAGGTAAGATTCCTTGTCGTCCCCTTTGGCGTTCGGCCCAGCACTAGATATCCCCTCAGTAGCTGGCGGGCCGCTGTCAACGGCGATTGCTAACATCGAATCCCCTTCCAGCAAGGAGGAGTTTGCCGAGACCCTCGAGAAGCACAAGCTCGTTATCCTCGACGCCTTCGCTACGTGGTGCGGTCCCTGCAAGGCCATCGCTCCCATCCTGGCAAAGTGAGTTGGTTCCTCCCTTCTGCTCGTCCACGCGCCTACAAGGCCTCGTGCCATTCGGTGCACATACGCTAATATGTCTGTGTATCACAGCCTGTCCAACACCAAGGAGCACGAAGGTCTTCGCTTCGTGAAGATCGACGTCGACGAGGTCCCCGACCTGAGCCAGGACCTTGGCATCCGCGCCATGCCCACTTTCCTTATCTTCAAGAACGGCGAGAAGGTCGAGGAGGTCGTTGGTGCCAACCCCAACGCCCTCACTGCCGCCGTCAAGAAGTTCGCTGCTGAGTTCCCCCCCGTCGCTGCGACGGAGGAGAAGGCCGAGTAAATATACCAACATGCAATTCGGTTTTTGGATGGAGGAAGGCATTAAAAATAGCCAACACGATGGGGCTCCACGCTGAGCGCGTCATGGCAATAGATACCACACCACAATAAACATGCCCGTTACCTAAGTTCCCACTTTCCAGGCCGAGATGATAATGATGCTTGGTACACGTTTGGTCATGTAGAGAATACCAATCGTGCGTACAGCTTCAGAACGCAGGCTAAGGCACTGATAGAGTCTCGGTGTATGCTTTGAGTTGTGAGCTCAATGACAAATCGGCTGACACGACTTGCGAATTACTGATTCTAGTACGAGCTACCAAGCTTGGCAGGTAAATCGGGACGTACCATCGATTGCAGTACATGGCTCGATACAGCAAGTATCCCTTAAGCACTAGTACACATCTTGAATTCTGCGATGAATTGGAGTTGTTAATCTAAAGGCAACCAAACGACGAGCAGAAGCGCTGGTGGCTCTCGATTTATGTACACTTGGCTTACCTGAGCCAATGACCTCATCTGACCGCAGATAGCCCACGCCTTTGATTGACAGGGATTGGCTTAATTCAACGAGTCCAAACCATGTCACCGCAAGGCGTTGACAATGGCGCCAGCGCAGGCCGAAAGAGAGACAACAACGGCCTTTATCAGGGTCGGGCGGGCTCAGTTCCGCTGCTGGGCCGGGGGTGAGTCAATTCCAATGGCCGTTTTGGCGTTGGGCCCCGCGCCGGTTTTCGCCCCGGTACCGCGGGGCTGCTTGCCCGCGGGAAGGGACGCCCCAGCCTCCAGACACCCTGCGCAACCGATTTCGATAAACATGGCACGATGGTGCATGCAGCAAATCACGCAAAGGCGTAGCTATTGTCCGCCCGTATCAATGGTTTTGCGGTGTATTAAAAGGGCTGAGGAAACCCGAGCCTGAACCGGCCAAACCCGATCAAAAGTGTTTAAAGCCGAGTGTGTCGAAGTCCTATCGGGAACATCTACTAATCAGAAATAACTTTCTTGACTTCACCGCATACAGTCTATTCGAGGATATAAGTCATTTGAGTCACACTTGGGATACTTATTTCATATCACAACTCCCAAGGAAACAACTACCATCTTCTCATAGCAAAAGCACAAGATGACGAACCACATCGTTGTTCTTGGGTGAGTTGCCTCCAGTTTCATGCTCGTTTACACACTGACCGTCCTCAGCGCTGGCGTGTCTGGCCTCACTGCCGCCCTGCTCTTGTCCAAGAGCAAAGCCAACTCCGTTACTGTCATCGCGAAGCACATGCCCGGTGATTATGACATTGAATACACATCACCCTGGGCTGGAGCCAACGTTCTGCCGTGAGTCTTCGACATCACGTTATCAGACATATGACACTGACCGCCAATCTTCAGCATGGCACCTGCCTCCGACAACAGATGGGAGAGGAGGACATGGCCCGAGATAAAGCGCCTGGCCGCTGAGGTGCCCGAGACCGGCATTCACTTCCAAAGTGAGTTACTTCATGATTCACAGCATGTCACATTCATACTGACACGGGCCAGAGTCAATCGTATACCGCCGGAAGAAGGACATTGAGGCTGGCGGCAACCCGTACGACGCTCTCTACTCCGTGGACCCCTGGTACCGCGACATGATGCCCGACTTCCGCGAGCTGCGCCAGGACGAGCTCCCCGAAAACGCCCACTCGGGCTGCATCTTCACCTCCGTCTGCATCAACACGGCGCTCTACCTGCCGTGGCTCATCGGTGAGTGCCGCAAGAACGGCGTCGTCTTCAAGCGCGGCGTCATCGCGCACATCCGCGAGCTCAAGGGCCTGCACCACACGGGCAACCCCGCCGACATCATCGTCAACGCCTCGGGCCTGCTGGCGTGCAAGCTGGGTGGCGTCGAGGACAAGACGGTGCGCCCCGCGCGTGGGCAGGTCGTCGTCGTGCGTAACGAGATCGAGCCGATGGCCACCATCTCCGGCACCGATGACGGCCCGACGGAGGTGTGCTACATGATGACTCGCGCCAACGGCGGCGGCACGATCCTGGGCGGCACCTACGACAAGGATAACTGGGACGCGAACCCGGACCCCAACATTGCGGTGAGGATCATGAAGCGGGCCGTTGACCTGTGCCCTGCCCTGACGGGCGGCAAGGGCATTGAGGCGCTGAGCATCATTCGTCACGGCGTCGGACTGAGGCCGTACCGCGAGGGCGGCGTGAGGATCGAGATTGACACCAAGACCTTTGAGGATGGCACGCCGATTGTGCACGACTACGGCCACGCTGGTTGGGGATACCAGGGATCGTACGGCACTGCGGAGGGTGTTGTTGAGTTGGTGAACCAGATCAGGACGGAGAAGGGCGAGAAGCTGGCGAATGAGCCGAAGCTTTTCTCATGGGATCGGCCGGCGAAGTTGTAGACATGTGGTGTTGACCTTTTCTTCCTTTTATTCAACGTTCTGGATTTATTGGGCATGATATTCTACGATAGAAAATAATTAAGCTGCATCTTTGAGGCAGCTAGCCGAGATTCTCTCCTTTTACTGCCCGTAGGCTTTGACAGTACGAATTGTGCAACTCAGGATCCCCGCACAGTGTGTCGTACCTCAGTTCGCGACAGCTTTCAGAAGCTCCCCTGTCCATCACCAAGCCTCACCACCAACACTTCCACAGCTTCCGAAGCTGCACCATGGCTGACACCACGCCACCAATCCATGCCCAAGCGACGCGCCTGGTACTCGACATTGCAAACGGCCGCCATGCGCTCTCCAAGGCCATCCCACCACTGCTCCTCGCGCTCGACGCGGTCCTCTGCGGGCTGATCATCTGGAAAGTCCCATGTTAGCCACATTTGCCCTCCACCAGCGAAGGGGCTTCTGGTAGCTGACTTGGAGTTTTCAGACACGGAAATCGACTGGGTGGCATACATGGAACAGGTGGCTCAGTTCGTCTCAGGCGAGCGCGACTACACTAAGATCAAGGGCGGCACCGGCCCCCTCGTCTACCCGGCTGCCCACGTCTACACGTACACGGGACTCTACTACCTCACCGACGAGGGAAAGGACATCTTCTTGGCGCAGCAGCTGTTTGCCATTCTTTACTTGGCTACTCTTGCGGTTGTCATGGCTTGCTACTGGAAAGCAAAGGTACAATCGCATCCTCCTCCAATCGCTATACAAAGCTAACGTCTTTTTCACAGGTCCCGCCATACATCTTCCCCCTCCTTATCCTCTCCAAGCGCCTCCATAGCGTCTTCGTCCTCCGATGCTTCAACGACTGTTTCGCGACCCTCTTCCTCTGGCTTGCCATCTACTTCTTCCAGAAACGCCTCTGGACGCCCGGCGCGATCCTCTACAGCTGGGGCCTCGGCATCAAAATGTCGCTCCTCCTCGTCCTGCCCGCCGTGGGCGTCATACTCTTCCTCGGTCGCGGGTTCGGAGGCAGTCTGCGCGCGGCATGGATCATGGCACAGCTACAAATCGTCATCGCTGTTCCGTTCGTGGCCGACAACGCCAAGGGCTATCTCGGCCGCGCCTTCGAGCTGTCGCGACAGTTCTTCTTCAAGTGGACGGTCAACTGGCGCTTCGTGGGGGAGGAGACGTTCCTAAGCAAGCCATTCTCGATTGCGCTTCTAGGTCTACATGTCGCGGGACTGGTCGTCTTCATCACCACCCGCTGGCTCAACCCCGCCCAGCGCCCGCTCTCGTCGCTCGTGGCACCCATGCTGCAGGGCAAGTCGCCGTTTGCAGGGTTGGAGGAGAGGCAGGTGGCCAGCCGGGTGACGCCGCGCTACGTTCTCACGACGATCCTTTCGGCCAACGTGTTGGGTCTGCTCTTCGCCAGGTCTCTGCATTACCAGTTCTACGCCTATCTAGCCTGGTCGACGCCGTACCTCCTCTGGCGCAGCGGCCTTCCCGTCGTCCTGGTGTACGCGCTGTGGGCGGTGCAAGAGTGGGCGTGGAATGTGTACCCCAGCACGAACGCGAGCTCGCAGGTCGTTATCGGCGTTATGGCAGTCACCGCTGTCGCGGCGTGGTTCGCGGCGGCGGGCGAGGGCAAGCCGGAGGAGAAGGTGGAGGAAAAGGAGCAGTGAAATGTGGGGGATATCATGAGTCGTTAGGTCGCTTGCAAATCAATACTCGTCTTCGGAGTCGGATGGCGGCATCTTGCCGACGTTGGAATCGCTCTCGTCTTCTTCGTCTTCGTACCTGGTCTTGGCAAACTCCTTGGGCCTGGTCTCGTTAGCAATGGCCACGGAGTATGGCGGAAGAACGGGTCAACATACCAGTAGGGCTGCTTGCGCCAGGCCTTCTCATCGCGTACGACGTTGATGATCTCGCCCATTACCCGACCGTCTGCCTCGTCGTACCGCTCCGCCAGCACATACCCGCCGCGCTTGATCCAGATGGTGTTGCGGAAACGCTGGGCCAGTTCGAGAACGAGGTCCTTCTTGTTGGGCAGCTCGCAGTTGTATAGGTTGTTGCCCTCAGCCTTGATGACGCGCACGATGGCCTGGTTCTTCTCGAGGGTGTCGGGAGGGTTCAAGGTCTCCTCAGCCGCCGCTTGGGCAGTTCGTTTCGTGCGTGCCATTGTGTTTAGGGGTTGGCGAGGCTACCAGGGAAAGAATGGCGAAGCTGTATCCGTAGGTGGGGGATTATTCTCGAAGATCAGACTCGACAACTTTTTTTTTTGGTGGCGTGGTGGGGTAAATTGGTCAATTGGGGGTTTGGCGCGGGGCAGGCCCGGGTTCCGCTAGCGCTGATGGACAGCAGGGACATTGCTGGGCACCTGGGCTACGTCAAGTCACCGGAGCTTCCTCCTCGAAGCTAGACAATTCCTTACAAAAACACAACAGTTGAAAAAGTTACCCCATGAGGAAATCCGACCAGCTGGGCCACCACCCTTTACATCGATCTAGAGATCACCGGCGCCTTACATCACGATCCGGACCTGTAAAGGCGGACATACTCCGCCTAAAGCTTCCAAAGCTCATCTCGGACCCGCTTTCTCGCAATTCAGTTTCCGCCCCCGGTGGTCTCCAGAGCTCTCCCCGGCTTCACTCCCCTCCATCTCAGGTACCAACCAAAGTAGTGCTCGCCTTTGTCCAGTCAAGTCTTATCAACGCCGCCCGTGACACAGCGTCAAGCAAACAGCTCTGGCGTCTCTCAGACGTGTCGATTGCCAACCGGAACTTGCCCGGACAACGTCTGCATGTCTTCCATTGCTTTCACACCGTCTCGTCCTCTGGCTCCAGCAATTCGCCCGTTCTTCCCCCGCATCACGCAGCCACTAGACGAGAAGCCCATCCTTTCACAACTCACGATGTGAGAGGCTAGACTGACTTAGCCAGCCACTCCCTACAGCCACATGCTTCTCAAATTTTTCTTGAGTTCTCTCGCGCCCGGTGGAGAAAGAGGTCTCCATCTGCACCCAGTGAACCCTGCATGCGCCTGCCGCCCATACGCTCAAGATAGTGCGAACGCTTACCTCTCGGTACACGACGCATGCCAGACGAGCCAGAAACGTCAAGGATCAGATCCACGGACGCCACCACCATCGTGACATGTCTGTGACTCTATCTTTTCCCCATTCTCGCATGATCTGTGTGGGATGGAGGGGTGCTTAATTGTTAAGCACAGCTGACATCCCACCTATTCTTCGCTCATATAAGACAACTGGCCCCAACCAATTTCCCTTTATCATGACTTTCTCATTTTTTCAGTAGATAATCTTCATGAATTTGTATAGACTAGAAGTCTAGTCTTTCCATTCCACAATGGAGGCCGCCATGTTCAAGACTCTCGTCGAGGTTGAGTCCCGCGACCGAGACAACGACCCTCCCCTCCTCCCCACCGCGCCCGCCAAAGCTGTTCCTCGAACATACCCGGGATCTCCTCATCGCGAGGACGGCTCGATTGAGCTCCAGCGTATCGACACCAAGAATGCAAACGCAGGCAAAAAGAGCCCGAGGGGCAGCACGGCACCCTCCCGAGCCCAATCACCATGCCGCACACCGACGACCTCGGGCAGCGACCTTGAAATGTCACGCCCGTCGACTCCCGTCGCCATCGAGTCCCTCCCAAGCATCACAGATCCCTACATGAACCGCTTCCGTCTAGCAGCCGCCTGCCTCATCAATCTCGGCAACGGTCTCAACGACAGCGCTCCGGGTGCTCTGATTCCGTACATGGAGAAGTACACAACCCCTACCCATCCTTCACGTTCATTACGACAGCTGCTAACAAAGACAGGCATTACAATATCGGCTACGCCATCGTGTCCCTCATCTTCATAGGCAACGCCTTCGGCTTCATCTTCGGCGCCGTCTTTCTCGAGTCCCTCCGCGCAAAGCTCGGCCGCGCCCGCCTCCTCGCCGTCGCCCAGTCCCTAATCACCCTCGCCTACGTGCCCATCCTTGTCCTCGCCCCGTTCCCAGTGGTGATTGTCTCCTTCTTCATGATCGGCTTCGGCATGTCCCTCAACCTCGCCATCAACAACGTCTTCTGCGGCTCCCTCCGCAACGCCACCACCGCCCTGGGCTTCCTCCACGGCGCCTACGGCCTGGGCGGCACCATCGGGCCGCTGATGGCCACCGCGCTCGTCACGCGCGCCCACGCGAGCTGGAGCACGTACTACTTCATCACTCTGGGCCTCGCCGCCTTCAACGGCGTCTTTGCAACCTGGTCCTTCTGGCACTACGAAAAGGACCTGCCGCTCTCCCAGCAACAGACCAGATCAGACGCAGACACCACCTCGGCGACCCAGCTGCTCGCCATGTTCTCCGCCCTCAAGATGCGCATCGTGCTCCTCGGCGCCCTCTTCATCTTCGCCTATCAGGGCGCCGAGGTGTCCATCTCGGGCTGGGTCATCTCCTTCCTCATCGCCGTGCGCAACGGCGACCCGGACGCCGTTGGCTACGTCACGGCCGGCTTCTGGGCCGGCATCACCCTCGGCCGCTTCCTGCTGTCCCACCCCGCCCACCGCGTCGGCGAGAAGCTCTTCGTCGTTCTCGCTATCGTCGGCGCGGCGGTTTTTCAGGTGTTGGTCTGGTGGGTCCCCAACGTCGTCGGCCCCGCGGTCTCGGTGGCCATCGTCGGACTGCTGCTGGGGCCCATCTACCCCTGCGCGGCTGCGGTCTTCATGAGAGGCATGACGAGGCAGGAGCGTGTCAGCGGGATGGGTGTGATTAGTGCTTTTGGCAGCTCTGGCGGTGCAGTGGCGCCGTTCACGACGGGTATTCTGGCTCAGGCTGCCGGGACGTGGGTGTTGCACCCTATCGCCATCGGTCTGTTTGCCGTGATGATGGCGTCTTGGTACGGGATTCCGCACGCCCGCAAGCGGAGTGAGTAGGTCAGTACCATGATGGCATGAGGTGTCTGGATACGTGTCGTTGAGTCTGCGTCCCAAACGTCGGGACAAATGAGCCGCCGTGGCGGAATGCCCTGTTTGGGATGTCTAAGTGGTAAAACTGGGTCTGAGGATCGAACATCGGTCGGAGTTTGGTTGGCGATCTGCATTTTGATGAGAAGACGAACGAAAATTCATACAATCAGAGATTTCATAGAATCAGGGATCACGAGACGATATGTGGCGGTAAGGGGAACCCGAATACCAAAATATCATTGTTAACGCCGTCCACGGCAGCGCCGTTCATGTCTATCTCTATCGTAAGAAACGTCCCAAGCTCATATATCCGCTGTATGTCTATCCCACATGATTGGTACCTGGCATCTAGAGAAATCTTTCTAGTGGTGAATGCGGCCGCGCGCAGCGTCCTTGACGCTGACCTTGCCGTCAACAATCTGCTTGACCGTGTCCAGAATGTCGGAAAAGTCGTTGAAGGTAACGAAGGAGACATTCTCCTTCTCGCACCACGAGACGAGGTCTGAGTCTCGGTTAGCTTAATTTGTCCCGGGTCCAGTTGACAAAGACAGCGAAAAAAGGAATTACTCACCCTTGCCGCGCTTGGCAAAGAGCAGATCCGTCTCGCGGGCGGCGGACAGGTCGGAGACTCCGTCGCCGGCGTAGAACATGACGGGGCGGTCGGGAAGGGACGAGTACTTGCGCAGCTCAATCGACTTGTCGTGGCCGTGGATGCTGTCGTCGTGGTAGACAATCTGCCAGCCGTGCGGCTCATTGATGCTCTTGCCCTCGCGGGGCGCGACCTGGTTGCTCACGATCTGGATGTTGGCGTCGACCTCCTCCTCTCCGAGCCACTGGATGAGCAGGGCGCGGATGATGGGGCGCATGCCACCGGAGATGATGACGACGGGGATGTTCTGCTCCTTTGCCCAGAAGTAGAACTCCTTGAAGACAGGGTCGAGCTTGACGTTCTTCTTGAGCAGGTCGATGCACTGGTCGAAGGGCAGGGGGATGCTCTCCATCATCTCGCGGAAGGCGTCGCGGAAGTGCTTGTGGCCCTCGAGCACGGCGAGGTTGCCGTCGCGGCGCTTCTCGTAGCCGAAGCCGACGTTGTCCGTCATGTAGTCGTTGGAGTCCTCGAGGGTGATTGTGCCGTCGAAGTCGGTGAAGAAGATGAACTTGGGGTTCGTGGCCAGGGCCGGCGTGTCGGTGACTTGGGAACCCATCTTGTCGGTGGTTTGGGGGTTTTGGTGAGTTTAGGCGTGATAGTTGTGAGAAAGAGTGTAGATGAGTGAGATTGAGATTTGAGATCTAGGTGAGATCAAAGGAGGGGGAGGGGCACGCAGGATGGACAGCCTAAGGTAGGTAGTCGAGGTTGAAAGTAGCAAGAGAGTGGGTCAGAGAAGTTGTCCAAGAGACAAAAAGATGTATCAATGGCTTTATATATGGGACGAGGCAATACCAAGGAGCCGCCCGGACATGCGGTTTTCGAACTTGGGATGGGAAAAGGAATTGTTAGGTATCAATTTTCTGTTCTATCTGCAGCCTTTGCCGCCAACAAACCCATGCATCTTATTCCATGTGTGTTTGCTACCCCCCATGTTAATCCTGTCCAGGTACTGTTGAGCCAATCCATCCAACCAAGTCGGGTCCAAAAAAAGGCTCAGCCTCCGGCGCCGTCAAGGCGGACGAAGGAAAAAAAAAAAGAGCATCCCGCCAGTGACGACATCGGCCCCCCTCCGTCCCCGTATCGAGTCCACGAGGAGGACCCTGGAGTGCGGTCTCACCAAGATCTTATCCCCTGAGAGCCGCCGTAAGACAGCCCCCCAGTGGCAGCAGACCCCCACCACACGTGCCGTAAATTTCTTCTCTGCGCAGTGTACGTACCGCCGCTGCCCCTCCCTCTCGGGCATTCTTCGCCCTTCTCTCCAGGCCCCAACCGCTAGCCCCCGGCACCGGCCCGAGCAACCTCCTCCCACCAAATCCGACAGGCGGTGAGACACCTTTCCCTCTGGCCCACCAATTGAGCTGTCCTCCGGCAGAAACCCGCCGCCGCCGCACCACCACCACCACCTCGTCCACCTCGACCACCACCACTACCGTCCAAACTTTGTCTCCGTCGTCCCGTCGCCCGGTGTCCCGACCCTCCCCCGTGCTCGGCCCTTCCCACAATCACCACTCGGCGTCGAAACCACCGCCAATTGGGTCCCTCGGACGAGGTTGCAAGTCGATAACGACCGGGAGAGAGAGAGAGCAAAGATGCACCCCATCGCCCGGCCGGCGTCGCGGCTCCTCCACGCCCGCATCGGCCTGCACACCACCGCAGCCCTCGCAAGATGGCCCGCCGCCGCAACCCTCCCGGCACGACGCCTCTACTCCTCCATCCCGCCATTCCCTCCTCCTCCTCCCCCGCCGAGCTCCTCCGCGACCAAGGAAGAAATAAAGCAAGCATCCCCAACAAGCGACCCAAGCTCCCCGTCATCCCCGAGCGCAGACCCGAGCTCTAGCTCCACCACAGCTTCCACATCGGCTTCACCTCCCGACGACGCAACAACCCCCAAGACATCTTCAACCTCAACCTCCTCCTCCAACGACAAAAATGCAGCCCACAAGCCCCTCCCCGACGTGGCCTCCAAAATCTACACCGCCCTCCCGCCCGCCTTCCTCGAGAAACTCTCCCACCTCATGGACACCGCCCAAACCCGCCTCCTAACCGCCTCCACCACCCTCAACGCCCTCACCGGCTACGCCCCCATCGAGGCCATCAAGCACCAAAACACCCTCCTCGAGGCCCGCCTCGCCGCCGCCCAGGACCAAGTCCGCACCGCCCGCCACACCTACAAGACCACCAACGCCAAGCGCGCCACCACCCAGCGCGAGGTCACCACCCTGCTCGCCCGCAAGGAGACCTGGTCGCCCTCCGACCTCGAGCGCTTCACCCAGCTCTACCGCACCGACCACGAGCTCGAGCAGGAGGTCGTCGCCGCCTCCGAGGCCCTCACCGACGCCGAACACGCCGAGCAGGCCCTCGGCCAGCAGCTCAACGCAGGCATCCTCAAGCGCTACCACGAGGAGCAGATCTGGTCCGACCGCATCCGCCGCGCCTCCACCTGGGGCACCTGGGGCCTCATGGGCGTCAACGTCCTCCTCTTCCTCGTGCTGCAGTTCGTCGCCGAGCCGTGGAAGAGGAAACGCCTCGTCCGCGGCGTCGTCGAGCAGGAGAAGACCGTGTTGGAGGGCGTGACGGCCGAGCTGGCGAGTCTGAGAGCGTCCTTGGCGCAACAGCGGGATGAGCCTGCCGCACCTGCGATTGGGGCTGCGCCGGTCGACGAGCCCGCATTTGCTCGCGAGGAAGTCATCGCCGCCAAGGTCGAGGAGCCCGCGGTGCAGGACGAACTCGATAGAGAGGTGGCTGGTGCCCTTGAGGGCCTGGAAAAGAAGACGGCCGACTCCAGGACGTGGAAAGAGTACTTGTCCGACCCCGCGCTATGGAGGACACTATCCGACACTACGTTTTGGAGGACGCGGCTGGAGGATCTGTACTCGGAGCGCCGTATCGACTTGCGCATGCGTGATGCTTCCATTCTCGCTCTCGAGGGTGCTGCCGCGGGTGCCACAGTCGCCGGCGGTCTGGCGCTCCTCCTCCTGCGTAGAACATAGACGCGCCTCCCTAGGGTTGTATATAAAACTGTACAATATGATACCATATAGAGCACGAGGACAACCTCACGACACCCCAACAAAAACCTAATCATGGTGCTCTTCATTCAGGTGTAACCACTGAAGGCTGGGTCTATTAAACAAGCTGCGCTGGGGTCCAATACCTTACAGATATAGACGTCTAACCGTAATCCGACAAATCGCTTTCAATGTTCACGTAGCGAACGAACACCTTTTGCTTTTGTTCTCCGTATGTTGTGTCCACCCGTCACGTCACGTCGCTTCGTTTTCTCATCTGCGCCCTCGTCGTCACTGCCTGGCGACGCGCTGCGTCTCTATGCAAACATAGACTGATGTCGCCGGGTCCTGGCGCGCACACGGCGCTGGGTATCCTAGAACGCTCGGCCATGTCTGCTGGTATTTCCCCTCTGTTCACGTCGGCAACGTGATCCCGTCACCTCATCAGCTCCAGCTTTTCGTCATTCTTGGTTCTTCAGTCAAAATCGGCGGTGTAAGAGAAGCCACGGAATTCTTCTTGCATGGCTTGCGAGAGGACTGCATTTTGTTAGTCGCACCACTTCGCGCAGAAGAATAGAAAACTTGCCTGATTGGACCGGGGTCAAGACGGGCGTGACGCTCGTAAACTCAGAATCGAAGTTACTGGTATCTGTGGCGCTCTTGATCTGAGGCATGAAAGGCGGCGCAACACGCTTGTGGTAGATGTCATCCCAGTTGATGTTCCTAAAGAACGGCTGGTTCATGATCTCCTGAGCGTCCGTAGGGCCGCTGCCCAGGCGCTGGTCGGGCTCACGAGTGAGGAGCTTCTGCAGGATGGAGACGGAGTCCCGAGGCATGTGAATGGGGTACAGAGGCTCATCAGCCAGAATGGCATCATAAATCTCGTCCTCATCCTCACCACGGAATGGTGACTGCTGAAGAAGCATCTGGTAGATCAGGACACCAAATGCCCACCAATCCACAGCGCGGCCGTACTTCTTGTCAAGCAGAATCTAGACGGGGTCAGCAAGGAAGATGTTGTAATCAAACGAAGCAAAAACAAACCTCGGGAGCCATGAATTCAGGGGTACCACAGAACGTGCTAGTAGTGGAACCGAACCACATGTCCTCCTTGCAAAGACCGTAGTCGGCAATCTTGATGTGTCCGTCCAACGTCAACAGGATGTTGTCGAGCTTCAAGTCACGGTAAATGACACCGTTCTCGTGGAAGTACTTGAGTGCCAAGCAGACTTCCGCAGCGTAGAACCTGTGCATCGTTAGCAAAATCCAATGTGAACAGACGCGATTGACATACTGAGCTCGCTTGGTGCCAAATTGGCCGCGCTGAATGTGAAGCATGAGATCACCACCACTAATGTACTCCATGACGAAGTAGACACGAGTCTCGGTCTGGAAACAAGCGTGAAGGTTGGTCAAGAACGGATGTCTCTCGCGGTTAGCAATCAGGAAGACTCGCTTCTCACTCCTTATGCTTTCCACTTCATCGTTCTCAATAATGAACTCCTTCTTCAGCACCTTAATGGCATACAGCCTCTTGGATCGCTTCGTCTCCGCAAGCATGACCTTTCCGAAGTTACCCTTACCCAGCACAGCAAGGAAGTTGAAGTGGTCAAGGCCAATACGCTGGCCAGTGCCCGGGTCGGTGGCGGAAGGCAACGGCTTGCGTCCGGCGCTCGGTACTCCGCCGGGCGTGACAGGCGACAGCTGCGGTGCCTCTTGCAACTTAGGCGAAGAGACAGGGGGCTGCTGAGGCGGCTGCTGGTACATCTGCTGCTGCTGCTGCGGCTGTTGAGGAGGCGGTTGGGAGTACTGCTGAGGAGGCGGTTGCTGCTGCTGCTGCTGAATAGGGCGTTGAGGTTGTTGCTGCACAGGAGGCTGCTGGGAGTAGGTGTTGACATTGGCGTAGTCCGCCGGGTTGTACTTGCGCTGTTGGCCGTAGGGATCTTCCGGCCCTTGGTCGTGGGGTGATCCATACCCACCACTTGGTCCATAGCGTCCATAATCTTGCGACTGAGGCTTCTGCTGGCCCATCGATCCGCTCATTGCAGCCGTCGCCGCTGCCGCCGCGGCAGAGCTGGAGGACGTGCGGTCGGGGTGGGGTCTTTGGCCAGGAGGAGACTGCTGTTGGTACATGATCTTGGCAGCCTCCGTAGCCTCAGGGGAGCCTTGAGCGTATGGTGGCTGGGTGGCACTATGGGGCGGGGAGCTCAGAGTGCTTGTCGGGCTTGTGGGCTGCTTCCTAAGCGTGCGGTCGCTGAGAGAGGACGAAGTCTTGTTCTTGTTGATCATGCGGGTCGACTTGATACCCTCCAGAATCTGGTTAGCCACCGCCATCGACATGCCGCAGAAGTCAGGGACAAGGTGGACACAAGCAGAGTGGGCAGTAAGGCCACATTCCGCGCATTTTCGGCAATTCTTCTTTCCAAAGGGCAGAATGTAACCACAGTGGCAGCACCAGTTGGCCGTCATGTTGGAGAAGGCCTGGAATCTGTGTGGGATGCGGTGGTTGATCTTCTCCTCGTCCGGATCCGTCTCAGCATTGCTCTTACTAATGCACTTGGTAACGACGCTGCTGTAGCACTTGGTGTGGCAAGTGTACTTGCAGTCCTCGCACTGCATGCCAGCCGAGTACTTGAGGAAGTCTCCGCAAAGGGCGCAGCGCATGATGTTGTAGAACTGGTGCTGGACGAACTTGTGACCGTACATCTCGTGCACCTCCTCCTTGCGCTGACGAACGGCACCCTTTCTGCCCAATCCCTGCAGGTCGAGGGGGCGGCGGTCCTTGTTCTGCTTGAGGAAGCCCAGGGAGAGTTGAATCTGGCCGGCCGGCTCGAGGTTGAACCAGCCGTCGATGGGCTGTTGGGGGATCGCCTGCATGGGCATCGGACCAGGGGCGGCTCCTCCTTGCGGGGCACCCGGCGATGGTGGAGGTGCGCCGGCTCCAAACGACTGCTGCGACTGACCGGGGTTCATGGGGAACTGAGGCGGCGGCGCTCCCATTCTATCGGCAGAAACCCATCCAGAGTTGGTAATCTCGGCCTCGATCTTCTTCCTTCTCATTTCCTCTACGATATCGGAAATTCGTACCCAAAGCATGCCAATGGGAATAGCATGCTCGGCGGGCTTGTCGTAGACGGTAAGTTCGATCTCGTTGGCCTTGTCTACGTCAATCGTGTGGTACTCGGCCTCCCACTTGTCTGTTCTGGTGACTCTCGTGCGCGCAACGACGTTGTCCTCAACCTTGACGGCAATAAAAGTCTCCGGACCGCGAGAGAAGCGGCTCATACTAGCGTGGTCGACGTCTTTGATCTGTCCGACGCGGATGGTGAGCTGGCCACTGAGGGGCTTTCGAAGGTTAGGCATATTGATGGAGTCATCTGTGAAGCGGTGTTAGTCACCTATACAGTAGGCAGCACCATTTGCCCGCTTCAACATACCGTCGGGACTATCAGCAGTGTCCATGTCAATGTGAAGTTCCTCGTAACGTTTCATGGCCTGCTTAAGCAAGAGAATCTTCTGCTTGCTCTCGACCCTGCGAGCGGCCGCATCCGCTCTGCTTTTGCGGTCGCCCTCCATTCCGTACAGCTGAACCATCTTTTCAACGCCCTTGAGGTACTGCTCCTCCACATTAAGCTTGAACTGGATCTGGGACAGCATGAGCTGAATACGGGGGCCGAGGTAGGGGGTATCATATTTGATGAGGTCTAGAGAGGGTCAGCGGCGAAGTTTAGGACAGTGTCGGCGCAGACGAACCGAGCTTTGTAAAGTTAGGACGCGGCTTCGGGATAGAAGACGACGGGCCGGGAGGGGCGTAAGGATGGCGGGGAGGCATCAGGTCGGAGTGGCCGCCGATTTGGCTGAACTGGACGTTGCCGCCAGAAACTGCGTTGCCTTGGCCGTAGCCGCTACGGTCTGCCCACTGCCCAGAGGCATCCTTTGGCGGGGGAGGGGGCGCGTCCTCGACATCGCCGCTGAGAGGTCTGTCGGAGGGAGATCCGAGGGACATGCCGTCCATACCGCGACGCATCTGAGCCTCGCGGAGCTTCTCCTCGAAGAACTGCAGGTTTCGTCGGCCATCGCGCATCTGCGAGTCGAGTCGAGATCGGACGGCCTCGTTGTTTGTCTGCGCACGCATAGCATTGGCGGCATTAAGCAGCGCCTTTTCGCGCTCAATCTTCTTGAGGATGTTCTGGATGGCGTCTTCTTCGTTCATGTTGGGCGGTGGGGGTGCGCGACTCCACGCGCGGGGGAAGAGATATGTGGTGTGCTGTGGTGGTGTTGGTGTGGTGTGTGTCGGGGGTATGGATTGTTGGGGTGAAGATGCGGCGGCGCGAGGTGGCGACCGTCGGGAGAAGTGATGATGATGGTGGTGCTACTGATGCTAGAGCTGTAGTCATTCGCCCGGGGCGAAGAATGTGCGGCAGCGTAGGTATGGTAGCAATAGGTACGACGCGGCGACGGCAGCACGAGACGAAGCAGCTGTCTAAGGCTGAGGGGATAAGGCCAGGTCTGGCTCTGGAGGTGGAGGTGCAGATGTTCTGTTATGGATACCGGGGGTTCGGCGTCGGGGAGGGGAGGGGGGGCACCTCAGTTAAGGCTCGGGCAGGCCTGGCGGGTTTGGCACGACCTGGACGTCGAGATCGGTCTGTCGGAGGTCGGTGTTTGTGGACTATCACGACAGAGATTCGGTTGGGTGCGACCGGCCCTGAGGAGTGGTGTTGTTTTTCGCAGGCGGGATGGGTTGGTTAAAAGATGTCGTCAGTGGGTTTTGGAGCAGGACACACGACGGGGGGGGTTGTTCCCAGGTCGGGAGGGGTCGCTCGCTGGTGGTGGATGGTGGAGGACGTGCTGGGCTGGTGAGGTCCTACTGCCTTGGGCATGAGGAGGGGTACGAATAGTGACTTGGTCCTCCTGCTGTTTTGGCGGGGAACACTGCAAAGACCATGTACCTCTGACGTATCAGTCCTTTAATGCCAGAGAGTACGTACCGAAGACTCTGGAGGGGGACGACGGCGAAATGGAGGGGTGTTACGAAAGCGCCCGGGCGGACGAAGCAACTCTGTAACTCGATGTGAAGATGGCAGGCGAGCTAACCCATGATTCGGACGATTATTTCAATTACTACCGCCTTTTTTGGACGCGCTGGTCTTCTGTCCTACTACCTATCCAGTGTGATATCACCTCATTAGCATGTGGGAGCAGGCTGCTGCAGAGCATTCAGCAATACCGACAGATTTTTCCTTCCTTTCTTTCTTCTGCAAGGTATTTCGTGCATGCATCGCATCAGACCGCCAACTACAGACACCCGACATCACTTTCCATCTGCTTCCACATGGGGACCTGGTGATGCCCAACTCGTGCCCTGGAAGCATTGGTAGCGGGTACTGCACATCAACACATCAGGCATTCTCCCCCAATCTTCACCGCGTAGACATACACGCAGACAGCCTGTATTCGTATCCATAGGGCACCAAGGCTCAACCCCAGCTGGAGACGAGGTCCCAGGCCCCTCCAGGCTCCTCGTTCATTCATTCGCCTTGTTCCCGTCGCTGGTCCCTGTCTCACTCGTTCGTTTGGCCGCCGCTCAATCAAATCAATCAATTGTGGCGGCGCCTTGCAGAAACCCACGGCGGAAAAAATAAAAAAGTCCTGCGCCGGACGTGGGGCGACCAAATCCTAGCTAGGACTTTTTGCGCTGTTTCACCACGGTGAAGAAGACTCACTGCCCACGCCAATCATCCTGTGAACAAAGCCAGACGGGATTTAAAACCAGCTTTGCAGTACTGCATAGCAATGAGTTTCCCGTACACGATGGACAGGCACACAGGCTGCTCCTGAAGCTCTCGCATCTCAGGTATGACAAGTTACAGATCCCCTTCTCGCGGACAGCTACCTCCGCCGAAACTGCTGCTCTCAACCCCAAAGAAACATCAACCCGGTACCTTGTCTTGAGAACGGACACCTCTCTCTGGGTACTGGCGAATATGACTGGACGGAAACCAACTGATCCCACCTCGTGCAGCCTACCTACCCACCAATAGCGCCTTCATCACACCTCACTCGTCCGTCCGGCCCTCTCTCACCCTCCTCATCACATTCGCACTCACCACCACAAACAAACCAGATTCACCACAACAACCGAAGCTTGCAGCCCAGCTCCAGTGCCCACTGCCCAGCTGCCAGCCAGACAGCTTCTGCCTCTACCTAGGTTATGTTCGGGGCGTTTTCAGAGACCCAGTTTAAGTATGGCCAATCCTCGTTGGAGCTGCTTTCTGCTGTGTGCACCATCACTCGATTCACCCACCTACAACTCTCTCTATGATCTGATGATGCTGCTCCTGCTGCAGCCCTAAGTTTCCCGTTCCTCCCGTCTAGCTGCTTCCCTACCGCCGTAGCGCCTCTACCAATCGCAATCCCTCCGTCGTACTCGCCGTCACCATGCGCCGTCACTCTGCAACGGCCGCCTGTGAACCGGCCGGCCTTCATTTCAAGAACCCGACCCATCCCACGGAACCGCACATGTCAAAGCCGTTTACCCTCTCTGTTCAATGTCTCTTATCTTGCTCAGCATCGTCCGTGCCGTTGCATCTGCCAGATGGTCACTCAACACCACGACTCCCTCCCCAACCGTTCTAAAAGGCCGCCACAGCGCCACAGCTTCCACTCTTCCCCTCGTGATTGTCGTTCGCCGTCCGTCATCCCCGGCTAACACCTGCACTGCCGACGAAAAGGTCTCACTAAAACGTGCCCCCCGCCCCAGCAGCTGCCGGCCGGCCTTTCCGCGCCACACCGACGGCGACTCCTCCCCAGATCCCGCCCTATGGACTCCCGCTCCGTCACAAACGAACACAAACCACGCGTTTAGAATACGAGCTTTTTTACCAGCGAAGCTACCTACCTGCCCTCTTCGGGAGCCCAGAGTGGACGCTAAACGACATGTGCCATCGACTAAGCCATCTTCAGCTGTGCCGGACAACAACACGAGAGCATCTATTGACCGCACTCGTTGTTCTGTTCATGCCCAGCTGTGTAACGTTTACTTGAAACAAACCTAGCCCTCACCACAGCCAAAGATCGCCGGCCACTTCAGCCCAAACAATGACAACCTGCGGTTCAATGCCTGGCCCGAGTGTTTGAACATGGCTCCATTCATGCTCTCGAGCTCACCAGCAGGAACAAATCACAGCGTAACCGCGCCTCAGCAAAAAGGGCCAGTCCAGTTGACGACCGCTCCCAAAAAGAGCCCAGCGTCGTCGCGGAACCGTTTCGACCCCACCCGTCGCCGTCCATGGTCCTCCCCTCCACCGCCGGCCCGCCCAACCCCAACCAAACCCGGGCTTGCTTCTTGTCTTCCCTTATTTGCAACCCGCGGAACTCGACGCCAACGTGGGATGGCTACCTTGCCGTCGGAGAAAGCAAAGTGATTCCGTCATCGCGCCTCATAGTTGCGGCCCAAGCCGTTCATCATCCTCTCGCTCTCGCGACGTGCACGCATAGCTGAACCAGGCATCGATCACATTGTATCCTTTTTATAGCTTCAACATACGACGCAGCTGATCATATCGCGGCCGGCTCATCTGCCATCGCATAAAAGTCCTGCTTCGCAACGTTTCCCTAGAAATTCGGCGATGTGGTCTGTGTGTGCACTTTTTTCGATCTGATCTGATGTACGTTCCGCAACGGGACGCATGTACGTCGTCGAGCTTATGCCGGCAGTGCGTCCCGTCGAGCGGTCAACGTCTAAGCCACCCGGACAGTCGGGATGAAAAAGCGTCGACTTTCATGGGCTTGTATTGAGGTCGTCCTACTTTTGGAAGGGTGGCTTGAGATCAGTGTTTGATCTGAGATCTCGCGTGCTGAAGTTTGTTGGTGATAACGTGTTTTTGCAGCATTGATCGATCTTGCCTCCCAAACATCACTGAAAATTTTCGGTCAACAATCAACTAGAGAGCCTTGTCTGGGCGTGAGTTGTGGCATGGCTTTCGTCTAGTGTTATCGAGCCTGGGCTGAGAACGCACGCGTCTCGCCATGTCCTACGGATGACCAAGATGTACATGCGAATAAGCATGTGTCTTTTTGATCGCTGTTTGGCATTCCACCAATATATGCCTCGTTCTTCATTGATCAAAACATTCTGAACATACTGACGACCAAATAAACAAGGTTTTTGACGTGCTTCTGTAGCCTCTGATGTTTGATCTGCTATCCGCCAAATTAACCACATCATATCTCTCCAACCATAAAATATTAGCTTACACGATCCATACGTTTTAAACTCGGGAGAGTTCAAATACTTTACTGCAACCAGTGTTAACCACCTGGGGATCCGGGGTTAAACCCACCAGCCCGGCTATCATCTTGTCACTTCCTCTTCTTTATTTTCTCTCATGATTCCACTTATTTATATAGCATGTTATCGAAGCCGTCCAAGTGCATTCCCCTCCCAGACCTGGTGTCTTGAACTTTGCTCCAGTGAACATAACAATACCAAGTGGCGCTGTCAAACGTTCACCATAGTTATTGCTGCCTCCTATCTCATCATTGCACATGTCATTTCATGAGCCAAACCCCGATTGTGAATCGGGCAACCCAACCTGCACATATGGTTAACCCACCAAGAACATCGACACGGAATCACATACACACAAGTTGTCTAAAGACTCAATGAGCTAACAGGATATGATTTAAGAAGCAATCGACACCCAATACCGAATCGTGTCGCTTTTAACTACCGTCTAATAACCTACAAGCCCAAACGTCGCCATGGCACCATCAAAATCCCTTTAAGAAGTGTAATCCTTCTGCAGCAGCTTGGCAATAGTGTTGAGTTGGATGTTGCTCGTGCCCTCGTAGATGGCGCCGATCTTGCTGTCACGCCAGAACTTCTCGGCGGGCCCGTCACGGACGAAGCCCATGCCACCCATCCACTCGATCGCGAGACCGGACACGCGCTGCGCGACCTGGGACGCGTACAGCTTGGCCATGGCAGCGTCCATGACGAAGTTCTCGCCGGCCTCCTTCTTGCGGGCGGCGTTGTACACCAGGGCGCGCGCCGCAGCGATCTCGGTGTACGACTGCGCGATCTGGTGCTGCATGCCCTGGAACTCGCCGACGAGCTGGCCGAACTGCTTGCGGTCGTTCCAGACGTACCTGACGGTGTAAGTATGGAGTCACTGGCGGGCAGAAGTTGGCGGGAAACTTACTTGACGGCGTTCTCCCAGGAGCCGAGAGCCAGGCCCGTCATCTGAGCGGCGATACCAATACGACCCTCGTTCAGGAGCCCGATAGCATACTTGTATCCGTGGCCCTTTTCGCCGAGGAGGTTCTCCTTGGGGATCTCGACGTCGTCAAAGTTGATGACGCAGGTGCTGCTGGCCCTGATACCGAGCTTCTTCTCCTTCTTCGCAATCGAGAAGCCCTTGGTGTCCTTCTCGACAATGAAAGCGGTGATACCCTTGTAACCCTTGGCAGGGTCCAGGTTCGCAAAGACGATGAAGAAGTCAGCCTCCATGGAGTTGGTGATCCACATCTTGGAGCCGTTAATCTTGTACCCGCTCTCCGTCTCGGTGGCCTTGGTCGCGAGCGCGAACGCGTCGGAGCCGCTGACGGGCTCGCTGAGGCAGAAGCTGCCGACGGTGTTGGTGGCGAGCTTGGGCAGGAAGCGCTTCTGCAGCTGGCTGCTGCCCCACTTGATGATGGCGGTGTTGACGAGGGTGTTGTGGACATCGACCATGACGCTGACGCTAGGGTCGACGCGCGCGAGCTCCTCGATGCCGATGATGGCGCTGGTGAAGTTCATGCCCGCGCCGCCAAACTCCTCGGGGATCTCGACGCCCATCAGGCCCTGCTCGAAGAGCTGCTCGACGATGGTCGGGTCCATGTTCTCGGCCTCGTCCATCTCGCGGACCTTGGGCGCGATCACGTCGTTGGCGAACTTGCTGACGGTCTCGGCCATGGCGGCCTCGACCTCGGAGAGGTGGGTGATAGGCGTCGGGGGGATGTCGGTGATGTCGAGGTGGTCGGCCTTACGGCGGCGCTGCGTGGTGGAGAGAGGTCTGATGGTTCTACAGGAGTGTTTCTGTCAGTCCATTGCCCCGCAAGATATGTTTCTTTCATGGTGATCTATATCGACGACTTACTGCTGGAGTGGCGAGAATGTCCGGCCTGGAGTGCAGTTCCTCGCCCTCGCCAGCGCGGCAACACCACGGCTTCCCCTCATGGCAGGGCGCAGAGCCCTTGCAATCGACGACATGATTACAGAGAGACTGTAGAGAAAAGGCGAACTACAAATTGCCCCAGCAACGGCAAGTCCAGAAGAAAGAAAGAAAAATCGAAAACTCTCGAGAGGGCGGGTGATCGTAAGATCGCCGGAGGTGCTCTGGTACTTATGCTCCGTCGGTGACCGTGCGGTGGTGATGCGTAGAGAGAGAGCGCCCGGACTTGTATTGGTCAATTGGCGCCGAACGGTGAACCTGAGATGAGGCGATAGAGAGTAAGCAAATTTGGGAAACCAAATAAGCCAAAGGGGAAGGGGGGGCGAGTGGAAAATAGAGTCAAAGATGGGTACCGACTAGGCCGTGAACCTCAAAGCCATTCGCAGCCACGGCACCTGGCGGTTGGCGAACAGACACAGCGCCCGCTTCAGCCGAGGATATCCATCCCGCAGCGGGGAGCTTGCCCCCCCAGGCTGGGGGCCAAGGGCCCCTGGGGAGAGCCGACGGCGCAGCAAACGTCTGAAAAGCCGGGGTTCACCCACATTTTGGCGGCGGCTTACGTCAGGATCTTCCCCAAAGCGCGTTTGGGATTGGACATGGGCGGAGGCATGTGATCCAGACGAGGTGGAATCCGGTCCGCGTTCGGTGCAAAGGGCGGGTCAAGATGGCCGAAGGGGTGGGTCCGGGGGACGGAGCGCCGGTGGACTTTGTGCCTCAGGTTCCCAAACTGGACTAGAGTCTCCGGAGAGTATTAGCTAAGCAGGAAAATTCCCAGCGGCGGTTGAGCCAGGGCGACATAGGCGCATCGCGACGAGCTTCGGTTGGGAAGACAGCAATTGGGTGCCGCCAGTTCGATACGCAGTTGCCCGCCATGGCCAGCACACTCCTCAGGTCTCTCTTCGCCCCGGCGATGAGGCCAGCGACTTTCCCCCGCGCCGCCTCATTTCTCACATCGATGCCGAAGACGACGCCTATGATCCGCTCTTTCTCCTCGACCCCCATCCAGAATGCCACCGTCAACCAGGTGCTGCGAGTTCGTCTTCCCTCTCGCGAACCCCGGCATATTGCTAGATGACGAAAATTTGCTAACAAATTATCACCAGGGCTGCCACAAGAAGGGCAAGCGCGCTCGCCACACCGTCTCCCCTGCCCTGTCCGAGATGAACGCTCCCGCCATGAAGGGCGTATGCCTCAGAGTCGGTATTGTCCGCCCGAAGAAGCCCAACTCCGGCCAGCGAAAGACCGCTCGTGTTCGCCTCTCCAACGGTCGTCACATTACCGCATATATCCCCGGCGAGGGTCACAACATCCAGCAGCACAGTGTCGTTCTCGTCCGCGGTGGCCGCAGTCAGGATTGTCCCGGTGTGCGATACCACCTTGTCCGTGGCGCTCTCGATCTCGGTGGTGTTGGTAGCCGAACCACCTCTCGTTCCAAGTACGGAACCATGAAGCCCAAGAAGGCTACTGTCGGCTAGACGGGTACGTGAGGCGGAGACGGATGGACGGAGGTTGATGGCAGGAAGTCACGGGTTGCAAGAACATGACCAAAGCCATGGAATTACGATAACGGTGTGTGAATCGACACCAAGATGTACCACAATATGATGTACAAAAATACCACAAAGTCAAATTTGAAAATCTGGCTGGGTATTCTCCAGACGTCGCTTGTCATTTGCAAATATCTACAGAGCACACATAGTGTCCAAGCCAGACGAAACCCTTTGACGCCGCTCCACGTTTAGTGCCCCAAAGCCTGCCCATTGTCTCTCGTCGATGCAGGTGAAATTGAATCGTGGCAAACCCAAAAGCCACCCCAGTGAAATTGTTAATACAAGCTACATTTTGCCATACCCGCTTTTACGATCTTAATCTTGCTGGTTCTCGTAACCCTCGGGCTTCTCCATGCCGTTGGTCTCGAAGAAACGGCTCGTACCTGGACGTGGTTAGCTAAATGTGCTTGGACAGATTTGGAAAACAGCCAACTTACAAGAGTAACCCTTCCAGTCAAAGTTGTCCTTGGGGTTGCAGTGGCAGCGTCTGTCGAGGCGGACCTTCTCGCCGGTCGGGCAGTGGGTGAAGGGGACGTGGTAGTACGCAATGTCGTTGAAGAAGTGGATTTGCTCCTTGGGCAGCATGAGACCGGCGGCAATAGAGTGCACGGGCGCATCACCCCATCGCTCGTAGAAGAAACCACCGTCCTGGTCAAGGGACTCGAAGTAGTCGATGTAGGCCTTGGAACGAAGCCAGTTAAGGTCGCCGACCTCGAAGTTGGACCACTGATTGGCCGTTAGTTAGGTGGTCAGCAAATGGGAGAGCGGAGCAAGCTTACGAAATGGCAGTGGTTGTAGGAGTCACCACCGTCGTCACTCAGGAAGCTCATGGAGTTGCCCTCGGCAATGTGCTCGGGGTGGTTCTTCATGAACTTCTTGGTGCTGTCCCAAAGGGTGGGGATGGTCTCGACGTACTCGTACAGACTCAGGACGAAGCTGTACTTCTTGTTGTTCTCCTTCATGAAGCGGAACGGGTCGTAGTGGATGTCGCAGAAAAGCTCAATGGAGGGCTCGACACGCCAGTAGTAGTCGTAGTTCATCATGGCGGGCTGGCGGAAGAAGAATCCAGACTCGAAACGGCACATGTGACGGTAGCTGACCGAGTCACCGTAGATGATCTTGCGCTGGGCCATGTCCTCGCGAACCTTGCGTGCCTTCTCCTGGTCAATGTGCTCGGGGAAAGACCAGTGCTCCTTGGGAATCTCGCCGTAGATAGTCTTGCCGGACACAAGGGAGGAAGTGACCTTCTTGAAGGTGGCATCGAAAGGCTTGTCGTTCAGGAAGACCCAATCGTAGTTGTAGCGGCGGTTGAAGCGGTCCTCAACCTGGCGAATGGAACGGGCAATGTCCCAGATATCAGAGTTACGGGCGAGGGTGACGAAGGTCGCGTTCATGCGGGGACCAGGGGCGATGCCGCTGTTGAGGTCGTCCCAGCCGGGCTCGTTCGGGGTCATGGCCATGGGCCACTGCTTGGGGTCGTACTTCTCGCCAGCCTTGAGCACGTTGGCTGGGGGCTTGCTCGCGGCGTGTTCAGGTTCCTTCGCCTGGCCCGGCTGGCTTTGCTGACCTTGTTCTCCTTGCTGACCAGGTGCAGCGCCCTGTCCCGGGGACTTGAAGCTGCCATTCTCGAGCCTCACACCCTCGTAGCTGGAGTGGGAGATGAAGTAGAAGACGGCGAGACCCTAGGAGACAGACAATTAGAACCCTGATGGATGGATTTTGATGGATGGATAAGTGATTTTGGTGTTGTCTGGGAACATGACCGGAGGCCAAGAGAGGGCGCGACCACAAGATGCGCTGGCAGGAGGCGGCGAGGCGTCACTTACGAAGGCGGCGAAAAGAATGTATCGCACATAACGTGCGGAGCCGGTCGCCATCTTGACCGATTTTACCAGGTCGACGATGGGATCCCGTGTAGGTGAATAAGAGCTGGAGAAGAATCGAACAAAAGCGCACTTCCTCGAGGTGAACGAGGTTGGATAAAAAAAGAGAGGGAGGGAGATGCAGGAAGGGATACGAATACACAGACACGTCCAGGAAAATGTTCAGAGCGATGGACTGACTGGCTCGGGCCAGCTGGAGCACCTCAGCACGCAGCAGCACTTTAGCAAACTGTGGCATGGACTTCTAGGGACCTCGCAGACTCCCACAGGGTGCAGTGGTACGAATGCAGCAGCGTACGCAGTGCGTCTGCCCCGAAAAAGGGAACCTAACGCTAGTGGAGGAAGTCCCGCGACGTCGATTAAAGGGGGTGGGGCAACAATTGCTGAACTGGCCTGAACCCGGGGCTACGCAACTCAAAAAGTGCCCTGCCGCAGGACTCAGATACACCGGACGAGAGACATGCTTCTGCAAGGAGTACAATGTCCCGCACCCTTTCAGGTAGGTAGCTGAACTGCTGCTGCTGTTGCTGATGGTCCAGAGTACGGATACTGACGGGCAGAATTAGACTCAGCCAAGACAGAGATGGAGCACCATGGCGCAAGCAGCTACAAGCTCAACTCAACAACTCAAGTCAACACGCTGACATGAACATGTTCCTCCGCTAGGTGCCTCGAGGACGCGAGGCCAGCATGCATCACTCACATCAACTGCCTTGTGGCCAGGACTCTTCATCCGTCCTACGGCGTCCATCCGAAGACCATGTTCAATGCTGAGGACTGACAATGACATGAGGTGGTGACAGTACCGGCATCCGTAGCAAGTATTCAAGAAAAGTCTCGAGTACCTCATTCAACACAGGGGTCTGAAGTGGGCTCTGGGCGTCGCGTTCCTCTGACAGCTGTGTACCTGCTACACGCTCCTCTTCGCCGCAGCAGCTGCCGCGTACCCGTTCCCTCTGGCTTGGGTTGCTCCGCGGGCCATGATCGGAACAGGGAATGTGGCCACTGTGAGAATCGATGGCCACCGCCTCAGCCCAGCTGTATTCAGGCACATCAGGCCCAGGGGCCTTCCCTTGCGAACCGAGAACCAGTCGATGGGAATTTCTCCGTGCCATCGACCTTGCTTGCCCGTGCAAGCCGTGCGACGGGATGATGGGGGTGGGAAGCTCCCATACCACCCGACATGAGACTTGGCTAGAAGAGGCCACCGCCCTGTGAGAATATCAGCTCTCGTTTGGCCTTCTGTTCCTCGTTCTGTCCCCCCTGCGCTGCCTTCTCAGACCTACAGATAGCATATTAAAAATATGTACATCTGTACACCTACTCAAACTCTCGTTGCCCCTGGCAGATCTAGCGGCCTCGTGTTTAGTGAAGATACATTACCATTGTAAAGTCCCCGGGGATGCTGGTCTCTCCATCGTCAGAGACAACAAGTACCTCCCGATAGTGTCACATCGTGGAATCTGGTCCTTGCCTCTTGGCTCTTTCTAGCAACGGGACACATTTCGACAACCCCAAATTGGCTGCCCCAACTCATTTTAGGGCCTTTGGTTCGTATTGAATCCAAAGCCAAGATGCTGATCGTCAACGACTTTTCCTTCCGTAGACAGAGCCGAGTGAAGCCGCAAACGATAACTGTGCTGCAAGCATAGAATAGCAGAGCATCAGTCCACATGGAACCAGCAGTTAATGCTTTTTCCCACAGTCATCACGAGGCTCAGCAGCACAATCATCAACTACAGCGCACACGATGCGCTGTTGACGGCGGACAGTCCGAGATCAAGACACCATCTCACTTGGCACTGGGCGCTTGAGTGATCGTGCTTTCATGCCGACGGCGTCAAATCTGTAACCAAGTACCTTATCTGGTACAGGGCAGGTTCTGGAACGCAGCCCTGCTGTCTAGTAGTTCTGTGTGTGTGCCAGTCAGCTATTCTTGTGTCTCCAGCATCTCAACGGGATGAACCTGTCAATCTCCAGGCAACATACTCTTGCCACGAGTAGAAGCAAACTCGCCGGAAATATGACTCGTCTCGCGATGAACATCCCAATCAGACGTTGCGTCCTGACAAGCAGACGTTTGCGGCACTCAAATCCGACAATGACGAATGCTGGCACCCGTTTCTCGGCTGTTCGGAGTGTCGACTGTTGCGTGTTGTAGTCGCCCGCAGAAGGAAATCTTCGTCCAGAGGACGCCTGAGGGCACAGCTTGAACAAAATCAGGCCATCGATAGCACAGCGGCATCAAAGTCGCCAGAAAAAGTTGACGGAAATAGCCAAGTAAACAGTTGCGCGATTGATCTGAAATGAAGGTATCCAGCGGCCGTTGTCTTAGCTTTGTCATGCCCAGAGTATCGGTTCCGCGATACCTGCTTGGGGGTAGCTGAGCTATTGTTATTTCCAGTTTCCAGCCACGGAGGTCTTCAGCAGCGGCTAAACATGGATCGCTTCATGACAGTGGCGGAGAATTCACACATGTCCTGTTCAGTAAAGTAAGTTGAACCTAATACAGCATTGATCCAAATAAGGCTGAGTAATAGGATCAAGCAAGGGAAGGCATCGAAATGCTAACCATTGGACGAAGACATCTACGGAAATGTGTCTGATTTTTGTTCCCATCCTTAAATAAGATGCTGAACGCGTTAATCACAGTCACATGGACTGCACTGCACCATGGGTTACTTCTTGCCGCAAAAGTAGCCCCCAAAACATAAGGCTGAGGGAAAATGGCCCTGCAGGTTGGCGAGTTGGGTGAAGTGGGTTTCTAGAGCTCCTAGCAAGGTATTGCGCATGCTCATTCTGGAGAGCTTCAGCTGGAGGTGAGGTGAGCTGAGTAAGAATGCGACGATGCTGATCAGCTTCCCCTGGGAAAGTACCCCTCCAGGCACCTTTTGGCGCGGGAATACATGCCACGTTATGACGAGAGGGGCTGCTTGTCCCGCAACGAGTGACTAATGTATCACGTGACATCATACCTTGCAGCTCGCCCAACCAAGCTCTACCATTGGCCCGGGCGGTCCCTGGATGTGGGGGCCCAAGGCTCTCGAGCCTCAATTCCTCCCCACGAATGCGAATCGGTGCATCACCACTTCGGACATCGCATCCCAACCCCAGTGACGCGACACTGTTGTTTCTTTTCCAGCAACGCCTCTACCTGGCGCACTGTTTTCGACCCTGTGCTTTGGTAACATTGTTATCTCTGGATGTGGTTTTACTGAGCAACCCGGCTATAATCCTTCTGTTTATGCCCTGTCGCTTTGCTCGCCTCTTTTCGAATCTGGCTTTGACGACATCATGATAGTTTTGGGAGCCGCTCTAGTGAAAGCCACAGACCTCTCATTCTCTTAGTGGTAAGTCACTGGCTGCTTCTCTAACTATTCCTTGAACTTGGCAAGTGCTTTCAATCCTGCTTCCTTGTTTGTTGCTGCGACTTTGCCACCCAACTGCGCGGGACAGAGCAAGCAAGCAGCCCGACTGCCTACTGGGTTTTGAGTTACCAGCCTCACGAGGAGGTAGTGGGGAACGACGGGACCTCTCCTTCCTATCAGTTCACAACTGAGGCCCTTAAATGGAGCAGGGATCTTCACTCTAGACCTCAGTCTCTCTGACGTCACCATACCATCTACTTCGCCATCCTAGTCAGATATCTCGAATCCGATGCTGACCAATACCTAGTATACAGCTATCTTTTCCACTGCTACTACGACGAAGACGGACCAGCCAAACACCATGTCCTTCTTCGGTTTCGACCCGACCCGTGGCGGCGGCCACAACACCTCCGCGCCGGGTTTCTCGCAAGCTCATGACCCGTTCGCCGGCCTCTCTCGCGGCAACCAAGAGGAGGACGACGCCGTCGACTTCGATGACACGTACGATGGTCTCGGAGACCAGCTCGAGGAAAGTGGCGACGCTTTCAACGACGACACCTTTGGCGACGGCGGCGGTGGTGGCGGCGGAGACGAGATTATCTCTGCTCCTGTCGGAAAGGATTTCGATTTCTTCGGTCAGACGGCCAAGGTCTCGAATGCCATCGAGGAGGAGCAGGTTCGCTACAGCCGCCAGGTCCCCGCCTCGAAACCCGCGCCTGCCCAGGCGCCCGTCCAACATCACCATGTTCCTCAAGCTCAGGCCATGCCGAACTACTACTATCCTCCTCAGCCGGCCCCTCAGCCTGTTCGCACTGGCTACGAGAAGTACAAGGAGGCGGAGCCCATCCCCGACCTTCACGTCGACGCGTCTATCTGGGGCGTGCCTTCCAAGAAACCCGCCGCCGCGCCTTCTCCCCAGCCCCAGGCCGCACCTGCCTCCAGTAGCCGCAAGATCATGAGTCTCGAGGAGGTCGAGAAGGCTATGCGCGAGCAAGCCACCAAGCGACCAGCCCAGGAACCTGCCCCTGCTACACAAGGATACCCCCAGGATTACGGCTACGCCCACCCGCAGGCTATTCAGCAGCAGCAGAGTTTCCACGGCTCCGACCAGCAGCAACAGCAGCGCGGCAGCCAGGTGCCTCAACACGCTGGTCAGGGCCATCCGGTTACCATTCTTCAGCGTCCTCAGTCTCTTACTTCCAAGCCGACCCCGCCCATTCAAAACACCCCCAGCCCGCTTGCTCAGCCTCCTCATTCCCAGGCTCCCTCTGTCCAGCCGACTCAGATTCTCCAAAACCCTAACCGACTGTCCGGTGATGCTGCTCGCATTGGTGCCCACGGCCCTCAGCCTCATGGCCATCAACAGGCTCACGGTCAGAATGCACACCGATCACAGGGTTCGTCAGGTCGTGTACCTCAGGTCTCCCAACAGCAGCACCTGAACCACCTCTCCGAAGATGAGAAGGCGGCGTACCTAGATCAGGAGACCAAGCGTGCGAAGCGCAACCACAAGATCTGGCTTCTTTCTAAGGACAACGGTCTCATGACTCCTCAGGACAAGAACTTTGTCACCCGTATCCAGCTGCAGCAGCTTGTCTCGGCCACCGGCAACCCGATTGACCACAACAACGAAGCCTCAATCGCAGAGGACTTTTACTACCAGGTTCTTAGCCAGATTCGCGGTGGCCAACGCCAGAACCCTAACCAGCCCCTGAACAACTTTGCTCAGACCTACCTCTTCCAGACTGGAAGTCGTCAGGGCAACATGAGAAGACAAGGAAGAACTGCCGAGAACCACGTGCAACGCATGGAGCAGCAAGTCCAGCGTGCCGTTGAAGCCGCCAAGAACAAGCCCAAGAATCCCCAGCTTGTCATTGCTGGCAGTCTCGGAAAGATCTCCTTCAGCAACGCCAAGACACCTAAGCCACTGCTCAACATCAAGCGCACCGATAGCAGTGGTGACGCCCAGCGTCCTGGAAACGGCAAGCGTCACTACACGGAGTCCAACACTGTGGACCGCAAGGCCATCTTGAAGAACATTGAGAGCGTTTACACCACAGTCATGAAGATGGAGGACCACGCCCGCCACATTCCTCCCCCGCCCACCAATGGCAACGACGAGGAATTTCACGCGAAGCATCAGGAGTGGCTCGAGGTGGCTCAGACTCTCAACGGCCAGCTGTGGGCAGACCTCAAGGTTCACGAGCCTATTGGTGCTACCACCATTCACCCCTTCATCGCCTTCCTGTCGTTCCCCAAGGGTAAGAAGGCCATTCCTCGTGTCTTCCGACACATCAGCTTCGAGCAGCGCACCACTATTCTCACGATGGTTATCCTCCACTTGGATCAGCTGGATGTTGTTCGCGGTGCCCAGATGACGGATGGTGAAGTCAACCTTAACGCTGCCATGCGTGAGAGCATCGAACTCTTCTCCGCGGCTGTCATGCCCAGCCTCTTTGCCTACTTCAACGAGACCGAGCTCGATATCGTCACAGGTGTCCTCGGACTGATTACCAAGCTGAACATCGACCTCATTGCCAGAACCCGCGTGGGCTGCTCAATGTTGACTCTCATTCTGAGTCGTGCAGAGCTTCTCAAGCAAGGCGGTGGCGGCACCCCTCAGCTTTGGGCCGAATGGTAAGCACATCTAGATCGAAAATGATAACACCAACTAACACACTCATAGGGAGCAAACCTTCAACCTCTTCTTCAACATCCTGGAGCCGACCCTGCATCATATCTTCCCTGGCAGCGTCAACACCGGAGAGGATGTTGTCGTCTGGCAGCTTCTTGCTGCCGTGGGTGTCAGTGCAAACCCTGAGCAGCAGCAGCGCCTGGTTCTTGCTGTCAAGGATCGTGTTCTCGACACTGTTGCCCACGCGAAGACCCTTCCGGGCGCCATGGCAACGACCCGGTTGGCTACGGTCAACCTGTTTATGCACTCCATTGGTTTGGATGTTGAATTGCTTCAATAAGACGATATTTAGTGCGAATGATGGGACGATCACGGCGCGAACTGCGCCATCACACATGCTTGGGACGCTACACTTGTTTATTGATGCGTTGGAAGCTTGGGATGCTGCTAGCCTTACTCGACGCTTGGCCCGTATTTTTTGAGGGCATCGAGATCACCGGGAAGTTGTGGTACGGGGGCTACAGCTTGATGGAGACTTGGACTTGCGGGGGGCTATCCCATGGCTATATGCACAAAACATATCTCGTGTACATTACACACGACTCTATGAGATGACGCCGCGAAAGTATTATTAGCGGTGCGTCGAGACCAGCCTTGCTAGTTAGAGCAAACAAAATCTGCATTTAAAGTAATAATCCATCCCTGAACCGTTTTGTCTACAACGTACCGCAACGCCTAAGCTATGCAAATCAAAATGCTGGCCAGCATCACTTTATGTCAAATCCATGCTCGATGATGCCTGAGCAGGCGCAGCTCTAGCCTTGCCACCTCGCCTTGAACCGACAGCGCCACGAGCCTTGGGTTTCATCTTCCGTGCCTCTTCCTCTGCGGCGGCCGCGGCAGCCGCCTCGGCATCCTGCTCTGCCTGTGATACCGGCTTGGGCTTCTTGATACCACTGACAGCTTCCAGCAGTTCATCGTCGCCCCATGTGGTCTCCAGTCTAGCCATAGACTCCGCCAGGTCAACCGTGGGCTTCGTCTCAGCCTCACCCGCCTCGATAGCGGCCTTCTTCTTTTCCTCATCCTCTTCGGCCGGGGGCGGCTTGTTGTCGCCAGGGGCGCGGAGAATGAGGGACTCCTGGTAAATCTCCCAGGCGGCCTCGTCGTTCTCGTCCGTGTACTTCAGCTTGCGCCAGGGCTCGATCTGGACCGAGCGCAGACGGTCGGCCATTGTCTCGTTCTTGGCCGCTGCGCCGTCGGGGGTCGTCTTGATCGTCATGTGAATCGCGCGCGCTGCCGCAGCGCCCTGGCCTCCTGCACCCGATGCTCCCGCCGCCGGTGCCGCGGCGGCGTTCTCCTTGGCGGCAGCTGCGGCGGAGGCGTTGCGCTCTTGTTGGGCTACTGCGTCGACGTGGTGCAGCTGGGGTCGGAGGTGGACGAGATTTGTTACGGGTGTGAGGTGGAGGTCCTCTATTCCTTTCGTCAGGATTTCTTCATCCGAATTGGGAGAGGAAAGCACTTACTGCCCTGGAAGACGCCAATCATGTACTGCACCTCCTTGTGATCGGGACACTGTCCACCGAGAGTCTGCGTACGCAACACCTTGTCCTGGCGCACAGCCTCGGGCCACTCGAGGTACATCTCGTCCTCCAGATCGATCTCGCCGCGCCTCTTGGGCCGGGGCGGCGGTGCGCCGACGCCGAAGCCTCCAGAGAGGCCGTGTGTGCCGCCGTTCTTGGCTTCAAGACTCGCCTTGAGCTGCCGACCCCATTTCATTCCCTTCTCCTTGTCATAGGACTGAGTGTAGTCGAGAGGCACGTCGACCTCGACCATGCCGGAGCGGGTCTTGAGGCGCATCTCGGTGGGCGTGGCCTGGCGCGGGTCGGTGCGGTTGGGTTGCTGCAGGACCCAGAGCTTGCGGCCCTGCGGGAGGGAAGGGTTGAAGAAGACGTCGTAGGAGGCGATGACGGGGTCGGCGTCGGCGTCGATGGGCTCGGGCGTCCCGGGGGACATTGTCGCTGTTGGGGCGGGCATTTTGCGGGTGGTGCTGGGTGGGAGGTGTGACTCCCCTCGTCGCGATGTGTAGTCAGATTTGGAGGTTTGGCTATGGGAAATTTTTGGATTGGAGAGAATGAGTTACCCCACGGTCGGAGACGTCAGGGCTTATCGATAAGAGTACAGGAGCTAATCCTGGTCTGGGCGAGTGGTGGGGGACGAGCTCCATCTCCTGTTGCTTCCAGGGCGGCAAGTGTTACAGTGTCATTCGTCCAGCATCACAACGTCGAGCAACACAACTTCAAGATGGTGTTCACGAAGTTGTCATTATTCCACGCTCTTTGTGAGCTGCCAATTTGTCAGCGAACACAGCGAACAGTCTGCACGAGTGATTGATAGATCCTCAAAAGGGCCCAGGCAGCTGATGCGCCTCTTCTACTATCCGATGTCTGCTTTCCACCAACTATACTCGAGAAGCCTCAACATGCGACGACTTTCGTGATCGTCATCCATCACCAGATTCAAGGCGACTCAGCACTAACATCTCAGTTCCTCCCAAGCCGCTCGAAGGATTGCATAATCACATTTGGTGCCTTATCCTGCAGGTCTTTGTGAGCTTAAATGACGAAGACGAAGTAAACTCCTGCATCCGTCGTATCCACGAAAGATGCAACACCATCAGCTGGCCTCTAGTTGAGATGGATCTTGCAAGCCTATCCTTGCAATATTTGACGAACCATCTAGGTCGTCGAATCACTGTTGTATGTCAGTCGAGTTGACGCGACTAATTCCTTAGTCTCTCCGGTCTTAATGTTATCCTGCATCAGCCTTAGGACTAGAGCTCACCTCGACTACATAACCAACTCTAAGGCTGCAGGACGTTAGTTGTCTTAGTCTTCGGGAGTCTTGAGGTCCATGACAACTGGCAACGCTACGCCTTTTTCTGCACTCGTTCGAATCAAGTCCAAGTAGCGCTGATGAGAGACGCTAAACACCACGTGAAAGACTTACACAGGAATACTAATTGAAGGATGCTCAACCCTTTTAATATCTAAGCACGGCCCTTCAGCTAAAAGAAGTCGCGAGTAGGAAAGAAGAAGTCGCAGAAGCCCTCGCGAGCACAACATGGCAGCCGACGTCCCGAACTCTCTGAACTGGCTGTCATTCGTGACCGGGATCCTAGGCTTTGCCCTGACGACACTCAACTTGATCGCATTGTACGCCAACTTCGTCGCCACAATCCGCGCTGCGCCTAGCGAGATCCGTGACTCTCTGGGCAACCTTCGACAGCAGCTGTGCGAAGAACGCGAGGCGCTGCGTCACCAAACGAAAGAGATCAGGGGCAAAAGCAAACTACGACAGAAGATTTCTCACATCGGAGAAAAGAATGCCAACGCCGAGGCACGCAGGGCGCTGGAGTATGCAGAGAAGACGCTGCCGCTGCATTACATGACGCTCCGCGACCTCTGGAGAACATTCAAGGAACTTGAAAGACCATTCTTGGTGGCGAGCGGGCACCGAGCCGAGGCGATTCACAACGGGGCTTCGTGGGGCGAGAACGACCTCGACGAGAAGGTCCGCAGCGACTTTGAGAAGCATGGTGAAATGGGGAGTTTTGCGGACTGGAGCGCGTTGTACAAGTGTGACTTTGCGCATCGCTTCATCTGGTGGCAAGTGAAGGATTCTGTGAAGAAGTTAGGAGACGAGGTCATGAGAGTCATGGCAAGGAGGACGGAGAGGGAGGTTACGTATACTCGAATGATGGTTAGGCAAATGTATCTTGGTGATATATCTGGACACGGTAGTGATAGGGGCCCGAGACGGCCTGGAGACGGTGGCGGAGGTGGAGGTGCAAGAAGGAGGATGAGTTGGGGTTCCTCGATACCAGCCAAGAGGAGGACGCCGCAGCCAAGGTACGAAGAGTCTTCTTCTTCCTCTCGGCAAAGCAGCGATGACGACAGCCGAACAACAAGACGAGGTTCAGGAAAAGGTAGAGACACGAGCCCGGTTTTCAGTGAGCACAGACTGAGTCATCCGCGGAGTGACGCTGCTACAGTCGGAAAGCACCGTTACAACTCTGGGCATCGTCGTGAGCACAGCAGAGGTGGATGGCAAGGATTTCGAACAAGGGCAGATCGAGCCTACGAGATTAGGGAGATGCGCAGGGGCCGCGGACAGAGGATTATTGAGGTTATCCCTGGGAGTGAGATTGATGATTACCCCCGAGCACGGCAGCAAGACGAGGTAAAGTGAGGTGCGGCATGCGGAGAATTGTAATGTTATTAGTCTCATGAAGATAATCTGCGTTACCTTTTCATTCCATATTCCAACTCAGAGAGCGTAGTCTGTCGAATGAGACCATCGTTCAAAGGTCATCCTCCTCGTTCCAAGCTACGTCTTAGTCGTTAAGGCGCCCTCGCAAGGATGGTCCCATACTTTGAATGGGTCTGGTTGCCGGCTTCATCCATTGGCGAGGGCACAAAGTCTTTGACCTGCAAGCCCGCCTTCTTCTGGAACACGAGGATGATATCCGACCCCCCGAACAAGAAGGTTGAGATCTCGTCGCCCTTCCTCACTGTATCCCCCGCTCTTACTGTCAACCTGACACCCGATACAATGGCCATGCCAATCGGCAGCACGGCCACCTTCCCGATCACCGGGTTATCGATGATGACGCAACCCCTGGTTTGGAGGAACTGGTAGCCCGGAGAGTCGGGCACCTCCAGCACGCACTTGGAGTCTTGCCTCTTTTCTTCATCAGAGACCGGGATCTTTCGGATGGGTTGGCACTTCTCGTTGACCTCCATATAGGCCGCCCCCTGGATGTTCTTTGCCGCAAGTACAGTACCGGATACAGGCGCATGCTGGCGGTGATAGTTGTACGTGTTGAGGAATGCATGCATCCAGATACCGCCATTGAACTCACACGCATATCTGCTGCCATGTAACAAGCTATCTATGGTCCATGGAATACCCTTGATCAGAACCTCACCCATGTTGTTGATGGCGACAAGGCTCTGATTCTGGAGGCTGTTGTCATACGTGCAGTCGGCAGGGTAGCAAATAACCTTATCGTCATCCGGGTGGGAGATAGGCCTCATTCCCTGTTTCAGCTTGCGAGAGAAGAAGTCGTTGAAGGTACGAAAACCCCCTTCAGGCTCTATGGCTTCGTGTTATTCGTACTTTGGGGAGTTTTTGAAGGACTCCAGGGTCTGAGGGGTGACGGACATGGGAGTGTCCAAGAACTGCCCAATGAGCTGCGAGAACATCACTATCCAACTGGAGAGCGGACTCTGAGGTAGGCAGACCGACTCCGGTGTGATTCGCCTTTGCAGTCCAAGGAGCGGCTCCTGGTCGAGAATGAAGTAGAACATGCAGAGGATGTCGTAAATGTCCTTGCTCTGGACGTCCTCCTCTGGCTGCCACCTCAACAACTCATTAGCGAAGACGAGGAATCTGAAGCCGTTTGTGATTCTGAATCTTCTCATGTAGTCGAGGATCTTCCTTTTGGCCGACTCCACGGCCGTGTCCAACGCTCCGGGGCCAGCCTTCTCGAGAAGACCTACGAGGACGATGATGGCCGCGTTGAATTTGGTGAAGTCGCCTTCTGCGGGGTCCGGAATGCTCGAGTCATCCATGCCTGAGCGATATTTGCCCACTTGGGCTGAATAAAGTTCTCCAGGAAAGCAGGCTATCGGCGGGGGTATCTTGAATACGTCTCTGTGGCCTAATCTGGTGTAAACTTCAATGGAAGGTGCGTGGGCATCCTGCGACGGAGGAGCTCGTCAGGGACTATGGAGAAACCACAGAAACGGCCAAGGCAGTTTTGAAGAATGATGATTGATGCTGTAATGCGGATGCTTTCATCTTGTCTCAAAACGATATGATGCTATTGGTTGTGAGCTCTAGCCGCAACCGGGCCTCCAAGGCCTTTTCTTTTGCATGTATACTGACCTTCTTGTTGCTCTTGTTTACTTATTAGCATTCGTGCCTCTCTCCCTTGTCTTTCTTGCCGTCCTTGTCGTCCCTTCTATTCGTGTTGTTTCTTACTCCTTTGCCCGAATAGCTAGGAGTATTCTACTGTCTCTAGAAGAGGATGTCTCAAACATGCTACGTCCATGTAATCATACCCCTGATCGCGCTAGGCGGCTTATGAATTTGTGGTCTTGTAAGTTGGCTACTGTCATGCCGAAAAGACCAAGATACACGGGCGCCAAATCATGGGGGCCACAAGGGCGCGCATCTCCACTGCCCTTCCGCTTTTCGAGGAAGTTGTCCATGATCATCCGAATAGCTGTGTCTACTGTTTGACCTCGTACGCGAGAGACTGCAGGTCCGCTCACTTCTTCGTCGTTGGGCCGTGGCTCGTCTGTAACTAGTTTCTCATGCTCTGCATTGGGATCGAGGTGGTTGTTGAATTCGACGTCTACGATAGCAGACTTAACAACTTTGGCTTGCTCAGGTTCGAAATACGGTTCGCTGATGTAGTGCTCGTCTGTGGTGCTATTGAGACGTTTCGCTGAGTTGACATCCTTCGCAAGGTTTCGCAAGTCGAACAAGAGGACGCGCAACTTGTAGCCTAGAGCAGGGTCATCACGAACAGTGGAAGTCGTGAGCTGTTTCAGTGTAGGTGAATTTGACTGGTGGCTAGGCTTGCCAGGCTTCAATGACTTTCTTGAATCTTTGCAGGCCATTACGTAGATATGAGTGGACAGGGAGGTCAAGGATATATACTGATTGGTGATGTGTCTGAGGCGTTAAGTGTGTGGAAGATGATGGTGGTTGGGCGTGGTTGAAGGAGAGAGTGTTCAGTAGACTGCAGATTCAAGTAGGTCTATTTAATGCGGAGATCGTTTGCTGAATTCTCAGGGTTCAATGTTCCTCTTTGCACTTGAACCTAAAATCTTCATAGCCTATAGGTGGTTCACGTGGCGAAGAAAATCTTGACCAAGCCAACCGGGTATCTGAGGCTACTTACTCGATGCGCCAAACTATTCACCCCCCTTGTCAGCCACAAGCATCAGATTTCTTGGTGAAATCTTGTAATCGAAGATGGGTAAAACGTCCACGTTCTGCGCTCCATTCTCAACGAGAAACCAGTACCGATCAAGGGCAATTACGCTCTCAACAACCTTGCAGCAAAGCACGCTCAATGTCCACAAAATCGCTACTTTGCCTTCGCAATCTCCATAACGAGCCTCATATTTGAGCAATTCAGCATCGCTTATATCGCTCTTGTCAATGCCTAGACAATGCATTGCTCGGCTCGCAAACTCTTTAAAGCTGGCCATGTCACCTTTTCGCACTCCCCAAACCGGCCGATCTTGCTTGTCGAGTTCAATGCTCTTGTCGAAGAACACCTTCTCTAGAAGCGCTCGATAAAAGCGTCGTTTTGAGTATACCGACTCTTCCTTGCTCGGGTCCGCCTTCTCCCAGTTGTTTGGTGCTTGACATCCGGTCATAAGGGCTGTGGCGCTCAAGGTGAGCTTTCTGTCCCTCATTTTTGCGCTGATCGGCAAGCCATTGGGGCAGCTGTCAGAAAGGGGCACAATGTGGTTGTAGCAGCAGCCAACTGCACCTAAACACTCGATGAAGGGTATTGTTGTGAAGTATCTGAGCATGTGCTCAGACAAGTTCCCGCAGGCGTGCAAGCCGATGAGCATGCATTTCTCTCCTCCAGCCCAGGCAGCGATCTCATCTGCCAGTAATCCAGTGCCATCGATGTAACGCAGCAAGTGTTGTATCCTGTTCTCGATTCCAAGACTGGCAGCGCACGATCTCGAAGCAGCAATCTGAGATTCGCTGCCATCTATCGCCAATACGTGCAAATTAGGGTAGAGGTAGGCAAGCGATACGGATAGGTAACCTTGCCCGGATCCCATGTCGATGATGCGAGTGATGTTGTTGGCTTGGCAAGTCCCCTGGATGTAGGCAGTCGCAACAGAAACTTCATCGATCTTTTTTGTCTTCATCCGAGCTGTCAAAATTTCGGGAAGAGAGATCCTAGGACCGACACGTTGGGTACGATGAAGCGAGAGTGACCGAATGTTTTCCAACCAAGTTGTCAGTGAGTCTGGTCGCCCTAGAATTGGCTTCAGCTTTCTGTCGTTGACTTTCGTGGTTGCGGTATCTGTTGATTCATCGATGCTATCGATCAAATCTTGCTGCGCCAGACGATGATCTGGCAGTGATGACCACCACGACGTCCACTCCGGAGGCAGTGCCTCCCACGCGTTATAAATCAGCGCATCATTGACATGGATACCGCCAGTAATTTGCTGAACCAAGGGGGTGTTGATGAACTCCAATAGATCCTCGACGTACTCGTCGACGTTGAGATAATCTCCCGGCAGGTCAATCATGGCGAGCCAGCTGGGGTTGTCTTGATGTAAGATGATTGGGGGTAGATGAAGTTGGCAGCTCGCTGTTAGAAAACCCATAAACAGATTTGTTGTGGTAGGCGGTGCCTGACGGCAGAAAGGGGATGTTTCCCTTAGTTGTCGCCCTGCCGTGGCATCTCACTTCCAGAAACTTGATTATTGTATATGTTACATGTTGACGTTAATGGATACATAAAAGCCTGGAAATTTTGTCAAAATATCAAGATTTTGCGATTCGTTGTTGCAACCTGCGTGTTTTGTAACTGCCTCAACGGATTTACCTTACAACACTAAGACACGAAACCGGTCTGAGCATTCTGATCAAAGAAGTTGGATTTTGAGATCCCTACAAAAAGAAACAACTATACAAACAGACGAAGAGTCAATAAATTCTACTAATGCGAACAAGGTATTACAAAAAAAACACTTTGGAGGACCTATATATGTGCCAGACTATTGTCACCAGGAGTCTGAGATGCAGGGCATTTATGTTTGCATACACCTCGACTTGCATTTACCGCACCTTGCAAGTCTTGACAACATTTTGCACCAATCCATCCTTGCGTCGAAATTCGGGCGAGAATGATTCCATCATCTTCGGGGTCAGAGCACGACGAGCCTTGCCCGCCTCTGCGAATGCCTCCCGGGGTGGCTTGCCACCTCGCATGCCCGCAGCACCAACCAACATGCCAAGGATGGCGAAAGGAGCCGAGTTGGGATCTTTGACAATATCGACAATGGATATCGCGGCGTTTCCTGCTTCTCCAATAATCAATGCCATGGAAGCCAGGCGAGCGGCACCGCCCAGAGCCGATGCGGCTTGCCCAGCAAAAGGGATGACAGCGAACACGATACTGAGAATGCCGAGGACAAGCTCGCGCGTCTTTGTCTCTTTCTGTTCCTTTCCAATCTCCTTGATCTCCTTGATGCTATTGGAAGCGTCTTGCATCATGAGGAGAGGCATGCTAAAGGCAGTGAGGACGTCGGCTTCATCAGCGTCGAGAACACCCATCCGCATCTCGATGTAAGTACCGACTATTGTCCCAATAAGAACATCGGTGGACGGAATTGCTTCCTCGATGATGCTCTTGGGGTTCTCAATCTCGATCTTGTCCTTGTCGCTGACTCTCTTCGGCCAGTTCTTTCTCATGTAGTAGTTCATGGCGCAGTCAACCGGGCAGATACCCGGTTGTGTTGGCGGGCACACACAGGGGTCGTTGATGGCATCCATGTCTCGCCAAGTAATCCACTCCCTTTGTATGCCTGCCTTACTCGCCAAAGCATCGTAGAAGCCAGTTTCGTCGCGCATTGTGAAAGTGACGGTGCGAGGTCCCGGCGAAGGTCCAGGAGGGTAAGACAGATGGGCTTCGGTGCAAGGGCCCTCGCCGCTGTTGCCCTTTGAACTCCACTCGCAGTCCATGTACTTCAATCCTTCTCCAGTGCCGATCTTCAAGAACTCTTCAAGACGGTCGTCTATTGAGTCTTTCACCCAATCGGCATACCACCAGAACTGCGAGACCTTGAGTCAGCTATCATTTACGACCAGCTATGAAGTAAAACAAAACCATCAAGACAAGCAGGTGAAAAGGGGAACATACTCTGTCGTCATAGTCACTCGAGCTTGCAACATCTCTGTACTCGGCGATCACCTTCTCAAGGTCTCTGATCAAAACGTTCAGCAACGCCATAGAACGGCAGTGGGGCGGTACGTTGTCGATGTTCTTCTCGAGATCGTCCAGATTCGTGGGCCAAGTCTCAGAATTGCATTCCAAGTTTTCCCCACCGTCGACAGTGAATCCACCTTCTTGACCCTCTGGTGCGCCGAGGAAGTTGAGCAAATCAATGGCCCAATCGGTGGTGCCGCCAAAGTTCAGACCTTTGATCCAATCCGAACGTGTTGACTTGGTCGTGTCGCTCATGTATGCGACCCAGTCCGTCATGCCGTTCCCCATAGTGCCGTAGGTCATGATATCTGAGTTCGTGGGTCCGTCGTGCCACCTTTTGGCCTCGTACCCAGGCTCACCCTCCTCTGCAAAGGTGAAAATCTGGTCAAGCTCGGCATTGGATACTATTGAGAATTGGTCAGTTGATGACAGCAATGAAGATTGGAGGGGTTTCACTCACTGTAGCCGCCGGTATCCGTGCAGATACCGGGCTCGGCTTCAGAAACGGTTCGCGAGCCTGTGAACAAGCAGTTGCGTCCTGTGCAACTCTTGTCGGCCATGCGGAAGCTTCGACCATAGCTGGTGACTCCAACAATGATTTTATCAGCGGAGACGCCAGCCTTGGTAAGCATGACAAGGGAGTTCGTGGTCTCGGTGATATTGACGTGGGATCTCAGGCAGTTTCCATTCTCGCAGCCCGGGTTGGCATATTTGTTTCCGTAATCTACAGAGCAGAGATAATCGTCAGTAACGTTGTCCTAAAACAGGAATGGAGAAGAAATGGAGGATGGTAGGCGGTGAAATGTTTGGACTTACCCCATTGTCCATGAAGATCGTACGTCATATAGATGAAGTAGTCGAGCACCTTTGCCATGTCCTCCACAGGGAAAGGCTTGAGATACCAGTAAGAAGCTGGGATGGCAATCGAGAGCGAGCGACCATTCTTTCCAAGCTTGTCTCGCATGAGGCTCAGGAAGCGACTGTAGTAGATAGCATCAACGGGATCGCTACCGGGAATGCCCTGGTCGTCAGCACCCGGATATTCCCAATCAAAATCGACACCGTCAAGTCCTGGATTCGCATCCAAAAAGCGAAGCACATTGCTAGTGACCCGCTCGCGATTCGTCGGACTAACAGCGTCGCGATACAACTGATACGTGGCGGGATCGGTAGACTCGGCCCAACCGCCGAAAGAAATAATCTTCTTGAAAGGCGCATCCATGGAGACAAACTTGTCGAACTGATCTTTGACGTTGTCGGCGATCTTGACGTCGAGATCAGGCGTGAGACCGGCAAAAGCAAAATGCATGTGTGTCAACGGGTAGGTCTCGTAGATGTCCATGATCTGACTTGCGTCCATAGTCAAGCATCCTCGAGCTTCGTTGTACGCCTGGAAATATCCGATGCGTCTGAACTCAGTGGGTGGACTCTTGTTGTTGGTGATCTCCATCCCGCAGTTGGAAATGCACCCGTTGGTATCCTTCTTGAAGGCTCCAGGCGCTCCAGTATCGGCAGGCGACTCCGTGCAGAACTCGGCCGTAGTTCCGCAGTACCCCCATCCTGAGCAACAAGATTTCAACGGGCATTGATTCAACTTGGCCAGATCCCAGCCATCATAAGTGCCAGAGGGCATCTGCGTGCCTAGCTTCTGGGGACCACAAGCCACGTCGGGAAGTTGTACCGGCATCGGCGTGTTGCCCTTGCTAATACAGATGATCTGGTCCTGTTTCAGACTGTTGCACCCAGCCCAGCCCCAACTGTTGGCGTTGTACTTCTCAAGGTCCGTCTCGCTGATTCCGTAGGTATCGGCAATAGACCAGCAGAGGTCTCCCAAGCTGATGCTGTGGGTTGCACATATGCCGTTGGGTTGTGGCTGCGGTGTATTGTCTGGCAGAGTTCCCGATGAGCAGCAAACAAGTTGGCCAGGAATCAAATTCGCACAAAGATTGGTCTTGGTGTTGTACTTGAGAAAGTCTGCTCCCCTGATACCACATCGAGATGCCAGTGAAGCACAACCATCATCATTTTCAACCTCAATAGCGGTACAGACAGCTCTGGGCGTCAAGTCGGAGACCCCGCGCTTTGTGGTAGAATTCGATGTGTAGTTGGAGGGGAGGACGACCAAATCGCTAGCACCGAGCACGCCAACGCCTTCGAAAGACTTTGAATTGTTGGTGTGGTCTCTAACACACTCACCACTGGACCAAGTCTGCATAGCCCTCTGTGCTCTTCCAAGTTGATCAAGTCCATCGACAACAAACAGCCCAATGGTGTAGGGGTTGAGGCTGTTTGTGTCGCATGATTGGACCAGCTCGCTGCCTTGTTGAACGCTCGTCGCGAAGGTATCAATCACTAACGTGGCGACACTAGTAGTCACGACATCGGCGCTGACATACAGAGCAACAATAGCTGTATCAACCCTCGCAAAAAGGATTGTACGGCCACATGAAGCAGTTTCTGCAAGATGAGACCCCAGCATCTTCGCGGCGGCAGCAGCGTCAGCCCCAGACGATATAACACCTGTCGGGCTGGTCGACACAAGCAGTTGAAGAGTAGACTCAGATGCTCCGCAGACCTTTGGACCGTTGTCTGGCGAGAACGTTGATATGGATTCATTGTTCTGGCGAGCCTCGACTGGCACATAGCGACGAACAGTACTAGTGGATTGAGGAGCCTCAAATGCACAAGTTCGGAACGTCTTGACGCTGCCAGTAATTTGGAAGTTGAAGTCGAAGAGAAGAGGGGCCTTGCATCGTACAAGATCATCCTCGTGTTGCACACGGGTCCAGTTAGATGGGTCTGGCCCAACAACACTGCACAGCTTGGGGCAATCGTCGATCAGAGGTGTGGACCAAGGAGTGTTGATCTGCACATCTGATGCGGGCGATATGGCTTTGACGCCGAGATTGAACTTCCGCTCGGTTGAGTTGTTGACGACTGAGTCGTCAGGGATCAACACTGGCTTGCTGGGTATGGCTGACGATGTAGGCTCGGCCACACCATCAGTGGCATTGCGAGTAATATCGCTGGGAAGGGCAAGGCCCAACGCGGCAAATGTAAGAAAAATGAAAGGTTTCATGATGATAAAAAGAGTGTGAATATGACCAAAAGGCCAAAATCAAACGATTGCCAGCAAAGCTGTAGTTGAGATTGAGATGATGTGTATAACGAAGGTAGCAGGCGAAAAGTCCAAGTGGAAGGGTCGACTGTGTTTAACTAAACTCGAATTCACTCTTTTTGTCGACGCCTGCAACTCGCAGCGCATATTTTCGCTCGGCTCCGATGAAGCCTTGTTGCTGTTGCACTGCAGCCTGTTTTCGTGTTCCTGGTGTCTAGATTGTGTTGGACTTGGTGATTCTGACGCCAAGGCTTCAAAGTTCGCCTTTGGTGGAGATGATTAACTGAAAGCGGCCTGCTTTCCGAATGTACTTTGGTTCGGCCCTTCTGTTGACGATTGAACATGGATCCACGAAGGCATTGCTTAGCGTGAACATGGAGCGTTAAGCAGGGGACATAGTGAGCTTGTCCCCCTGCAGGGCCGGACGGCCTTGGCTGCCGTGCACTGTTCGACTGTGCCGCAGGGCTGAAAGATCGGCCGCTGATGTGAGGTTGCATTTGATTGTGTGAACCAAAGGCCAGACTTGTCTAAGTGACCTGATCGTAATCACCGACGATGGGTCGTTTCTGCAGGTGGTACCTGCAGCATCAGCAGGCCGGAAATGGTGTGCCTCGCTTGTGATTATGATCCTTCGAATTCTCAGGGAACGAAGGAGATACGGTCTTCTCTGACTAGCACAAGCAGGCATCGAGCTCAGCATCTAGTTATCCGCGTCTTAATACGGTAGTCTCGCAGTTTCTAGTGACCCTCGACTCGTTGCGCAAATCTGAAGGCAACTTGCTGATTTTCCCTCCTCGGCTTTCGCTCGTTTCATGCCTCTTGTCACTCTTTGAAGTCTTTCTTTACCAAAATGCAATCTTTTTTGCGTACAATCCTTTTCATAAGCCTTCTATGGCTTTTCGCTGAGCTGCCAGTGCCAGTTGCGGGACAGATCAACTACTTGTCCCATGCAAACGAACGTATTCACCTATGGACTCGCTATGATACCTTCTGGTAATGCGCTCTATCGTTAAACTTGATGAAGAGCTCGCAGCTGACCTACGCCATAGCGAGATCGAGGGCGCCGACAAGCAAAAGTACATGCTTCCACAGCACACGGGCAAGGGGAAGCCCTCACCTTTTCCTCGTTATGCAAACAAGGGTACCGGACCCAATAATAAGCTCACGTATGGCCAGTTCCAGGCTCGCGTCGAAGGGCTTGAATGGGCTAAAATGCTGCCCGAGGACAAAGCCAAGTATGAGCAGCTGAAAGCACCGTGGTCAGACGTCGACGGAAAGACACCGACCACTTATCAGTGCGCTGATCAGCTCATGGAAATGGGCCTGAATAAGCAGCTGAAAGTGACTGAATTCGACACGACGCTGGACAACAAACGGTTCTCAGCCGACTACAAGCCCAAGAGAGGAGGAAACCCGTCTTTGTACAACAAAGACGACCCCTTCAACTCGGCCTACTCGTACTTTTCGGAGCGCGTCGAGAAGCAATTTCAAGACTTCCGCAGCAAGGACGATCCCAAATTCAAAGCCGTCATAGAGAAGAACAATAAATTGGGCAAGGAGCTTCTTGAGAGTATTACCACTCTCCGCGCCGAAGACAAGCTCAACCATATGTACAAGCAGTTGCAGGATGGCGTGGCCGATGAGAAGCGCAAAGGCCTCGGCATACCCAAAGAAAAAATCGTCGTGGAGAGCAACGCGCCTTCAAAGGTGCAAAATGGCAAACCTTACCAAAATATCAACATCGCACAAACAATGGCCAACGCCTGGGCCGACACCAAGACACGCGAAGAACTGCAGGCTAAAGGCTTTAAAAACGCGGATGACCTTGCAAACTGGGCCAATGACTTGGGAAACCCCGACAAAACGCAACCTCAGGACTGGTCTGAACTAAACAAGAGCCACTTTCGATCAGCAAAGACTTGGAACTCTGGGCTGGTGAAGTCGAAGATGACCGTCGCAGAGTTGAGCAAGTGTGTTTGAAGGTTTCTTGACAGTCAAAAAGATTGTGTGTCCTGTGACACTTGTCCGCAGGTTGCAGTTCGTGTGGCTCTCCCTCATTCAACTTTCTTTTGGACAATATTAGCTAGTATACTTTTGTCTTCAACATATAATGGCTTGGTCAAAAAACATGTCGTGCTTGGACGGAAGTCAACTTTAGTTTTTTTACTCCGCTTCTATCATCACTCTTGATATTCATTCATCTTTGCGAATCTGATCGTCATTTTGTTAGTTGTATTCTAATTGTCCTCGCCGAATTCCAACTAATGTTTCTTCCAATAATGATTAACATGCAAGTATGGTGTACTCACTTCTCTTTCAGCTAACACGTAGATCTAGCTTCCAATGTCAAGATAAACCACTGGTGTCATGATTCGGGCATTTCCTCCTCCTTTCAGCCACTTTCTGCAGCTCTATGAATTAGCCTCGATCAAAGGCAGGCTCGAGGGGTGTATACCATCGAATTCGGCGACGAAATTGCTTTTCATCCTGCTGGATTTCAATCCCATGTCTACTTGCAACATAAATTGAGCTAATGCGAGGGCCTTCTGGCGATAATACCAAATCTGGATGGAAGATCAGATGAGAACATCCCTGGAAGGCACTTGCACATTCTCCATTCCGAGGCATTTACTGGACATGCAGGAAGCTACCTAGGCAACAACTTACCTAATTCTCGGACAAGACTTGAGCTTTTTTTGATGCAGGTACGAAGGAGCTTTGGTGATTAACGGGCCAGCCTGCTTACCCGTCTTGTTACTATGCCAAATTGGTGTTATCAGATCTCGCTTACGCCAAAGTCAGTTAGAAGTCGGGTTTGGGCGGGAATTTGCCAAGACGCAGGACTCAGCCTGCCTAGCCCGGGGAGCCTTTTCATGCAGGGGAACACAGAAAGAGGGACTAAAAACCGTGTGTTCTCAGTCTTCTCAGGATCTAACCCTTGGTTCCTCCACCTGCGTGAGGTCCACCGGCAAACAGGGATTCAGAAGGAAGTCGTTGAAAGATGGATACTGACTAAGCCCAATCTGGCTCTAGCGCGCGGTTCCTCCTATTCTAGATTTAGGCATAAATTTAAGCGTCCTTGTTCAACCTTCGAATACTTCGAGTGACCTCCCGTGCCTCCCGGGCAAAGCCTGATCGATGGAGACCTCATGAAATCGAGACTAGTTGACGCACCACAGCGGAGCGCGGTCCAAAGTGACCAATCTGTTCAAGGCTACTAGTTGCGCAGCCTGATGATCTCGTCAACCGAAGAATAAGGGACCGGCCCATGTCCATAGTGGCAATTCATTTTGGATATTTTGTATCCTCGGCTTCAAGGAGAAAACATTTTACCCTTTTTAGCGGTCGGCCGCCTTTTTGTTCATCTGCTCAACTGATTGTTTTCGTCTTCTTTGACTCCAGAACTCGACATGGCACCAGACTCGGAGCTGACGGCTGACTGCTGTGCCGCAATCCGCGGCGAAAAAGTCCCTCGAGACCTCAGGAACATCATCGCCCGGTCTTCGCTCATCCGTGGCGTACGCCTCCACCTCGATTTTGCCACCAGTCAGGATGTCAGCAATCTCTGCCTTCAGGATCCGCAGATTGCACGGGCTCGGAATTCCCGACTGATCATGAGCGATGTCATTCCGAGCACTATGGGTCCTCAACAGGAGCCGTACTGCGTCTGGTTTCCCCAGATAGCCTCCGAAGACACGTACCGCCAGTTGGTGCAGCGTTATCCGCAGATGCGCTACCAGGTTGGTCGTGCCTGTGCAGCCGGTGGCTACGACACTCTCTATCAGGAACTGGACTTGCTGCCGGACGTTTCCATTGCTGAGGAGGCTAGAGAGAGCGACACGGATGGCGGCCGTCTCATTTACGACTCTATCATGAGTCGCTCCTGTCGCTACTCGGTCATGAACGATGACACGTTGACCATCAAATTGGATGATCCATTGTCTCCCGCCTTCTTGAACGGTGATACGGAAACTCGTCTACAGCTTTACCATCGCCCAAACAATCCTCGGCAATTTTCCAAAACTCATCCTGGTATCGAAGAGGACATGCACATCAATGACGAATACACTCCTCCCGAGATGTACTCTGAGTTGGAAGAGTTCGAAGTAGGACTACTTCACCAGCCTTTACCTCTTGATCTGCCAACTGTCAAGAAAAAGCTTCTCATTTGCATGGCGGCTTTTGAAGGAAATATCGATCGTTACGTCAGGCTGTCACGGGCAACGCGTGGTATCGACCGTGAGGAGACTCTCTGCATTGTCCGCGGAATCTACCATCATACGATGTTCGCCCGCTGGTGGGCTGGAGAAATCACCCAGAACACGACGAGAGTCCAGGCCATCAGGAACACCGAGACAGGCCATAAACCTCTTTCCATGATTCAAGAAGCCATCTCAGCCCGACGGATCATGATCAATGATCCAAAGGAGTTTGTTGAGAATGGCTGGCCGGCTGGCGCGCCTAAGCCGTACCTTATCTGGTGGCCACTCCGTCCAACTCGGGATATGCTGGATTTATTGGCAGAGAAAGTACCAGAGATGACCGAGCAAGTCGTTGTGGCCGCGATCTACTGCGACTATCACGACGTCTATCGACGAATGCAGCCAGAGCCCAACTGGCGCCTCTGCGCCGCCGCTCGCGACTCTCATAACCCTTTCTACCTACAGGACCTTACGAAGCGGGCGACCGAACAACAAATCAACCTTGACGCTGCGAGTGAACAAGATCCCGATGGCAAGTGTCTAGGTCTGGACTTGGAACCAACAGAAATTTTCAATTACTACGAACGACAGGAGGTCCACAACTTCATCACAAGCAGAGAAGGGCCGTACGGTGGCTTCGGTCCTGATTGTCGCATGGCAGAAGTTGGTGTTTGGGATAGCATGGGACTTCCTGAATAAGATAGTACAACACAACCGAATGATCAAGAATCCTAAACGATGATGCAGAAACGTATTCACTGAAAGATTACATGTGATTTACCAATCTTCCATCTGCTGTGTGAAGTCGAGGCCAGCAATTCAGTGATCGTTTAATTCTCTCAATCCTCGGCATTGCTTAAGCTTGAAATCCGCCACTCATCGTTTACATGGGACATTCTGAAAGAAAGTAGTCACGAGCCTCAGGTGGTGACATGGCTAGATGTTAATTTCCTATTGAAAGTGACTCGGCGGGAAGGATTCATGGCAGCATGCCTTGCGGACTTGCCAAGTCAAATTCTTGACAGGGAAATGTACCGCCAAGTACTTAGACTGAGCTGACAGCGGGGACTCGGAAGTACGATTGCGGCACGGGGCGGCTGGGTCGCGGAGGTTTCCCGATACGCTTGGCTTGGATGGGGCGAAAGCGAACCCCAGCGGTTCTTAGTCGCCTTTTGTTTCCCGCCCAGTACTTTGACAAAGCTTTTCTATGCATGTGACCGAATACTTTGAAACAGGATTCGAACCCCAGATATGCCAAGATTACTCGTCTTTAAACACTGTAAGGCAACAGATTCCGGCATGGCGCAGTGGCTCCATTGCTGCTTGTAATCTTCGCTTCGGATTCTCCCCACTGCACTAACACAGGATCTCATCAACTTTCCTGATGAGGATGTCGGTCTATGGAGACAACAAAATTTAGCTGGAGGCACAGTTCATGATCTAAGCTTACTTTCCAATAGAACATGCCGCGACCAGGCAACGAGCTTCCAAAGTTCCAAACTGCTCCTGGTCGACGCCGAGACACCGGTTATTCTCCCTACTTCCAGTCATCGGGACTCGCCGAGAAAAGTCTCATTCAACGTTCTGGACGCCGGCGACCTTGCCTTCTGGGATGAAAGTTTGACCAGTCGCTAGAAGCTCGCTGTCTTCTCGGACATCACCTCGGACATCGGCCTGCGAACCCTTCTCACGATAATCTGTGCACACGTTGAAGTATGGATTCATGATGATGAGCTTCCATAAAAGCTGCGTCTCCCCTCATAGAATGTATTCATTTACTTCATCAAGCAGTTTCAAGCTCAAATTCTCAGTCACTCCGGCCCGAGTCGTCATTCATTTCACCTTCCGTTGCCACCAGGACAAATCCTAATTCACTCGTTTAGATTCGCATCATCTCCATCAATCAATCATGTCATTCGTTAGCATTAAGAGCACTCTTGTGCTTCTAGGCATGAGCGGTTTGAGCTTTGCTGCCACAATCCCTCTCCGTCGCAGCAACACTACCAGCAGCGATTCTGAGACGGTTCGCCTCATGGCTTCGACTCCTCAACTGGAGTACGACTCGCAGACCACGGCGGATTGCACTTGGTGGTATGACAATACCCAGGCTACCAACTGCAATGATTTGCTGGCCAGTGAGGGCATCACGCTTGCCAACTTCAGGCGCTGGGTACGTAGACAAATTTTCTGTCAACGCCATTATTATTTCATCGTCTTCATAGCTGAACAAAGCTGACCGAACAGAACCCTTCCATCAATGAGGCGTGCACAAACCTCGCTGTCGGTAAATCGTACTGCGTTGAAGCAGCCTTTGAGACTGTTCCTAGCCCGACTGACCCCGAGACTCCTCCGGCGACAACCACTGCTCCGTCCAATGGTTTGTTGATCCACTCCCCAAACTCGTCATTCCCGTTCCTTCAGGCTAACAACACATACAGGAGTCGAAACTCCTCAGCCAACTCAGCCAAGCCTCGTCGAGAACTGCAACAAGTTTTACTTTGTGAATTCCGGAGAATCATGCGCCGCCATTGCCTCTAGCAATGGCATAAGCCTGGCCAACTTCCTCTCCTGGAACCCCAAGGCTGGGTCTAACTGCGCCGGTCTTTGGGCCGATGCTTATGCCTGCGTCGGCATCATTGGAAGCAGCACGACTCCCACGCCCACGAACCCTGGCAACGGCATCGAGACGCCCCAGCCTCCTCAGCCCAGCATGGTCGACAACTGCAACAAGTTCTACCTCGTCAAGTCTGGAGACTCCTGTGCTGCTATTGCCTCGAGCCAAGGCATCACTCTCGCTAACTTCCTCGCCTGGAACAAGGGGGCTGGCAGCAACTGCGGCGGACTCTGGGCAGATGCTTACGCCTGCGTTGGGATTGTTGGAGGCAGCACTACCCCGACCAACCCTGGCAATGGCGTCCAGACGCCGACGCCAATTCAGACCGGCATGACAACCAAATGCAAGAGCTTCCACTTTGTCGAATCGGGACAGACCTGTGCGGTCATTGCACCAAAGTACGGCGTCACTGTTGCCAACTTGATCTCTTGGAACCCTGCGGTTGGATCGGGCTGCAATGGCATGTGGGCTGAGACTTACTTGTGCGTTGCTGTCTTGTAAGTCAGTAAGACTGGCCACTTTTCTTCAGAACGTTGTACAAATGTAGTCTTCAAGTAGAACATATATATATGAGTAACATATTGTTCCAGTGGTATCCCTTCGCTACCAATGCAATCCTATCTATAGAAAAACGCCTTTCAATGCAAATTCCTGCCCAAGATCTCGGCCGTGACTCTTCTTTCAGTTCAATCCACTTCGTCTCTAAGACTGGTACCCATCAGCCCTGTCGATAGCAGTAGCTTGAGCTAGCTTGCTCTCAGCCACGCTGACGGTGGGGAGATAACCCTGGGGGTTGACGCCGCCACCGGTGATGGCCAGACCCTCGGCTGAAGAGTTTACACCAAGTGTGATCTAAGTAAATCATATTAGCTCTGCTGACTAACTTCAACAACTTGCCAAGAGTCACTTACATAGCCAACGAGACCATCCTCAATGTTACCAGTCAGCTGCGTAACGCTAATCACAGCACTGTAGCCGTCAGAGCTAGCGTCAGAGTACAGCGAATCCTCCGCGTTGGTAGTGCGGTTCAAGGTGGTCAAGTGCGCGCTGTACGGCTCCAGCGCGTACACCTGGCTCAGGAGGTCCTCCTCGAAAAACAGCTGCCCAATGTGCTGGACCTTGCTGGCCGAGTACGAGGTGCCGTTGGTGATGTTCGTCTGGGCGGTGACGTGGATGTGCGTGGTGCGGGTGATGTAGTATCCGGGGAACTTGGTGAGGTATTCGACGATGCCGTTCTGGTCGGTCACTTGAATACCGCGCAGGAACGTCTCGTCGTCCGTTGTTCCATCGTCCCTCTTGGTCCAGTTGTCCATCAGCTCCGCGGAATCGGGGTCGATTCCGGTGAAGGACGAGTAGGAGCCGGTGGCGTTGCAGTTCCAGATCGTTAGGGCCGTTCCGGACAGGGGCTCGCAGGTCTCGATGTCGATCACGCCGATGTCGAGGTAAAAGTCGAGACCTCCCTGTGTCTCGCGGAGATCATGGCGAACCATTTCACCGTCAACACTGCGATTATGTCAGGATTTACATATCGCACCAATCATGACAGAGCATCAAGTGCTTACCCATAGGGTCCCCAGACGGTATCAGGGGCCAAAACGCAGGTGTCATTCTGAATGGTGGTGTAGTGCAGGGAATCGCGCTGCAAAAGCTCGCGCTCATCGGCGTGTCCATTCTGAGCCCGACGAGTGCGCAGACGGCTGGCTCTCTTAGCGAAGATCTCAGCCTTACGCGCTTCGATGGCAGCTGCGCACTTGTTTGTGCTACGGCCGACCACGTGGGCCTCGGATTTGGCCTTCTCGGCCGTCATCCGCTCTGGATGAGCAAAGACAGGGGCCAAAACCAATGCGTGGAGAAGGATGTTGCTGAGCTGCATTTTGTATGTTTCAAAGAGTGAATGCTGAGAGAAGTGAGTGACTGTGAGTGACTGTGAGTGATCGACCAGGAACAACTCCCTTTGACGAAGCATCCCATCACTGTTCTTATACACCACATCTTCAAGCTCTCCTTTCCATGATTCTTTTTGTAAAGCCCTGCATTAATTACCGTACAGAAATTCCCTAGCTAATCAAAGCTCCGGAATAGCTTACGTCGTGACGATTGTGATTGGAAGATACCCCAGTAGGCTGACGTTTACTTACACCTCCGTCGTCGGGATGTGGGCGGTTCTGTGGAGTTTGAGGCTCTCACCAGTGGCTAATTCGACCCGCTCGCCCCTAGACGCGCGATGCTGGGGGGCTTGGAGAAGATGCACCGCCCCTTAACGGCTTCGTGCGCTTCCTGCCTGTTTCGGCGAAAGCGGCCACCGGACCCGGGGGATGGGCTCCGTACCTACGGCCCCATGTGGCGGTACGGAGCCTGCTTTCTCTGGATTTGAAGAAATTCTTGCATGTTGTGATGGGAAACTCGGCACCTCGATTGCACCCGAGGGCCGTGATTTTTCGGTTCGCGATGATTCTTCACCCGTGGACGCCGTGAGCATTACGTCTTTTTTTTCAATCTATATCAAGGGTGAGTGAAGCCAGGACAAAAACAACTCCGACGGCCATGCAAATTGACATTAAGGTGTTATCATCATCAATGTCCACAACCTCCTCAGAGAGCAGTGGAAACGGGGGAGAATCTTGGATATAGACAATCGGGTGCCTCCCGATGCGATGTGTCATATTGTACCAAGCTTAGGGGTCCCTGAAGGCAGTGCCCATGTGCTCTATCTCTGTCAAGCCCAACAAGGACGCGTGGACGGCGATCCGGTAATCCTGATGGGGCAGGAGATCGGTCAGGTCCGCGGGTTCCAAGGCGCTCAATTTCGAAACCCGACCCAAGAAAAAGAAATTTCTTTTTCCAAAGCAGCGTTGACTACTGGAAGAGACATTGATGCTGTCTTTCTCGAAGAAGACTTATCCAAGTTTGGACGAACCGAGATCAAAGGTTTTGACATGGACGGTCGCTCGCCAAAGGATTATTCAAGAAAAGCGCGCAACCTCAAAAGACACGAAGAGCAAACACCCATACTCACCAGCCTTACTTGATAAAAGAAGCAAATTCTCACTGATGATTTGCAAATCGAAGCTTGGGTCTGCCAAGGCCCTGGGGGTTCAGGCGAAGGCTTGGATGTCTGAAAATAGGTTGATGCGCAAGGGGTGACCCGACCTACTCGAGATGCAATGGAAAAAAACTCGGTCTACCCGTTCGATTCCACATGAGCATTCGCACCCCCTTTGTGGCTTCGACGCTTAGTGGAGCTCCGCTTCGCAGGCTCTTCAGCGTCGAATATCCCACCGGCAGTCTTGCTGGACATCCAGCATGATCATTACGTCCTCGTGGTGGACTTGCGGAGCTCCATGACACAGCCGACCTGGCTTCGGATATCCCACCGGTTCTCTCGAAGAATCTGGCTTATAAGTCTTTACTGGATTCCGGTTCTTCTTTTTGGATTCAAGCCTGCGTCGCATCCTCCCGAAGCAAACAATCAGGTTCTAGGCCTGCGGACGCTGACTGACCCGTACGACAACACGCGTCACTACGCTACAACTCTACTGTCTTGATTATAGGCAAGTGGGGGGCGAGATGGCTGCTTGGGATTTCCAATTTTGCGCTGTTTCGTTTGTCCGCGCTAGCCCCCTAAAGCGCTTGCCTTCAGGGAGCTCACGTTTTGCCAACTATATCTCACTTATTAAATCGCACAAGTATCGGTTCTGCGCTTGCGTGGCAGAGCTGAATGTACTCATCTTAGTATCTTCCTCGAAGCCGCTACCATTTGACGTTGCCTTTTTCTTCGGGGCTCCCTCCAAGAATGAGACGAAACGTGAGCTACTCTTAATTGATCTCAAACAAAAGGTAGCCCTCTGGTCGTCTGGCTAAACGAACCCACACGAATAGCAAAGCTCAAGAACAAAGTATTGGTCGGCGGATAATTAAACATTATCCCATACTTAATACATCATGACGGAAGTATCCATAGAGAAGCCCAACTTTTCGAGATGATCCGGGGTTGTTGATCTTCTGATCCATCCTGGTAGACCTTGCTACCCATCCCAAATTCAAATTTTTGATCTTGTTCAAGAGTCTAAGTTGACCCGCCCGCTTCCTTATCCAAAAACGCCATGTACCTCTCGTAAAACCTGCAAACTTCCTCCTCAGCAGCAGGCAAAACCGCAGAAAAGCAGTGCGGCAGGCCTCGGTACGCATGCACCTCGACATCCACGCCCTCAGCCTCCAATGCTTCCGCATACGCGAGAGCTTCGTCGCGGAGGACGTCGTACCCGGCGCATTGTATGACTGACATGCCGCGGCGTTAGCTGGTGATGGCGACGACTTGTCCACATTCTTTCGACTCACGCGCACGAGGCAGGTCCTTCAGAGACTTTGCCAGTATGGGCGAATGGCGATGGTCGGGCTTCGGCTTGGGCAGGTACGCATCGAGGGCGCCTTCCATTGCCAGAGCGCCGATGACCGGGTTGTCGTTGTTCTGGATGTAGCTGCCATACTCGTATTTTTCTCTTGGGAAGAATTTGGGATGGCAGATGATTGGGAAGTGCAGGACTTGGGCGATGACGCCCGTGATGCCGTTGTCTCTGCATTCGATTGCTAGGGCGGCGGCCTTGGTTTGTTAGTAGGATTGAACGGGTGTGGGCTGCTTCGCGAGACATGCTAGGTTTCCTCCTGCGCTGCTCCCGCTGAGGATGATCTTCTCTGGGTCAACTCCGAGGGCTGTTGCGTTCTTTTTACACTAGAGCGGAGTTAGACAGAACTCGTCTCATGTCACTTGGATAAACTCACCCACAAGAGGCCGTCATAGCTATCGTGCAGCCCACACGGGAAAGGATCCTCCGGCGCCCTATACCAATCAGCTTGAGGAGAACCGCCATCAACGGCAGCAACATACTTGCGATAGCATACACTGACAACGACAATGTTCTTGTTGGTCGCGGCGTAAACATTCTCAGCACCGTCAACCTCGTGACGTCCCACGCACCATCCTGACACCGCGTCAGCAAATCAACCCGGCCACATCTCATTTAACCAAAACCACCATACCGCCTCCGTGCATGCGATACATCAAAACCGCATTCGGCCGAACAATCGGCGACTTGTACACCTTGAGCTCGATCTCCTCCCCATCCCGGGCCTTGAAGTACAGCAGCTCCGTGGTCACGTCCCGATACCGATCCGGTCCGCCCCGGGGCATCGGCGCGTCCGCGTCGCCGGCCACTCTGCGCACCGACGCGAAATCCGGCTGCGCTTGAATTTGCGCGTACATGGCGCCGATCGCGGCTTCCGAGGCCGCATAGACCGGGTGTTTGGCGGAGAGGTGGCCGTGCTTGGGAAGTGGGTGAAACTCGGCGTCGAGGTCGACGTATTCGGGCTTGGTCTTTTCGGTCAGCATGTTGAATGTGGCGGTTGATGGAGATTGATGACTTTGGTCATTAGTGGCGGGTAACGATCTCCTTAAGTCTTTTTGTACCTAACTTCGTTGACTGTTGTCAGCTCCCTGAGAAGCCGGATTACTATGAGTACCTTCATGCAGCTAGGGATGACCCGAGATGACGGCAGCAAGCGACGAGGATCGGCACATCGTGCCAAGAGTACGCGAGCCAACCATAAGTGCAGTATTCGATCTTAGTTGGTCTCCGGTGCTGTGTTTCGTCCCATAAACCAGGAAGGGCTGTGGCTGATGAGGGTGTGGTCACTATGATTCATCCCCGCTATGCCGGACTGGGAACAGTGCGTCCAGTGGGTTGCACATTTGGGCTGCAAGAGGGTCCTGACTAACTTCGCAGCCTCCGATGGAACCTGTCAAGCCTGCGTGTTAAGGAAAAGGAATGGTTTCAACCATTCCATGTTCGGCCATCGAAGTCTTAGTCCGCGTGGCTCCCGTCGTCGTGGTCCGTCGATGCTGGGTCCGTTGATCGACCCGCTTCGCCCGACTCATTCTAGGTCCGTTGGTCCTTCTAGAGTGAAAGGAAGAATCTATCAATCAATTTTCGGTAGCTTGCACACCGAACCAAGGTTCACTTGGTTTCGAAGACACCCATGACAGTCATGAGGGTTTCTCGTCTTCCAAAGATACCGTGATGGAGGCTGATACCCAGATCGGAAAACCCTTCAGGTTTGAGACAGATCTTATCTGATGAATGCTACGGCTAGAAACGTCGAACAATGTGCAATGAAGAATATACGATCTGATGTAGTCAATATTGATTCGCTGAGTACCCTACGAACACGTTCAAATTTCAGACGCAAATGCGACACGCAGTAACGTACACCAGTATACAGACGGACATGAAGTATAGACACAAACTCGTCAGACATAACTCATGCTTCCACAGATATCCAAATGCAAATGCACGCCACAAAACAAAACACACCGAAAATGCAAAACGCATGCAGCGGACATGCAAGACGGGCCAATTCACATTCACACATTGCACACTATCCTGACATCAAGGCAAAGAGTGGACATGGTTGGGGGATGGTGCAGGGGGGGTTTGGTAGGGCCAAGCTTGGAGCTCGGCTACACGTTGTCGCTGTCAAACGGACCAGCTCAAGGGGGAGAGGAGCTTCCAGAGCTTTGCTGCTGCATCGCCTCGATGAGAGCAGTGAGCTTGTCAATCTTCTCGTTGAGCTCCGTGATGCGGACCTCAACGGCAGATGGGGCATCGGCCTCATCGATGTCGGCGGCACGGGTAGTGGGCCTCGAGTGACTCCCGTTGCGGCGGTATGGAGAACGGCCAGGTCGGTAGCCCGAAGACGGGCGGTTGGCCTGCAGGGCGTTCCGAGTGTTGGGCTTCAGTAGACCCGTCGCGGCGCGAGGTCCCTTAAAACCCGCATACTCGTCGGGAAGGACGCGACGGCGGACGCTCTCGTAGAGTTGAATGACACCAACGATGGGTAGATGAGTGGCCTTCAGGAGGAGGATGCGGCCCTGGCGGAACTTGTCGTCGGAGGGGAGGAAGAGGCGCAGAGGGCGGAAGATGACGAGAGCGATGAGGTTAAACGGCGGGTAGAAGTGCGTGAGCCGGTTGCTAGTCGAGGCCTCAAGCACGTACACGCTGTACACGTAGAGGTACTCCTCCTTGGCGTGGGTGATGACGCGAGAGAAGCTGTTTGACAGCATACCGGTCAGGGAACCCATGAGGAGGAAGGTACTGAGGATAATGAAGATGATCATGAGAGTCGGGCCGAAGATGGGGTTGATGTCCTCCATAATCTCGATACCAACGTAGGAAGAGCCGAAGAAAATCTTTGTCAAGATCATCGTCATATGGGAGAAGTTGTAGGCGTCCTGGCCGATGAGGGAGAAGGTGGTCAAGAAGCCGAGGTAGATGATGACGACGAGAACCATGAACTTGATGAAGTCCTTGCTCATCTCCTTTAGGCATGGGATCAGAGTACCCCAGTAGGGTGACAAGCTGAGCAGGGAAAAGACACGCGGGACCATGAAAAGGGCCTCAAGAGCAAAGACGTCAAAAGCAAGATCGGTGATTTCCCGGTCCTGGTTGGTGATGCCAATAACCCCTGTGGCATATTAGCAGCCGCACAACACCTTTGTCGATGATTTACTTACTCAGAACAGCAAAGGCAATACCGATGCCAATCATGATCATATCAAACATGTTCCAGATATCGGTTGCGTAGAAGATTGTGCCAGCATCCGCCCACTCGCTCAGCTCATCGTAGAGGAAGGCAGCCAGCCAGAGGTACAGCACGATTTCGTTGTGAGTGATGCGCTCAGTATTTTGCTGGACCAGCACGGAGTAGTAGAGAACCAGGAAGATGAGGAAGAAGAAGGCCTCCCAGGCCTTGAGGTACTTGGGGACTCTCAAACGAGAGAAGATGTCGGTGGTATGGGCGTTGTAGAAACGGGGCTTCTTCTCGGCATGGACGGAAAGACTGTCCCAGAAGATGATGTCTCCGTTCCAGATGCCAGTGACGATCTTCTGCACAACGTGCTGGCTGAGGAAGCGCTTGGCATCGGCGACAGCCGCAATCTCAAGAGCGTTCAGGTTGGTGAAGGGGCCGGTCGGATCATCATCTTCCTGGCCATCTTCATCAGCGTGCATGCTCATGGTGAGCCTGGACAAAGAAGACAGCAGCTGATAGCGCTTGGCACTGCTTCCAGGGCGGACCGAGGCGCGTCTGCTGTTAGAGCCGGACCAGCTGCCGCCAGAGAGCAGGGGCGAGTTCTCGTTGCTCTCCAGGTCGACATTGGGCGGCGGCGTCTCTGCCTGCTTTGGGTCGGGAATCTCATAGAGACAGTAGTCAACGGCCTCTCGCTCCGATAGGCGGGTGAGGAAACGCCAAGCGACAATCTCGCAGGCGTTGGCGCGGGCTTCGCAGAGACCCTTGTTGGACTCGGCCTCGTCGGCCGCATAGTGCCATTTCAGGGCGCTGGACCTGTTAGCATGGCAATTTTTGCTAATTGGAGGTGGAATGACTTACAGCAGGGCGTTGACAATGGCGGGGTTGGTGCAGGTGGCATTGAGATGATCAACTAAGATCCTCAAGCACTCACCGGCGGTGGTGGTTCTCAGCTGCTCGAAAGTGCTCGGCAGAACAATGACATCGGTAATGTAACTGCGCCGAAACCGTCAGCGACCGATCCAGACCTTCTGTCCACCGCTCCGCGGCAAGCCCACGAGGACAGCGCCGAAACTTACACCGAGATCTTCTTGACCACCTCTCGGAAGCTGTCGTTGGTTTCAATGTCGGGCAGCTCATAGACCGTGTCGACGCGCATGGACACGGGGCTCAGGTCCCGCTCCTGCGGCATGGGCTTCTTCTTGACGCGAATGGGCATTTTGCTGGTTGACGCGGGCAGCACCGCGAACCGGGTCCCGGATTGGACTGGTCAATCGAAACAGGTCGCAGCCGAAATGAGGCAGAATCGGTCCAATGCTTCCTGCCGGTGGTCAGCAGCAGCAGAGTGCTTGCAGACGAGATGGATGGATGGATGGTGGTAAGCAATTGATGGGCGCAGCGAGTACTCGCGTCCGGACGGCAGCGAGCGAGCTGAACGGAGGGACGGGGAAACAAGAGGAGAAAGAAGGACCCTGAGGTAAGGTAGGTGCCGCTCGACGACGAGATACCGCCTGCCGCTGGCGCTGGAGGCGCTGCTGCTGCGTTTCTGCATTGCTGCACCGCTGCTCGAACAGGGGTAAAGTGGGGCTACTATAGTGGAAACGACAGCGGGGCATTGACGCGCGGGGGCGAGATAACCGAATGCCATTGGCTTGTTCTGCTTCACTCCTCTGTTTACAGTTTAGCGTCATCAGGTGGGTGGCCGTACCAAGAATAAAAAAACAAGCTTCGCTCATCGGTGAAGATTGAAGATCCCAAAACTCATCCACCATGTCTTTCACTGAGACTGAGGCCGAGCCGTTTACTCGCAACGGTCTCATCAGCATCTCACGTTACAACATGAAGCCATGTCTCACTCTCAATGTAAGACATGGTATGACGAGTGCGAGGATCAACGGTCGGTAGAGCAACAATCAGCGGCGCAGAAAGCTCGTGCCAAGCTCATTACCACATCAAAACTCCGATACGTCGATGTTTTCAGTGCCATTCTCGATGGAGTCGTTAATTCAGGCAAAACCCAGCTCTCGGTCGTCCAGTCGTAGTTCGCGCAATTTTCGAATTAGGAAATCAAACAAATTCGAGTATCCACCGTCTAGAACGCAAACCAACCTCGTACGCATTTGTGAGTGATCTGCCATCTCAGCCACGTGGAGAGTAGCTCATCTCAGCCCTCCAGCTGGGCCAGAGAATGAGACGCGTCACGATAGGGCGATGACCAGCCTCAAATTTTGTGATATCCCTAAGCGCCAGGGCGAAACTTGGCGCCCGAGAAACGCATTCCACGTTCATTCTATTCCATCGGGACTTTGGAAGATGACTCCCGGCCGCTCAGCTTCTCGAAGGATTCAAAGGCTTCGCTCAGTGACGCGGCGCTGCCTTATTAACCCATGTCCACAAGCCACACACCAAAGTCCCCTCCGCTGAGCCTCCATTCCTCTTCGTGATAGCGACCAATGTCCCGAGAGTCAATGAGTTCGGAAAGGAATATGTATATAATATGAATAACTTCAGATGGAGTTCGGACCAGGCGAGACAACAAGCCGAACACCTCGTTCTTATCACCAACTCTAAATCCATCATGTCCAGCGTTTCTGCAACGCCAACAACGGCCTCAGTCGCCAGCGCAACTTCGTCCCAAGCCGCACCCACATGTACGACGGCGGTTCCAGGAAAATATGGGCATGTCCCCATCGACGCATGTAACTCATACTATGCATTCAACCCCAGTTTCGAAGGCAATCTTGCCTTTGCCGTGCTATTCGGCCTTTCCATGATCGCACATGTTGTTCAGGCGATTACTTACAGAAAGGTGCGGAAATCATCCTGCAGCATGTATGCTATTTCTAACATGCGGGACAGAGGTTCTGCTGGGTCATCATCGTCGGTGCATCATGGGAAACCGCCGCCTTCATTCTCCGAACCCTCGGAGCCCACGACCAGCAGCAGATTGGCTATCAGATTGGCGGACAGCTGCTCTTCCTCCTCGCACCGCTCTGTATGTTTCATCTACCTCAAGAAAATCCTTCACATGTCAGCGCCCAAAAACTGACAGGCGGTCGCCAGGGATCAACGCGTTCGCGTACATGCTGGCAGCCAGGCTCGTGTACTTTGTCCTGCCTGACCAGAGAGTTTTCCGCGTCAAGGCCACCGCGCTCACCAAGATCTTCGTGGCCATGGACATTGTGTGCTTCCTCGTGCAGGCTGTGGGCGGCTCCATGATGTCCAACACGGAGGTCTCCTCGGACGACCCCATCCTGCGCACCGGCCAGCAGCTCTACATGAGCGGGTGCGGGCTGCAGCTCGCCTTCATCGTCGTCTTCTGCGGGCTGATGGGCCGGTTCTACGTGAAGATGCAACGGGCGCAAAGGTTCGACCTCGACTTGAAACGGGTGAAGGCCCTCGTCTGGGTCATGTACGTGGTGCTGGTGCTCGTCATCGTAAGTGTGGTATTTGTTTCTCTTATGACTTTTCTGCTTTCTGCTCCTTGAACGTCCGTCCACCCTTCAGAAAGGAAACTTTCAGGGTGAGACGACGTTTGACAAGACGGGATGAACGGACTGAGCTGACACTTCCCGGAGATCCGGATCATCTTTCGACTGGCTGAGTTCGGACCTGGGGCCGACATTGAGAACCCCATCCTTACCAACGAGAACTACGCATTCGGGCTCGACGCACTGCCCATGGTGCTCGCGCTCGTGCTCCTCAACGCCGTGCACCCGGGTATCGTGCTGAGGGGCGAGAACAGCGAGTTCCCGAGGCTGTCGAGGAAAGAGAAGAAGCAGATGAAGCGGGAGAAGAAGGAAACCAAGAAGGCAGCGAGGGCGGAGAAGAAGCAGAGAAAGGCTGGCAAGCTGGTCACTGAAGGGCAAACATATGGCATGGAGGAGAGGAGCCCGTTGACAGACAACCCGTACGACACAGACGAGCGGTCTAGCTCGCCGCAGAGGGATGCACGTTTAAGTCAGGCCGGGCGGCGGTGATGGGAAGCGGGGACTGTTGGGAGATGATGATGTTGAGTGATTGCATAGCTAGGGCGTTTGGGAAAGTGGTGACGGGCTTGTGACACGTCCGAGGGTTAGACACTTGCAGTAATGTTTACGGGACTGGGTGATAGACACGCTTGATTCAGCACAGGCTTTTGTTTCCAAGGGATGTTGACTCGTAGAGTTTCTTGGGGCCGGCAGACGGAATAGCATCATATCTGAGATTCATCAAGAAGAAACAGATCCAAGAGAATCGGAAATGTTCATCATTAAAGACGTGGAGGATGACGATCCTAGGATTCTTAAATGCCTAAAGCTGCAAGTTGTCGGGACCCTGAGAGTGCCTGGGAAGTGTGTGCCTTAGTTGACAGCACCGCCACGAGGCCCACTCGGGACCGGGAATTAGCGCGGATTAAAAAAAGAAGCCCGGTTGGCGCTAACGGAGCACCGCCGGGCACTGTTACACTGTGTTCATGCATACACCTGATATAGCATCCACAGTGTGAATATCCGCAGAAACATGCACCTGAAGGATTCGACGCCGGCGCGGTGGGGTGGCAGCGTAAACAAGCGAGACGAATTGCCCCTGCCGGTTCGATGCAAACTCACTTCATTCAAGCTCCAGTCCCCGTTCAAGAGCGTTGGGTCCCCGACTCCTTCAATATCCCACCATCGAACGAGTTAAACAGCTCACCAGCCGCACGTCTGTTCAGTCTGTTCAGTTCTGTCTGTCTGCGCCCCTTGACGGTGTCTGCCTGACCTGACCTGACCTGACCTGACCGTTCGGGCCCGAGCCACCAGACTTGACAAACTGGCATATTCGTCGCACTGGATGCCCCCAAAATCCGAGAACCCAAGACAAACGTAGCGGCCCCAAGATGCGTGGCATGCGTTTGGGGGCACATTTCCAGGCCGTCTTGGATAATGGACAATATCCGACATGGGAGACATGCAGCTTCCCTGGCTTTGGGGTCCTCCGTCGTCCATTGCCTGCATCAGAATCTGCAAGCGCAACATGAGGACGAGGGAGCCATGGCGCAGAAGCAGAAGGGTCGTGTTCTCGTCCAGGAACCAACAACACCTTTCTCGAATGCCTGCAACCCCAGCCAACATCGTGTGCTCAGCATTACGGTCAAGCCAGTCGAAGTCGAAGCCGGTATCAGTTCGATCAGACGATGGGCCCAAGAAGAGCAAGAAACAGTCTTCTACCCGCCTGTCTGATTCAGAACGCCTCCATCTCTCTCTATCTCTCCGTCTGCCCAAGCCCTCGCCTCCTCGGCACTTGACAGGCTCGTACTTTGCCTGCGCCTATTTCCGGGTTCTCAGATCCGCACGGACTGGTCCCGGCCGGCGCGTTCTGTCCTCGCCACGGCACAACGTTTCCAACGATCAAGAGATCTTCCCACCCCCGGCCCACGCCCCAAGCGGTGCGCGCAGCCTGCAACCGTGATACGACGGTAAGGCGTGGTCATCACGTCTGTCTTAGACTTGGACAGCCAAGCTGCCCCTCCCCCAAACCGAAAAGGCGCAACGCTGATGATGGGAGAGAAATCCCTGAAACCCGCCTGCTCCCCAATGAACATCAGCCCTATTGGCGGCCACCCCCCGGAACCACAACCACAACCACCCCTCCCTTCCTCCTCCTCCATGCCGTCCCTGCTCCGATCTAAATTGCACCTCGTCCTCCGATTCCTCGAGGCAGGATTCCTTTTTTCTCTCTTCTTCGTTCTTTTCCTTCTGCCTATTCTTCCACCAGGGCCCCGCGTCTATTCCTCCCAGAATCCCACGTCTCTTTCTTTTGGTCTCTTGGTTGTCTCTTTGTAACCGGATTTTAATTACACGGATTCCGCCGGACTCAAGCGCTTGACTGCCATCTTGAGTCTTACATCCGACTTGGGGAACGCCATCATCGACAAGGATCTTGTTGCTGGCAAAGGAAAGAAAGGGCTTTGAAAGGATTTGGAAAACGGGTGCGAAGATCACCCAAACCACCGAAACACCATGGTATCTCGCGACGTCTTCCGGCTCCCGCCCGCCGCGGCAGCTCTCGTGCTGCTCTCGAATCTCCTGACCATCGCCGACGCCGTCGCCGTGCTCCCGCAAAAAACGCAGCACCTCCCCTTCCGTGTACTCGATGTCGTAGACTGGCCTCTGCAGACGCCGATGCCATGGCTCGGAAGGAGACAGGATTCCAGCACCAACACCGTCTGCGGTTACATCGGCGGCGACCCAGGCTTCGCGGCAACATGCTCGGCCGGCTCGCACTGCGCCATGGACGCCTCCGTCTCGGCCGTCGGCTGCTGCCCGAACGGTGTCGCCTGCACGACGGGCGTCTACACCAGCTGCGTTGACCAGAACAGCCCCACCCCGTCGGCGTACGACCCGTACGTATACACCTGCCAGGGCTCCAACGTGTGCTACAAGAACACGTACGACGGCGGCGCCTACCAGTACGGATGCGGCACGAGCACCCAGGGCTTCTACGTCGCGGCCACCGCCTCGGGGCTGAGCACGACTGTCTCCATCACCCACGTCTCCGGCATCGTCACCAAGGCCGCCAGCACCGCGTCCAGCTCCAGCTCAGGCAGCTCTTCCGCGTCGAGCTCTGACTCTTCGACGACAAGTTCCTCGTCCACGACGACCACCAGCTCCAGTTCCAGCTCCTCGCCAACCTCGCAGGCGCCCAGCTCCACTTCTTCGCACCCTGCGGCAAGCGGCGGGCCTCACTCGCCGCCGACGCAGGCGCAGCAGGACGCCGCTCTCGCACGCAACGGCGGAATCATCGGAGGAACCGTCGCTGGAGCAGCCATCTTCGTCGCCATTGTGTCTGTTGCTTTCTGGATGGGCAAGCGTAAGGGCAGGAACCAGCGTGTGGGCCCCGGCCAGGGCAAGGGGCCTTCATATATCAGGTATAATATCCCATCTCGCCTCATCCCCCCCACGTTCCCACATCCCCATCCCCATCATATCATCCGATCGGAAACGCTAACCCACATTCCCAGCCCCATGACGAACCAGAAGGACTTCACCCAGGTCCCGGGTCAGGACACCATGTTCGACCAGGCCGGCTACGGGCACCCGTCCATGATGCCCGGCGCGCACGGGACCACCACGTCTATCACGGGAGGCAACGCCGCCCACAGCGGGGGCTCCGTGAAGAGTGGTGGTGCCGGCGGCGCCGTTGCATCGGGAGCGGTCCGTTCCGGAAATGGGGGAGAGGATGAGATCCCGCTGACGCACCAGAATGAAATGACGGAGTTCCTGCGCGGCTACCACGAGGCCATCTCCCGTCCCGAGGGAGATGAGGTCCGCCAGGGCAGTGCTGGAGGTAATAGCACGGCGACGGGTGCCACTGCGACCGAGTTCGGCGCGGCCCCGAACGCGAATGCTGGCGGTGGTGATATCACGGAAGAGAGGCCATTGTGGCAGCAGAACAGGAGGCAGAGCCGGAACTTGATGTGGATGTAAGATAATATGGAAAAGAACTACAGTGCATGCGGGGGAAGCAAATGGAACATGGGTTATTACAGGTACAGAATACGGTGTTTTGGAGTTGGCATATGTCTCTTAGCCAGGGACACGAAGACACTTTCTAATCAAATGATTGTCTAATCACATACATAATCGCCAATAGGTCTTGAATATGGTGACCGGCTGAACGACATTGTTCGGCCTCGGTCGCTATCGAGAGACCGGCCCGTCCAGCCCTAGTTCAGGAAAGCGAAGTCGTTTAACATGAGCGTCTCCAAAAAAGTGGGATTTAGTCGTGGTGACAATGCAGCCAAGACATTTGCAGTTGAATGAATGACTTCAGCCGGCGGGATAACGTCGCTCTTGTTGTAACCGCGAAAGCGCGAGTCGAACTCACTCCCGGCCTTCCGGGATACCATCATGAACGGATCATCAACACAACGTGAAGTACGACGATACCTTGTGAGTAAAGTATAAATGATGATCCTCGTGAGTTGGAATGATCAGGCTGTTCTCATAGCCAACTTGGACTCACTCTTGATATAACTCCCATACTACCGATATTCGCATCAGCATTCTAGGAACCGAGATGTCTTCTCCGAATCTCCATGTTGCAATCATCGGAGCAGGTACGCCAAACAACATGTCTATTATCCCGAAACAACCCACGTACTAACGAGCCCCAGGTGCAACCGGCCTCCTCCTCGCCCAAGGACTGAAAAAGGTTGCCCGTCCATCTCCACACACGGCCACGAACACAGACACACACAAAGATGCTAACCCGCGCAGGCCAACGTCCGAGTCTCCGTCTTCGAGACCCTCCCCAGACAAACCTACGAGGACAACCCGCGAACGTGGACGATGGCCCTGCACTGGTCCCGCCGCAACGTCGAGCAGTGCCTCCCGCCCGAGCTCTTCGCCGCTCTGAGCAGCGCGCACACGAACCCCTGGCACGAGCCCTCGCACGACGAGGCCCAGAGCCTGCCGGTCGTGGACGGCAAGACGGGCGAGGTGCTGGTTGCGGCGAAGGTGGACGACGGCAGACGGGTCGTGCGCAGGAAGCTGAGGGATCTGTTCCGGCGCGGGATCGATGTGAGGTTTGGGTATAAGCTGGCGGGGGTCGATACGAGTGGAGAGGGGGTCACGGCTACTTTTGAGAATGGCGAGGTGGTGCGTGTGGATGTGATTGTTGGGGCGGATGGTGGTGAGTTGCGTTTGGCTGGGTTGGGGGAATGTTGGTTGGCTGACGTGTGGTAGCGAAGAGTGTTGTGAGAGATCACCTCGTGAATGGCGATGCCAAGGAGCTGGATCGGGTCCCGTTGATTTCTACGGTATGTGATGAGGAGTATGAGATATGTGTCGAAGTTACTAACGTTAAGACAGAACATTGGATGTCGGTACACGGCGGAGCAGGCTCGATATCTCAGGAGCAAGATTCACCCGATTGCCAATGTAAGCTGTGAGAGTTGCCGTTGTAATGACCACAAAACTAACAAAAGTCGAGATGGCTGTTCATCCGGACCAAGACACTCTGTTCTTTCTCGCTGGTGGGTTCCATCTCCTGGATGATGTGTGCTTGAGCTGACTTATTACAGTGGCCGATGTTCCTGATCCCGAGGACCCGGAAACCTGGGAGTTCCAGGTCGCGCTGTCTCTTTGGAGCACTGAAGATCCTCCCGAGACAAACGAGGACAGGATGAAATATTTCAAGAAGCTCGCGGAGCCGTACTGCGAGCCGTACCGGTCTGCTGCGCTCTGGGTCCCGGATGACACATACATTCCGCGTGACAAGGTATATGATGTTCAAATCTTAACAACATATCACTGAAGTCGCTGACTGGGTGTAGTACGCAGAGTGGAAAAGAATTGCGCCATGGAAAAACTTTGGCGGGCGCGTCACCGTTGCCGGCGACGCCGCGCACCCCATGTGTCCTTGTGAGTGCGCACTCCAAGCCCGAAGACAAATTTGCTGGCTCTAACCGTGAGAACACTCCAGTCCGTGGCCAGGGCTTGAATAATGCACTGCAGGACGCCGGAAACCTGGTCAAGGCCATCACGGCCGTGAAGGAGGGCCGGCAGACTCTTGCGGCGGCGATCGACGAGTACGATGCGGAGGTGTACCAGCGAGGCAAACGGGAGATTGAGATCTCGGAGGAGTCAATGTTTGGACTCCACCACTACAGCGCGATCAAAGGATCTCCCATTGACCGCATGGGGTTGAAGGAGCAAAAGGCTTAGCCATAGCTGGTTGCTCCAATCTCGGAGCCGAAAGCCGGTGCGGGGAGCTGGCGGGGCCGTCAAGGACCCGCTGTCGGAAGAAACCCACTATCTGGGGGGCCGGACCGGAGCTGGTGCTGGGGTCTTTTCCAAAACACATGTCTGGCTCTGCGAAACCGCTCAGGCTAATGCATCTGATAAAACGGTATCTCAGGTGATGAGGTGTTACCGGCTGGTGGTGGGCAGCAGCAGCCAACCCGGTAGACCCGAACACGAGAAAAGCAATGGTATTGTGGATTATCGTTTATTGTCCGCTGCATCGACCTTGCGAGGCTCTCTTCTCGTCTCGTCTCAATAAATGCTGGGAGGCTGAACTGAGAGGCTCCTTTTGGCGATGATCTCTATCTGCTTTTGAAGCACCCCTTTTACTTTAAGGGTCCTCGGTATCTCTGTAGAAACGGCAAATTGGCCAATGGAATTCTCAATGTCCAATCACAATTAGCGAATTGAGAGGCCCTGTCCAAATAGCAGCGAGCAAGGCCCTTACCGTTCTTTATCGCTACAAACATAGGGGAAGCCACAGGGTACAGGACCTGGGGGAGGTGGGCGGTGAAGACTTTTTACACACTTCGTGGCCTCAACTGACTTGGCGAGGACGGTCTGTTGGTGGGGTGTTGTCGGGGCCCCTGGGGCTGGCAGCCACTCAGGTGCCGTTGAGACCTGTTTTTTCAGCGACCCCTGCGTGGTGGTGCCCACTCCCAGTTCGCTGGAGTGGGTACAAACGGGCGCCGCACGACGCGCAAGCCGCTTAGATTGGCTGGACTCGCTGCTCAGACAATTCCAGGAGCACAGGTTGGGACGGTGAGCCTGGGACACCAGCAGGGTAGCAGCCACCACCTCAGGGCCAGACAGACAGAGGCCCAGCACCCAGAAAGCCACCAGGGCCTGAGAGACCCCCCCCGGGCGCGGGCGCGTCTAGAATGACGGAATGAGCTCCCAGCTTAAATCTGTCCACACGGCCGGCTAGCCACAGAGGTTCACCTTCAAAACCACCACCCACCCCCTTCCCTCTGCTGAGAGCCGCATCGTGAAGAAACACTGCCCGTTTCTCACGAGTCCAACCTACGGATACTTCACCATGGCGTCCGAGAAGCTCAAGGGCGACCAGCTCGAGGGCGACATCACCTTCATCAAGACCCCTCCCCAACCCCCCGCCAAGTTCAGCACCACCGAGGACTGCGGCATCAAGACCACTGACGTGAGTTTTTTTCCCTCCCCTTTTTTCGATCCATGAGGAGAGAGAGATGTGTGGTCGCACGCATCCAATTGAGCTCAATTGGCTTCATCTGAATAACCTCCCGCTAACCACCATCCTCTCACAGTACCCCGCCATCTACAATGCGCCACTTCCTGCTGAGGGCCCCGGCCACGAGTCCTTCTCGAACTGGGTGCTCGGAGCTCTCGTCTTCGGCGTACCTTGGTGGCTCACCCGCTCCGTTGGCGGCGGCTGGAAGACCTACACCTTCTTCCTCCTGCTCTGCTTCTTCCCGGCCCTGATCGTCGTCTGGACCATCGCCTCCACCTACTCCCCGCGCATCAACGACAAGGCCAAGTTGCCCGGCCGCCCCGTCGAGCACTACATCACCTTCAAGAAGGAGGCCGACAAGCAGCGATGGAGCGGACGCAACAAGATCCCCATCAAGACCTTCTACGAAATGTACTTTGACGGCGACGTCGAGTTCAACGGCGACTGCCTCGAGATCATGGAGTACCGCCACGACTGGTGCACCTTCCAGTTCACCTGGGCCGTTCTCAAGTTCATCCTCTTCACCTTCATCCGCGACGTCGCCTTCCACTCCCGCGAGCAGGACGAGGAGCAGGTCCGCCCCACCTACGACTCCGGCAACGACCACTACGCCTGGTTCCTCGGTCCCCGCATGATCTACACCTCGGGCGTCTTCTCCGACATCACCCGCGAGGAGACCCTCGAGGAGATGCAGGACAACAAGATGGCCATCGTCTGCGAGAAGATCGACCTCAAGGAGGGCGAGACCATGCTCGACATCGGCTGCGGCTGGGGAACCCTCGCCCGCTTCGCCTCCGTCAACTACGGCGCCCACGTCACCGGAGCCACCCTCGCCCGCAACCAGGCCGCCTGGGGCAACGACGCCCTCCGCCGCGCCGGCATCCCTGAGACCCAGTCCCAGCTGCTCGTCTCCGACTACCGCGATATCCCCAAGAAGAAGTTCAACAAGATCACCCAGCTCGAGATGGGCGAGCACGTCGGCATCAAGCGCCTCACCGGTTTCTTCCGCCAGTGCTACGACATGCTCGAGGATGACGGTGCCATGTACGTCCAGCTCTCCGGCCTCCGCAGACCCTGGCAGTACGAGGACCTTATCTGGGGCACCTTCCTCAACAAGTACATCTTCCCCGGCGCCGACGCTTCCACCCCTCTCTGGTACTACATCTCTTGCCTCGAGAAGGCCGGCTGGGAGATCAAGAGCGTCGACACCGTCGGTGTTCACTACTCCGGTACTCTCTGGCGCTGGTACCGTAACTGGCTCGGCAACGCCAACGCCATCACCGCCAAGTACGGCCAGCGCTGGTACCGCATCTGGGAGCTCTTCCTCGCCTGGTCCGTCATCGCCTCGCGCCAGGGCTCCGCCACCTGCTTCCAGATGGTCGCCGTCAAGAACCTCAACGCCGTCCACCGTATCGACGGCTTCGCCTCCCAGTTCGGCCTCTCCGGCGCTCTCGCCGCCGCCAAGGCCAAGGGCAAGGCCATCCTCAAGCAATAAGCGACAGAAACGAAAGCTCTTGCATCTGCATTTGCAAACGGGGGAGCGGCAGCATATGTGTGCAGCCTTGCGTTCCATGCTTGAAAGGAATGTTCCCAACCTCTTGTTCTTCGGCGTTTGGACTCGGTGACTTGGAGTCGAAGGGCTTACATACAAAAAGGGGGCAGGGGCGGGCGGATTTTTCAAGCACACGTTTTGTCATGTTCAGGGATGAATGAGACCAGTGACTTTGTAAAAGTTTGGGGGGACGACTTGAACGCGATGTGTGGCATGGGTGTGTATCTGGTTACATAGAGCAGTGCGGCGACGCGCCGCCTCATGGGCCTTGTTGCAAGTCTACTTGGTCTCGATGCGAAATAGAATCGTTCGCATACTTGTGTTTTCATTCTTTTGTGATGTTCTCTCTTGAAATGTGCTACGCTGTCATCTTATTTGTGAACACTGATGGCTGACCTTTGAATTTATAATTATTCAATAAACATCTAAATTGAAGGTAAATTAGGTCTACATGCAGCCACAAACCTATATTCTCAATACATTAATAGGGATACTCAAAGTTGGTCGAAATCTTGATCGTCCACGGGTCGCCCTTAGTCATCGACTTCACCCTTCCCAACATAAACTCGGCATGCCTCAGCGCGACGCCCGGGTTGTACTGCGGGACCATGTGCCCGCTCAGCTTGGCGGTCGAGTGCGTGAACCCGCGCTCCGTGTGCACCACGCCCTGCACGTTGCCGCCGGCCCAGCTGATCACGTTGTCGTCGGTGTTATCAACATCCGGGAGCAGCAACTCGTCCGCCGGCTGCGTCTCGAAGCCCTGCTTGCCGTTCCACCGGATGCGCTGGATGCCGAGCGCCGTGACGTTGGGCTGGATCACATAATCGGCCTGGCCGGAGCCGACGTGCACGTTGTTGGTGCGCTCGACGAGCGTCTGGAACTTGGCCTCGTGCTCGGTGCCGTTGTAGTTGTCCTCGCCGCCGACGAAGACGGGGTCCTGGCACTCGCTCCAGGAGGGGTAGTCGACGGGCACGTGGATGGCCTTGCGCACCTCTGGGATGTTGAAGTACAGCGTCGTGTTGGGCGGGGAGTACATGACGGACGGGAAGCCGAGGACGTCCCACAGCACGGGGCAGGTGTCGAGGACGTGGTAGCCGTTGAAGCAGGGGTTGATGGCGTTGATGTAGTTGTCAAAGTGGTTCACCACATCATAGTCGGGGTCCCACTTGACGCTCTCCCAGGGAGTCGGCGGCGGGGGGTAGGCGAGGTGCTTGGCGAGGTAGGTGTCGAGCTCGCACTTGTCGTTGTCGGCGTCGAGCTGGGCCTTCATGCTCTTGGAGAAGCCGAAGACGTTCTCCCAGTAGCGGTGGAAGGCGGGGAGCGCGGCGTGGTCGAAGCCGAGGTCGTCCGAGTAGGGCATGACAGGGTCGTAGTAGAGGGCGCCCTTGACGTTGTAGTAGGCCGTGTCGTTTTTGTCGAGCATGGCGGCGCCGACGTAGGGCACGTAGATGCCGGCGTAGCTCTCGCCGGCGATGTAGAGGTTCTTGCCCTGGAGGTCGAACGTGGAGACGAAGTTCTTCCAGAAGGAGGCGAACTGGTCGGCGGTCTCGGCGTTGTTCGTGGCCGTGACGTTGCCGGAGCTGAAGCCGGTACCGATGGGGTACTCGACCCTGTGATTGTTAGCTCGCGAGACCTCAGGAGAGGAGGGCGGAGGGCGTACCAGATCACGTTGGCTAGCTTGTGCCATGACCAGGCGTTGGGGACGGGCCTGATGGTTCCGTACTGCCAGAGGAACGGGCCGTTCTCTTGCAGGAATCCTGGTAGTTGTAAGTGATGGGAATCCTCGGTATTACATCGAAATCGGCTTACCCTCCATGGATGAGCATCCCGGGCCGCCATTGAACCAGATGATGACATCGTCCTTGCCGGCGGGGTTCTCAGTCGGGAAGAACCAGAAAAAGTTCTTCTGCTGCTCGGCTTCAGGCTTCGTCGCATCGACGGGAATCAGGCCGGCATAGCTTTCGCCAACGTTGAAGTTCACCTCAGGGATCGAGGTTCCGTCAACATAGAAGCCTGCAATGGGGAGGGCATTTAGTGAGAATCAGACCGAAAGCCGGGTTGTCGAGCGTCCACTTACCACTGGTCTTGTTGTTGTAGTACTGCAAATCGCTCCGGCGCAGCGGTCCCCGCTCCTCCACCTGCGTCGGCGCTGCGGCTTGACGGTTCGCGAGACGCTGGCGGTGGGCGTGGGGTGAGACCCAGGCCGAGACGAGGGGCAGGGCGGCGAGGACGCCGGCGACGATGCTTGACGAGCGCATATTTCAAGACCCGGAATACCGTTTGAGACACGCGTGAGGCTCAAGGGAACGAAGGAGCTGCCAAGCAAGAGCCAAGGAGGGCCAAGAAATGTGCCTTGCATGCCATGGAACCAACTATATATCGAAGCATCGCACCCCACGATCGGACCGCCGGCGAATCGCTCGCAAACGGAGCCCTCCCGAATGACGCCATGGGCATTTAGAAAGAGTGGACATATCTAGCCCAAGGAGGCATGTCGTTGTTCATATTGTATTGCTGCTCATATATGATGGGCAAATGATCAATTCGTATCGACAGTGTGTAGAGTGCTGCTCCAAAGTTAACGCATGGTGATTAGCTACGGATTAGGCAGGTCAAAAGCTGAATTGCACCGCGTTACTGGATGAATTAGCTGATAAGCATGCCGAAGTGCCGAGATGAACAAGGCCCCTTTGGTGGAGCGGCTTCAGGGATGGGCTGCCGCGGTGGGATGAGACCTAAAGCTTGTTTTTTCGCCCACCCCGCACCGGGCGGGCATCCCGGACTGGCGCCGCGGTGCTATCGCCAGTCGGTGGCGCATAGTGAACCTCCGGGCCTGCCGTCTCCGGTCTGTACTTTGTCCAGAGTCTGCCCAGCTTGACGGCCGGTTTCTCGCCCCGGAGCACTTGTGGAGTCAAGTCAAGCCCTCGGACGCTCCGTGGAAGCACTGCAATCCGAATTCGCGGAGGACTCGTCGCTGTGAGCCCCGAGTCAAGAGAATTGGCTCTTTCAGCGGTTATGTTGCTTTGGTCTTAGCACTGTTTCTAAGTTAGATTGCTTCATTTACGACAGAGGGAAGAACAGTGGTGTCTGACATATCTGACATACACTTCAAAACTTCTTCGTCTCGTGCTCTACTTACCTATATGGTCATATCTGGTCGTCGTTTCAAATGCTCAAGCACTTAGGTGGTGACCGTCGGTCGCTTTGCACAATACACTATATAGTCTAAGAACGGATATTCACAAACACCTTGGTCAGCCTTTGCCAGCTAAGAATACAATTCTATAGGACTGAAGGACGCAGGCGCACGCTGAATGAGACCAACATGTTCTTCCGCCCTTTTCAGACCTGTCACATAGATCATACTCTTCTAAGAAACCGGACTAGCGGCAACGCAATACCGAACATGAGGCCAAATTCAGTGACGGGTATGAAGCCAGGTCTTCATAATCTGGTACAACAATTCACCCTACACTAGATGCTGCCATTACGTAGATTAACTGTGATACAAGCATTGGGTGAACTGCTTTACCTGTTTATGAAGGCGTGGTCTGACATAACCTAGGCTAAATACCCTGCCATGCTTTGCCGACAAACGTTACTCTTTCAAGAAAGAGTCTGAGCATGTTGACTTTGCAATGGGCCTCCAATGATAGCAACCAGGAAATCCGATAAAAGCATCGGAGGGATGGCTTGCATGGCATCAGTGGTCGTGGTCATGATGGGAATAGTGGTGGCAGGCGGTGGTGCGGTGGTGCTGCTTATCCTTGTCGTGGAGGAAGCGGGCCTCGAGCTACCAGCGCTCGTAGCTGGGATGGTGGAAGATCGTGAAGAAGTGGTGAGACTTGACAGCGTGGGAGGTATCTGAGCTGATGATCTCGTGATTTGACTTGTTGCCGTGCTGGATTCTCCGACTAGACCACTCGTCATGCTGCTAACTGGCGTGAAAGTCGTGCCGCTCGTGCTGGAGGTGGTGTTGGTGAAGCGTGGACCAGTCATTGAACTGAAGACCGGACTGTTGGTTGTACCAGGGATGACGCTCGAGCTGGTCATGGGTGAACTGCCGGTTATGGTATCCAAGCTGCTAACCCCCTGGGCACTGCTTGATGTGCTGCTCGAAAAGCTGCTCGCGGCATTGCTGGAGGCACTGGAAGTGCCAACAGAGCTCGACGTATCAGTAGAGCTTGAAATGCCAGTAGAGCTTGACGTGCCATCCTGACTGGTCGTCTGAAGTGAGTTTGAGATGTTATTTACGCTGCTTGAAGTACTCATCGACGTTGCTGGGTTAGAGTTTGAAGACGTGGAGATGCTCGTGATCGCGGATGTTGATGATGTTGTAAATGTGCTTGCTAACCCAGTGCTTGTGGAGTCCGAACTCGCGATCGTGGTACTCATCAAACTCACAGATGTTGATGACGAAATCTCCAATGTAGAAGATGTAATTGTCGAGGTCATTGTTCTGCTACTTGTCGGGGACACTGTGGTACTTGAAGGGACAGAAGAGCTTGTCGACGTCGGAACCGAGGAGCTTGATGAGCTAGACGAGGTTGTAGATATGACTGAGCTCGTCGAAGTCGTTGACGGAGTATAAGTTGATATGGAAGAAGGCCCGTAGATTGAGAAGAGCGTTGTGCCGCTAACAATTCCTCCGCATGATGCCGTTGCGGTCCGGATGCAATAGCCATCATCGTATGTCTGCGTGCCTGGGCAAGGTCGAGTGCAAGGATCCTGTTTTGGAAATTTTCTTGGTGGCGGGGAATTGATGAAGACGGGATCGGGCGAATTTAGTTTTGAGTAGTAGTAGAAGTTGTCGATTACGAGAGGAAATCGCCGGTTGTTGTTCGCACACGTCGTCTGGCAAAAGGCTGGCGTATTTGACGACGAGGTGGCCAGGAGATCCAGATTCGCAAGTCCATCTACGACCGCTTCACATCCGCTCCACACGCTCGGGGAGGACGAAAAGTCGGAAATCGATAGACAGTTACCCATCGTGCAATGAGGCCGTCGTTTGGAGAAGGGAAGTAGGCTCAGCCAAGATGGGGCAAGCCCTCTAGGGAGACTGCATCACAAAGCTGGATATTCTTCCATATATACGGGCAGGGATTGGAAACGAATGAAAGCAATCTCAGGTAGCATCAATCACAACCGCAAATCCAATGGAATACGGTTTCCTGTGTAGATCCTACATCGCAGCATGCCGATGGACCGCGATGTGTCAGTATATTGGCTAAGCTTTACCAACACCTCGCGCCAGGATTGCAGCCTCTGAGGATGTCTCAAGACACGGCATTCGCGTCTGAAACGGTCTTACGGAATTATTTAGTTGTGCTCAGATCTGTAAGAATCCAAGCCAGAGTGGCTTCAGAATGTCTAAAACATGCTGATACTCGTGAAGAAGGCCGTCTCAAATTTGTGTACGGAACTTCATGACGGCCAGCCATTTGAATCATACTAAACTTTGACTTCATACAATGTTATAAAGTGTATGTTCAATCGAGGCGCATCTCAAGTTTGCTACGATCCTTGAATGTTGGTGTAACCCTCTACCTGAATTGCCTCGTTATTTCTAAGACAAGAGAATATTCTCTACAGAAGTAAGTAAGCACTGAAAAGAGACAGTCTTCTAACGAAGAACCACGCTAACAAACATTCAAGGATTGTATTGTACACAGCTTCAGTCGACACTTGGATCAGGGCTGGAGTGTTCCGGTTCGTTGAATTATTTCGAAACAGTCAAGGAATGCTTCGCCGTTCATCGTGAATAACTCTTCCAGGGATCGGTGCAGGCACGTTTCGGCATATTACGCAAATGCCAAGGCACTGGGAGAGTGCCTCGGGCTGGGTCCAACGGAACAGGGCTGATGAAGTGGCTTCAACCAGAATGATACGGGCTGTAGCTATGGAGATTGAATCAGTGAAACATAACCAACGGGTTGATATCGGAGGCCCGATGTCGATTGTGAGACTCTTCATATTTCACTTGGTCAATAGCTAATGAGAGCGAGTGGGTTTCAACTAATACACCAATCAAGGGAGTGAGGTCTTGAAATTTCTATTCTCCAAGTAGCTTCCTAGGACATATAAAGCCATGTTACGGTTTTGGCCGATTCCCTTGATGCCGGATATCATGCCAAAGAGTTTGGCTGTTCGGGCCGAGATTTATGGCTCGCCAGGCGGATAGTGATTTCGGATGACAATACGGCAAGGACGTTGAAGAAGAAAACGATAAGAAACGCTAGAACAGCACAAATCTTTGCATGTTTGCTTGATGAAATCAGTAATTTGCCCGTTGAATAAAGCGTCCGCTCAGAGGGAAAAGTCTTACCGAACCGCAGCACCAGACAGCAGAGTCTGCTCCGGTACGTCGGTTGTGGGTCAGCCGAAGCCTTCGAGAGTCAAAGGTGTTTCCAGACTTACGCTGATAAACCACTTTTGACTCACACTCTTGACTCAAACTCTCAAGGTCATGCACAAGCGACGAAACTGCCAATTTGGCGCCCGATTGCAAGCCAAATGGGCCAATCACGCACCTTGATCACCCACTGGCAAGCCCCGACTGACCCAACCCCACCCCAGCCCCACGCACATGCTTGATCATGCACAATCTGAGCTGCTGTCTCAATAACAAGGCAAGATGGCCGAGCGGTCTAAGGCGCTAGCTTCAGGTGCTAGTCAAGTAATTGGCGTGGGTTCGAATCCCACTCTTGTCATCATCATGCGAACTTGAGCCCGCAATTCCTCTTCTTTTTGTTGATGTTGTGTTGATGTTTTTGTTCAATTGGTTTTGGTGGTGAATTGAGATTTTTGCCTGCGTCGGGTGAGGGAGAGTAAGATGTGGCGCGAGAGAGGATGTGGGGGTGGCGCAGGCCCGTGCGCCATGGGCTAACGACCTCTGCCAAGTTGCGAAGGTACGGGTGATTGGGACGACACCAACGGTCTAAGGAAGGAGTGAAAACCAAGATCAAAGAATGTTTGGGATGGTCCCGAAATCAATGGCTTGTCTAGGGAATTGTGCATATCTTCAGCGAGGTCTGCGCCGCCAGAAGGTGTTGTTAGTCACTGCTGTGGGACCCTCTTACACCAGCACGGCCTGTTTTCCTGCCTTGAGTGTTCAGTGCTCTCTTTCATCAGAGGGATAACAGTGTAGGATGGCAATAATAAGTTGTCTCTTTGAGAATCTCGAATTATGTCGGCCAGGAAAGCTATGGAACAAGGGTCATGCGGTTTATGGTATAACATCCTTAAGCTGCGTCATCTGCTTGTAGTTTCAATGTGCTGTGCCAGTGATGAAGTATTTAATTAGAAACATATTTCCTACACCTATATCCAACCTGCGGCGCTGTTCAGCATTGAATTCGAACGGATTCAAACTTGGGGTGTTTACAAGGCTTCGCGCAGCGGGTACTAAGTTGCGACGAAGTGTGCCGGCTCAGACCTATCAGCTGATTCAATTCCTCACAACATATGAATACTACATAGACGATGGAAATAACCAGGTCCGTCCTCTGCTCAATAATATGTCAACTCATCTCCGCGATGGGACATAGCTAGAACTAAACCTAGCCAGACCTAACAAATGAGTTGGGGGTCAAAACTGCCTTGTTTTTGAAGGGAGAGTGGGAAGACCTGACGGTTTGAGAGAAGCAGTCCACATACATGTCTCTGGTTTATATCAGGTTATCCATTCTGTGGTTACTACAGTTGGGGATGTTGATATTGCCAAAACATCGTAGAAGTGTCTATTTCACCCCGTGTCGGTCATACATCGTGCCAGCACTTATTAGACCTTATACGCTGTGGAAGTGTAGAAGTTTGGAGGGAGGATTGAAATAATAGAAAGCCTTCTCCATTATGGACTGATGAGATATTGCCCAAGCTCCCATAGTACGACGCATTCTTAGGCCTTTGGTTAATATAAACCTCTTTCTTCTGTATTCCCAAGTGAATGAGTACAAAAAGGAGACAAGCCGGAGCCGCTGCTAAATGTGATCGAAGACTAAGTGCCATAAGCACCTCGCTCGGGTCTTGGCATTGATTTGAGCTAACTGGGGGAAGAACAAAAGAACACGAGATTGGAACCATTCAAGTGGGACAAAGCCATGTTTAGAGATCTAGGGCAATTTATATTGATGGATGACCGCGTGAGTCAGAAATACTCTAACCTCTAGATATGAGTATTATACTATGCAAATTAGCATGCACAAGTCTCGTTTTCACTTGAGGGCATCGGCGATTCCTCCACAGGTTCCGCATGTGGTCAGAAGGAAAATCACATCACGCAACCCTGAAACGCAACGTCCTGCCAAAAGGCATGACGGTTAAGGTGCTAGAAAATTTGACTGATTCTGTATCGTCGTCGTCCTTCGTCATCCGCGTTCCTTGCCGTATACGACGTATGTAGTGAGGTATGCGCATGTGCCACAGCTTACAGGGAAAGGATCCAGTTGGACATAGTAAACATCATATTTTTTTAGAAAATGGACGATGTTCTCATAGGTTTCAGTGTTTTAACCCTAGTGCGTAGATCACCAACAAGAAATGATTTGCCGTGCTTCATGCAATGTATTTTATACCATGATGACAGTCCAAGATGAGAATCATTGGCAATTAACCTGCCTTTCTTGGAATTTGCGAAGTTTCGTGCCATGTCAAAGCTATGAAGACTGTATCCGCCATCGTTTGTTTGCACTTGGTCCTGTCGTTCAGGCGCAACAGCCTCGCCAGATGCTTACCTCAAAATAGCTGCTTTTATTGCAGAAAAGCAGATCCTGAGATTGGCCAGGGTAAGCAGTCTTGCCCTATTACTCTAGCAGATGAAAGAATCATTCTTCTTCCTCTTCCCGTAATCCCAGCTCCTCAACCAGATACCTGAAAGTGCGGTTGCCCCCGCAGTCTTCCTCAGTTAAGCCCCTCAACTCTGCTAGGCGCTTATATGGAGATTTATTCGGCCAGCCGTATACCTTGGACAAACCCACCAGGTAATTTGAGGTGGTCGCGCCGCGGTCGACAAGCCACTTGACCAAATCTCGGCTGTTGCACATCACAGCGCGCGAGATCTAAGAAGAATCAATCAGCCTAGTTTCTTTTTTTTCCAGTGAGCTAATCATTGATTTATTACCAGAGAGCCATGTCCAGGAATGCCACTGTCACCGGGGTGGTTAATATCATGCCCGAGCTCGAGGAAGATTGTCATTGTGTCGTAATGCTCCTGCCTGACTTTACCAATGCCGTAGCGGGGGTAGACAGACTCTAGAGGGAGAAGCAAGGCAGGCGCATCCCAGTCTTGGTGATTACGAAATTTCGCATGCGCATCGGCCCCAGCAGCAATCAAAACGCGCACCATCTCCGGCGAAGATCTCAACGCAGCGTAGTGGAGGGCGGTGTATGATTCCATTTGCTGCAAACATCTCGTTTCCAAATCGACCCGGAGAGCGAGGAGAAAGCCGACAATGTCAAGGTGGCCCGCGCTGACGGCAGCTTGCAGAGGAGTTTTCCAATCAGTCCAAGTGTACTCGTGCAGAGCGCTGATGTTGAGGTTTGGCCGCTCGGTAAGCAATATCTTTAGACCCTCCAGATTGCCGGCTTCACAAGCGTCGTAAAACGCGGCTCGGCCGGCTAGATACGTGGCGTCTTCTTGCATCTCGTCTTCCGATGCCATCGTGATATTATTTGGAGAAAGTGTCGAGAAATTGGTCTGCGGACTTGCACGATGCCCATGGGGGGACCTCTTATTAACACAACTTAAGTAATTTCACAACACCGAGGTTTCTGCCTAAAGTGCCAAGCAACAGACAATGACAGTGTCAGGGTTGGAAGTGTTGGCTCCAGGCACCAACCGGATATCTCCACATACATAAGACGTGTTGCGACCTCGATGTGGACCAGCAACAGACAGACTGACCAGGGTGCAACTCCGGCGGTGACTATACCGCCAAATAGTCACAGAACGACCCGGTTCAAAGATGAAAACGAACAATCTGTCACCATGTCACCAGGAACCCTTCACTTCTGCTTATCAGAAACGTCTCTGTTGCAATGGGTGTCCCGGGAAACTTGACAGCTGACGATCGGAAACATTCTGTTCACAACTTCACGGATGCCTCATTGTGAAGATCTCTCTACCTCCCATCTACGTTACGTCGTTTTCGAGTGCTTTGGCGATGTCTTCGAATTCGTTGAGTACTATACTGGTCATTTTGATGGGATGTATGAAGTTTTCGTCAGAAAGGCACAACCACGAAGCACCTATTAACGTCTCTCTGCTGGCGAAGGTGAATAGGGTATAAAACCGGCCTTCCGCCATAGTTGATGTGCCAGCAATGGCCAATATGTCCGCGTCGAGTTCGACAGAAAGGCGGAGAAAGAAAACCCACCACGATGTCTCGAGTCTCGCTATTTCGTGGTCTCCATGCCATGGGCGTTTGACACGTACATGCGACGCAGATCCGAATCAACACGAGGAATAGTCCACCAAACATGACGGCCGCGGATGACGCTACCTCAGAGGTCGGGTATGAGAATTCGCATCTTATTGGATCTTGAGGCAGCAAAGCAATGTACACCTAGCCATCGACACCAATCCTACTGCCAACCTTTCAGGAACATCAAAGTACTCAGCTTACCACATCAAGAATCTTGTTCGCAACGTAAATTTAATCTAACATTATTGACGCCTCATCAGACAAAAACCAAAGGTTCGAGAGTGAGCCATCATTCGTTCGCACGCCGCCAAAGCCGCGGCAGCCACCAACGGGATATGACCATGTCATCATTGGTCTAAACCCACGTGGGGAGCCAGACAGCCGCTGCAGTTCTTCTAAAGGGGGGTGTTGTGTGTGTGTGTGATCTATCTACAATTCCATTCCGTTTCGTTGCGTCGTCCCAATTGCATCGCCCCTTTTTATCAGTTTGCTCCCCGTCCCCTACGACTACTACTACTACGACTACTAACGCCTCGTCGCCAATTTGGAAGCCATAAACGGGGAACTATATATAACCCCTATACTGCTTCTCCAAAAAAAGAACCCCCTAGTCCCGAGTGCCTCAGCTTTTCGGCCACAGACAGGAGGCATGCATGCGAGATGCATTAACAGTGCTGTTTACGCAGATTCCGCATTCTAGCGCCAGCCAATGGCAACTGCGGCTGAAGCGGATTCACCATCGACGGCAACGCCGACCTGTCCTCACCACTCCACCCATCCGCAGTGTCTTCCTACTGACCGGCGGCATTGGCGAGTTCGTTGAGTTTGCCACGCTCCTCCTCGGTCAGCATGCCGTACCACTCCTGAAAGTTGGCCACGTCTTCCCGAGCGGCGCGCATGAAGAACTCGGTGAGGTAGGCTTGCGTTTCGTCGTCGCGCTGGCGGGCGCCTGAGCCCTCAATGTAGGACATGAGGTCGTTCTTAACACCGCCCAGGCTAAGGTCGAGTGTCTCGGGCTCGTCCTCCCAACCGTCGTCGTCGTTCTCTTCGTCAGCGAACTCGGCCGCAGCGGCGACGGCAGCGGCGTTGGCAGCAGCGTTGGCACCTGATGCGGAGAGAAGTTCCTCAATGAGGACCTTGAGGATCTTGAGGGAGGCGGGGATGACGGTGTATTGGTCCGGGTCTTGAACGTCAGCACCTCTGGTTAAGCGTTGCGGTTCTGCAGTACTTACTGGCCTTGGCGCGCGAGCGCGTCATAATTCTACCGTCACTCTGGTTGATAATCATGTCGCCCTTAACCATAGTCTGGGCAAGACGGGGATCATTAAGAGAGTAAAGCTTCGACAATGCGATAACGCTACTCAAGTCAGTTTTGCACACCAGAGAAGTCTTAGTCAACTTACTTTTGGCGAATCTCATCGTAGCCGGCGAAGCTGACGGAGTTCTCAAGCCATTTGCTCAGTACAACCTGGAGGCCAGTGTTGCCGTGAATCTGAATCTGGCTGAGGAACTCGACAACGTCGTGGGCGCCAACGAGAGACAAACGCGCAAAGACGAGGATCAGGGACTGGATGAAGGGAGCAGCCTCGGCGGAAGCCAGTCTCGTGGCTACAGCCTGGAGAAGCTGAGGCAGGAAGGGACCAAGACGCTCCTGTCCGGCCTTCTCGACGAGCTCTGCCGCGAGACCTCCGACCTCGGAGGCGGAGTTGTCCTCGATGGAAGGCCCAAGCAGACGGTCGATGATGTGAAGGCAGACCTCCAGACCGGAGCGGCCGCTCTCATCATGCCAGCCGAACACTTGGTGGTGGTCGTGCATGAGAAGGTACTTGACAGACTCGGCACCAGGGCGGAGGACCTCTCCCTCGTTAGACTCCATCAGGAGGCGGTTGAGTTTGGGGAGAGTGGCGGCTACGAAGCCGGCGGGGAGGGGCTCAGAGCCGTGCTCAACGAGCGCAGTAAGCAGCTCAGTGGCAACGGTCACGAGAGGATCATCCTGAGTTACGTTGGCCGTGTTAAAAGCCGCCGTCAACGTGGGAAGAATCTTCGCGCACAGAGCGGTGTATGAGGTGGTGTCAGAGAGAGTGCGGACAATCTCCTCAAAGGCTTCGCAGATAAGCATGGTGGCCTGGAAATTGGAGGCGCCGAGCTTCGCGACCATGAACAGGAGGTCAACAGAGGGAACGTCTTGAGAAAGAGCGATGCGGGTATCGATGTTGATGGCGGAGCGCAGAGACTCGGCAAGGGTGACGAGCAGCTCATCTGCGTCCTCCATCTCCTCAGGGTCCTTGTTCTGCATGTACTGAGCAATGGCGTTGATGATTGGAACCTGACGGTCTCCGCCGACTCGGCCGGATCTGACGAAGCCTTCCACAGCCTTGATGCACGCAACCTGGACGACCTCGGACTCCTCAGAAGTGATGCATTGGATGATGCGGTCGAGGAGGGCAGGGGGCGTCGCGAATCCGCGGGCAAGGGTGCCTCCAACGAGATAACCACGAGCTCTCAGCAGGGGCTGCTCGGATTGGTTTACGGCGAAGTCAACCAGGCCAAGATACGCCTCTGAAACAGCATCCGGAATGGGCTTCTCCATATCTTGGAAATCGCTCATCAGCATATTGAACAGGTACAGAGAAGCTTCTTGACTCCTCCACTGGGAACCATCGCCAGGGAACAGAGTCTTTGTGTAACCGAAGAGTCCCTCCACTGCCTTCTCGCTGTACCACTCGCCAAGCTTGATGAGAAGGTCGCCGGACGCCGTGCGGGCGGTGTAGTTAGCAGTGACGGAGGTCTCCTCGGCCAGGTACAGGGAGCAGTCGATATCCCATAGCTCCTCCTCTTCACGGCTGATGCGAGAGTATCCGACAACCATCTTCATGACCTCGACCATCCAGGGGGTCTCTTGCGCAGATGGGTGGGCGGCCAACTGAGCCTCGAGCTCAGCTTGGACCGGAGGCGCGCGGAAGCACTGGTTGAGGAAGTCAAGCTCCTCCAAGATCAAGAAATCGAGGGTGTATGGCAGGCTGTCGGAGTCCTCGAGACGGCCCTGGGCCTCATGTCCAATGTAGAGGTCCTCGTGGGGCTTCTGCAGCAGAGAGAGCTCCTCCCACACGGCTGTGAACAGACTGGTGCTGTGCGGCAGCAATAGGTGAGGGAAGACAGACTTGACCTTGAGAAGGGTCTTGACAACCTGCAGCTTCATGGCAATGATGTGGTTCCAGCTTTCGGGCTGGCCGCTAGCGAGCTCGGCCGGGGCTTCGGGCAGACGGGTCTTGAGGACCTGGGCGAAGAAGGGATACCATTCCTTGAGGGCCTCCTCGGCAAAGGACTTGACCTCCTTCATGTGGTCCTCCTTGACGATATCCATGAGGTCGAAGCACGAGCGGAAGACAGAGATGGCGAGAGCGCGGAGGTTGGGTTTCCGGCCCTCGTTCAGGGCAACCTCGGTGACGGCCTTGACAATATCACGGGCCATGGTGAAGAATTGGTCCTCGCTCAGGCTCTCATCAATAATGTCGCCAAGAACGCGGAGGGCGCCGTGGAGCTGGACGTCGGTGCTCGTGGGGATGACGCCCAGGACGGTGGGCAGGAGTTGAGGCCATCGTTCGGGGAAGTCGGCTGACGCGATCTTGCCAATAGCATAGCTAGACGTTGGAACAATGTCAGTGACTTGTGCCTTTTGTGTGTGGTGCTATGTTTCCGCGCGCGCAATTTCATGACGAGACCGCCGCGCAGAGGGACTGTGACTCTTTGTAGATACCGCAACAGCCATACCTTGCCGCAATCTTGACGAGTCTCTTGTCCTCATTGCTCAGGGCAATCTCCAGCAGGGTGTTGCGCAGCTGGTCGCGCGCGGCGTCGGAGATGTCGACGAGGGGCTCGGAGGCGTCTCTGTCTTCGGGGCTCCAGTTCCTCTCGATGAAGAGGCGGAGGGTGCTGAGGGCGGCCTGGCGGATGGCGGTGTCGATGGAGGCGTGGTTGGCGATGTTGGCCAGGGAGGTAGGGAAAGCCGGGTTCGCGCGCGCATGCTTGAGCTCTATCTCGGCCTGCTGGCGGGGACCCTGATCGGAGCTCTGGGTGTTCGCCAGCAGCGAAACCAGCTGGTCCTCCATGGTGGGCTGGGGTGTTTTGTCGGAAGGCGACACTCACGCAGGCCTATCTGTCGTGTCGATGTGTGAGGGTCTGGGATATGTATCCGGTCGGTCGCGTGTTTGCTCTCGACCCGAATCGGTATGCGTCCCGCTTGTTGGGGTGCCCTTATGCGCCACTCGGTGTGGTGGTGGTGGTGTGGTGTCTATCGTGTTGGTGGGTGTTGCCGCAGGAGGAGAGAGCAACCCAAGAAACAAAACGAAACGAAACCAATTAACTACCTTGCACCAGCACAGGTCCACGGATAGTGCGCAAGGAAAGTCGGCCCGGAACCACCTAGGCAGGATGGACAGGACTACGTGGGTGCCTCAACCTAACGAAGGAAGCGGTCGGGTAGAAAGTGGGTTGGGTATGCGTGGTGCGGATGAGTGTGCGTCTGCGTTAGTAGTATGTTTATGGGCAAAGGTTGTGTGTGTGCGTGGTGCCGTCGTCTCTGGTGATGTTTCTCTCGGGCAATCGTCTTTTTTGGCGGGGTGGTTAACCGTTTAGACGCGCAGGTGGAGCCAACGAGGTGCCACAACCAACTCTCTCACAGGCCAGCAAAGTTGGCTTGTTTCCACTTGTTTACTATGGACAGCGCGCGCAACGAGGAGGGGACACCACGAGTCCTCGACTGGAGAGGAGGGGTCGGCCGGCAATTTTTCAGGTGGCAGGTGCACCGCCTTCCTCCCACTACTACATCACCTCTGTGAATCAGGTCCCCAATCCAGTGCAAGTTGAAGGAGTAGCCCCTCACTTGGGTACACTACTCCGCCTTAGGTCAGCACCACCAAAGCAGGCACCGACGGGCACGGGCCGCAACACGGTTGGAGCAAACCCTCCTTTTCTTCATAAGGGTAGCGCGGGGTCGTCCGTTGGGGCCCTGGCGGTGTGGTGGTGTGTCTGTGTTTGTGTAGCTAAGTAGCTGTAGCTCCCTTGCTCCCCCATGCACTTCCAAGGGGAGGGAAAAAAAAAAAGATGCAACGACCAGAGACATGGAGCTAGCATGTGGTCCGCCTCTTCACCGTCTATTAATGTCCGACTCTATCTGTTATTAGCATGCCCATCGCTTGATGTTAGCCGCAAGCCACGGATAATATCCGCTGAGCACGACCACCCAAATATCCAAAGAGATCGCCTGGTTTCCTCCTGTATCTGCGCGGCTATGTTTCCTCTGTGTTTGGTGCATTCCCTGCTCCGGGTATGTCCTAGCCTGTGATTATCGGATCGAGACAGAATCCCATGTTTTTTTTTTCTAATACTTTTCATTTGGACTTGCGTCATGCCTATCGGTTTTTGCTATCTATTGGGTATCGTCGTCTCTCGTTACCATCGTCTCTAATTACCATCGTCTTTCGTCACCTTCTTCCTTCATCACCGTCTTCCTTCATAACCGTCGTCTCTCGTCGCCGTCGTCCTCAATCCATTTGTCGCCGTCCACCTGTATCCTCGTCCTGCTCCTCTTGAGGGGCGTATAGATGGAGATCAGCACCTCCCCAAAGTCTATGAAGACGGGAAGCTAGCCACTGGATAGCGAGTAGGTCCCAATTGGGAAGTAGACTTTTGTCTTCGGCCCAGATTGTAACAATCTGGCCATCGTCAAGAGCGGTGCCATTATCGGCGAAGAACTCCTCATCGTGATCTTGCGCTTCCCACATTTCGCGAGGGTCGGCGTCTGTTGCGTCAGGGCTGTCATTGATACCTCCCAGGTTGGTTTTCTTCAACCAATGGGAGCCAGTTTCCAGTCCGTAGATTTGCTTCAGTTTGCCCGCGTGCCTGCCGTCCTTGGTATTCTTGGTATCCTTCGTCTCCTTCGACTCCTTGGTGTCCTTGCTGCTGCCTGCGGCTCTTCCCAAGTTGCTTTCTTTGCCCGGCTTCATCGCGACCCATTTGTCCACGTAGCGTAGGGGTTCAAGACCGAATTTGCCTTCGTTCCACATCTTGCGCAAGGAAGGGCTCATCGTGACCATGTTGGCAGGCGAGTCAAGGAGATCATGTGCGCCAGGTTCCAGCAAAGCGCACAGTTTGCCGTGAAAGTCGTCGCCCAAGATGGCTCGAAGGGGTCCCAGAACCTTGTACTGGATTTCGAGTCGCCGGGAGAGGCTCCAGGCAGGGACAATGCGACAAACTTGGTAGATCTGCTTGAGGGTCAGAACGCATCTGAAGCCGTCGCGCTTGAGAGCCTTCAAGCATGTTAGCAAGCTGACAACGCCAGAATCGCAAAGGCTACGCACCAAATCTCTCTGCGTGGGATTTCCAGCCCAGGTTTCCTCTTCGTATGGCAATGTGGTTTCATGAGCTGCAACTTGTCAGTCATACGTGATGCGCGTGAACGACGATGTCGGATAACTTACACCACCAACCCAGGTACTTTAGTCCATCACCACCCACAGACTGCAGAAGCGAGTAGAGCACATCTCGCTTCTCGCGTCTGCCTCCAATACTCAGTTTGTCTTTGAACTTGAGCAAGAGGTCGAAGTCCATCGTCAACATCGACGCCTACAAACGCGCAGATCGTAGGGTGCGTTTGTCGGACTTGTACATGGGGATGAAGTCCTCGTGGGTATCGATGGTGTTGTGAATAGCTCTCATCGCGTCAAGGCGGTCTTCCATGTTCGCTTTGGCGTCGTCGAGATAATCCTGACCTCTCGTTCTGCGTTCAACTCGGGCATCGAAGTTGCGCTTGTAGGCCGCAAGTTCTCGGGGTGTGACACGGGTTTCTGGATCGCTATTTCGGAGTTTGGCCTCCAGTCTGGCCACAAGATCCTTGATTTCATCCTCACTGATGACAGACGCCGAGTTGGCATTCATCGTGAGTGTTGGGTGACGTTTCTGAACGCCTTTAACTTTTTCCAGGGTGAAAGGAAGTCAATACTGTGAAGGTCGAGGATAAGAGAAGGTACGGCGGTAGGTCTAAAAGTCCGTACTGTGAGTACCTAGAAGCAGGGTACCTAGCAAGGTCCGCACTAGGGTGTCCTGTCAAAGTCTCTGTGTTTGCGCGATGATGAAGGACGACTACCCAGAAACAACGACGGAGACGAAGACGGAGAAGAGAAGAAGACGATAACAGAGATGGCAATCGTGGAAGCCCCCCCCCTCCGCGGGAGAAAAAAAAAAAAAAAACAAGAAGGTGAAGCAGCGACAGCACGAAAGCGGCAAAGGCAGGAGCCCATGAACAAGCTCACAAGAGAAAAGTAGTTGCTCTTCTCAGCAGGAAAACAAAGGGCCTTCACCCGAAAACCACGAGCAAGGCAGGACACACCAAACAGCATAGCAAATCACACGGGTCACGGCCCATCATTAAACTCACATCTCAATTCATCCACCGTATACACATTCCACATGCTATCCGTCAGCATATCTATCCATCAATCCATACAAGACCCCGCCATCCATCTATCCACCCACATCCCGTCCATCCAAGTCAACCAAGCCAGCCCAATTCCAAACCCGTCCATGTCAGTGTCGGGTCTGCTTACTGCCCACCTGCCTGCCCAGGCCCGACCGAAGAAAAAAAGGACCCAATTCTACTCCCGGAGTCTCGACCCAAGGTGAAGGTGCCAGGTCGTGCGAAATGAAAGAGACAAGCCAGGAAATCAAACCATGGTAGTAGTTGCAAAAAAGTAGTTAGTAGTACACCCCCAAGCCCTAGACTCGCTCGCAACGCATATTCCCCGAAAAAAAACGCCACAAGAGCATACCGACAGATTTTGGCCTGGCTTTAATCCCACACCGTTTTTTCTCCAAGGTGACTAGGCGTCGGCCCCCTTCATCAGAGTCCGAAGGCTGACAATCTCCCGCTTCAGCCGCGCGTTTTCCTTCTTGACCCGCGCCGTCTCCTCGCTGTGCTCACGCAGGCTCCGGAGGAGATCCTCCTTGTCCTCGCGGCCCTTGCCCTTCAGCGCCTTGACAATCTTGCCGAGCTCACTGTTGAACTTTTCGTACATGAGCTCGTTCTCTGCCGTCGCCTCCCTGTAGAGCTGGTCGATACTCTTGACTTTGGTCTCCGACGCCTTGAGCGTGCTCTCCATATCGCGTTGTATGGATGTTTGCCGCTCGGTGAGCTCAGTCATCATGTTCGGGATCCGCTCTTCGAGGGTCTTTACCGAGTCCGTCAACTTGCGCAAGTCCAACGTATCGGTGCGCCCGCCGAGACCCGAGTTGACCCGTGACATTTCCTCGGCAATCTTGGAGAGCTCCGACTTGAGCGACGCATCGACATCTTCAACGGCCTTCTTCTCCGTCTGCAACCGCTCCCGTAGCTTTTGTGGTGACTGAAGGCGAAGCTTCCCGGTTCCTGGTGGCTTCCCGGGACTGGTGGATGGTCGCGGGATGGCATCGCTCGAGTGGCTGCCTGTTGTCGGACGGGCAGGCCTAAGTGTGGGAATATTCGACGTTGAAAGGCCTCTTCCGTGCCCCTTAGGCGTGCGGCTTGGCGTGTTCTCGCGGTCGAGAACTCCAGGGGTGTGAGGCGTGCGGGGAGTGTGGAGGATCTGGAGTGGATCTGGTGACGCGGCGTTTTCCTTCAAACGTGGCGAGATCATGCGAGGAGACCGGAGACTCGAGGACGTTGGGCTTATTGGTATCCTTGAGGGCGACGGTATCCTTGGTGTTGAGTTGAACTTCTCTGAAGTCTGCTTGTTGATGCGTAGCGGCATCAACGCCTCCTCTATTTTCTCTTGTGGGTCAACAATCGTTGCTGCTTCCATCAAACTCCTGAGATCAGAGAGCGAGCTGCGGCGCTTCTTCTTGGATGACTTGGTGGGAGGCGTCTCAACTTCCGGCTCGCCAATCGTTTCTAAGCGCATATCGAGTCGCTGGGAGCTGGGTGGTCGAGGGTCTTCATCGAATGCGCCAGCTATTGGCGGTCTATCGCGAGAGCCGGGCCGCCGAAGTTTATTGGGACCAGGCTGCGTGCCAGTGCCAGAGTCGATGGACCTTGCGCGCGCAGACGTCATCTTGGACAGACTAGAACTTGAGGCTGCATCGGCAGACGCAGGGTGACGGCCATGTTTGCTAAGGGTTCGCCATACGGATGGCCGCTCTGAGTCGTTCTTGCTGTTTTGTCGCAGAAGGGTGTCGAAGCCAAATTTGCGGCGGATCGAAGATGTGTTTGAGGTGAGTGAGCCTGTATGCGACTTTCCGCTTCGAGAGTTCATAGACTCGAAGGCTTGCTGAACGGTGAGATGGATACCGCCGGGTTCATCAAAGATCCTGTCGCAATCCTCCACCAGGCGATCCAGAAGGTTGATGTAGTTTTGCGCCGTGCCATCATGAACCAAAAGCTCTGCAAAAGAAACGGTCAAAATGCCCCGGTCGCCGTCGTTACCGCAACCGTCGAGCAAATCGGCAAGGAGCTTGATGAGAGCCGTGAAAGCTCGCTGGTTCTGGGGTGCCATATCCTTGAACATGAAATTGACAAAGTCAGCAAAGTTGCCAGGCACCTGTCGGTTCATGCGCTCCAGCAACGTATCCAGAGCCTGCTTCGTCATGATGGGGCCCATTTGCTCGCACCAAGCGATGCGAATGAACTTCTCAAAGGCCACAAATATGACGTCCGCTCCCAGCTCTGATGAGGCGTCGAGGTCGAAGGGGCTTTCAATCAGACGGTTGTAGAGATCGTTGACAGAAAGCTCATCCGCGACGGATCGATTCAGCAACATGCGTCCGACGATGCTACCCTTGCGATTTTGCAGGCTGGCAACATATCCCGTAAATGTCTGCTCTAGCCGCACTAACGGGTTTTCAGGACGATCGTCGCCTGCCATCTTGATGCCATCCTTGCCCCTGGCTGAGCCAAACACGGACCCTTGATCGCTATTTGCACGAGAGACGGGCGGCGGCGGGAAAAGATTCGTAACGGGTGTGCGGTTGTGCTTGGGTGGGCTGTGTGCCTCGGTATTCGTAGAGCCGCCCCAGATGCTTGAGAATAATCCCTTGACAGGTGACGAGGCAAGGAAAGATCTGGTCTTCTCCGCTCTGGTCATTAGAGGCAGTCCCTTGAGGATTTTAGTGTAGTATGAGACCAGGGCAGGCGCCAAGCGGAGATTCGATGCGTTGAACTGCAAGCTGAGTAGTTGTATGACTGGGAACAAGGTCAATGAAATTCCTTCAAAGAGCATCAAGAAAACCTACCCCGTCGTGTGAGCGTTGGCAAAAAGTCGTCCAACGCCACATCGTCGGCAAATTGTCTGCCGTTCAAGCCAGCAGTCTGCATGTTCACCTTCTTCAGGTCACCGCTTCTAACGTTGACCGTAATTTCCACACCGTAATGGCCAATGGGTGCTCCTTTGGTACCCTTCTCGTGGTCGATGACGATGCGGATCGGCGCCGGCTCTCTGCGTCCTTCGATCAACTGATCTGCGCCCTCTTGGAAAACGGCGGCGAAAACTCCGAGATTATTGTCTGGCAGCCTAAAAGATCGAAGAGACCAGCTTGGGTCCTCGCGCTCCTTTTCCGAAAATCGACCTTCGACTCGCGCTTTGACGATATCCTCTGTCCATTTCGATCCCTTCGCCTCGAAGCTTTCCTCGAGCAAGAAGCACCGTGACGTTACAGCGGTGCCAGTAACCCATTCTCCAGCATGCGCTCCCTTCATTTCTTGTGTCGAGGTCATCCAAATGAGCGTGCCATCTGCGGATTCGCTGAAGCGTACGTCGGAAAGGCTGTGCCAGCCGGTGAAGGCGAGTTCGTATGATGCCTGACCACCTGCAGCATTGGTCATGGACATTAAGAGTCCCGCGGCCGACGGTTTGTCAATCTCACGAAGGAGGTCTCGTCCACACATCGGCTTCGGGCCCAGCTTCTTCAAGATGACAAGACAATCTGAAAACAGGAGAAAGATGCCAGCACGCTCCGACATTTGGGGTGGGTCAAGTAGCCGGTAGGGTGCGGGGAGCTCAACAAAGTCTGCCGCAAGCACCAATCTTCCCACCGGCTCAAGATCCAAAGGCCAACTCTCAACCAGGTTTCGTAGGCGACCCGTTACGTGTGGTTTTTCGGGTACAGGGTCGTCCATTGAGCAAATATTCGTGATGATGTCTCGCGCCTTGAGCATCGGCTGGAGCGCAGGATGTGTCATTGGGAGACACTGGACGATCTGGTCAATGAGCAAGCTGTATCGAGGGAGACGCTGCACAGGCTCGATGAGTATGGAGCGGACCGTTTGCTCGCCCTTCTGGATGACCCGTTGTCGGAAGCTCGACTGCTCATCGAGGAATGAGTTGAGCAGAGTGGGGAAATGCTGACTTGCCCGGATGTAGTCCTGGTAGCAATCTGTAAACTTGGGGAACCACTCGAGAAATATTCTCGCAATCGCCAATGCGCCGCTGGGGTCCTTTGCTTTTGAAGGTGATCCCAGTCTGGATCCCGTAAGCGCAACTGTGGTCGTCTCCATGTCCTTCAGCGCCTCGTCCTCAGTGTCGTCCATGATCTTGCGCAGCTCCTGCATGAACGCGGAGTTGACCTGCAGAATCTTATCTGCTGATACGGGAAATAATTTCTCGAGCTCATCTTCGGATGGGCTCAGGCTGCTTGCGTCGCGTTGTCTCGCTGACTGTCTGAACTCGTCGGCAATGTGCTTGACCAACTCGTTCAGCTTCAGGACGTATCTCTCCTCGGTGTCCACCAGCTCTCCAAGCTTCATCCTCAGCTCCACCTTTTGGTCCTTGGAGAACGACTTGCTGCGATTCAGCGAAGTCGGCTTTGACGGCGCTCTCCGTAACCTCGATGTCGGCAAGAAGACAGACTCTCCAAGAAGCTTCACCAGCGACGAATACCCTCCATACTGTCGCAGCGTTGGGTCAAGAATGTCGTCCTCGTCCTCGGGCACCTCCTCCAAGTCCTCCGGTTGTAGCGGCACTATGGAACCGGGCGGCAGGACAAAATCGATGTCGACATTGCTAAGGTGCTGGGTCTGGAGGGCCGTCTGCAGGGTCTCGAGCACCTCGACCGTGTTCTCGCTCTTGATCATGTTCTTGGCCAGGTCGGCGGCATGTTGCTCTCCAAACAGGGCGGGCCCACTCCCTGGCCGGCGCCCCCTCGTGGTCGGGTATGTGTTTTTGAGGTGATTCTTGACGACCTCGGGCAGCTCCTGGAAGTATTTGTACAGACCGAAGGCGAGGCCTCGGTAGATCTCGTCGCCCTGCCATTCTCGGGGGAGGTGGTTGACGACGGCGTAGAAGGGGGAGTTGGGCTGGATGGTCAGGCGCGGGAAGGATTGGAAGCCGGCGGGGCTGTAGACGTGGATCTGGACGCGGGAGCTGTTGAGAGTGTAGTTTGCGGTGGTGGAGTGGCCGTGGAAGATGAGGACGGGCAGGTGGCCGAGGAGGGGGTCGGCAGCGTGGTAGAGGGTGAGGTGCTCGGCGGACAGAGCCAGCTCTTCCGTGACACGAACCATTGTCGGGGGCTGCTGCTGCTGCTGCTGTTGGCGATGGGCAGTCGGTCGTTCGGTCGATCGGTCGGTCGCGTGGTCTCGTCAATGGGCCAGGGTCATTGCTGACGGGGCGGGCATACAAATCACACAAAAGGGAGAGAGCAAAGACGTTGAACGAGTGTGACTATGCGTATGTAGGTGTCGATCGCGTCGGGCGCAATTGTCGTCGCTAGAGCGAGTGGCGGTCGGGATGAGTCGCAGCCGGGGGCGAGAGCGGCGACAGCGGCAGCGATAAGATCGCGATGCGACAAGCGAGGTGGGACAGCACCAGCAAATCGTAGAGTAGAGTAGACTTCAAGAGACAGAAAAAAAAAGTAATTGGGGACAAAAAGAGTGTGATGAAGAGGCGGCGAGTGCCAGTCTGGTTAGCGCGTCAAGGTCAGCAAGAAGCAAGACTCGAAACTGCCCGGAGAAAGATGATGTTGTGTCGGTGTGAGTTGGCTGGCGTTGAGCTTGGCCGGGGTCGAGTCGAGTCGAGTCGAGTTGAAGGTCGTCGGGTCGCAGGTGCGGTGCGGTGCTGCTACTGCTGCTGCTGCTGCCCACCTCACCTCTCTCTGTGTGTGTTGTGACGGTGGTGCTGTGGGTGGAGGAAGCCGGGTGATGGTGGAGACTTCTCTGGGCGACAACCACCACGACCTCAGCTACGGTCGCAGTCTGCTCAGTTCCTTAGCCCGCTCTAGCCTAAGGTAGCGTGCCTATCTATCGCAACGATAGTCGCTGGGTAGCCTGTCCGTGGGCTGTCGTCTGTCGCCGTGCCAGAGGTGTCAGTTCAAGTGCAGTGGTCAGTCTGCAGATTGAGAGGTGGTTGGTCCGTGGGGCGTGTTGTTGTTTGTTTACCGAGAGCTTTTGGTGGTTGCGTTGCTGCAACTGCAAAGTCCAAGCCCAGATGCAATGTTAAAGTGAAGGGTCCAGAGAGCAAGGTACCACAATGACAGGCAAACCCTGCTCACGTCTTCCTTTCTGTTGTTGATGTTTCTTTGTTGACCGAGATGCCATGCAGTGAAACAGGAAACAACGCCTTATTCTTTTTCGCTTCTTCCCAGGCACCTTATCTTAGTACGGATACTGCCCTCCCTTTGCTCCTCTTCACCGACTCTCCCATGCAACGACAAGTCCGAGCCAAAAGAGATGGCGATGGGGAAAGTGGGAAAAGAATGACGACAAAGAGTACAAACAGGGCAATTGGGACGGCCAGGTAGTGTACCGGGGGGGCTGGGAGAAATAAGCGACCCGATTAACGCCTCACTGATTGCGGCCCAGACCTTTTTCCTCCCTCCTCCCCTGTTGTCTGTGTTGTTTCCGACTTTCGCTCGTTTCTCACCAGTACTAAGCTATTACTGCGCGTGCGAGAGACAACAAGCGGACACGCGACTCGATGATGGCCAGTCGACTGGAAAATTAGACAAAATTGACTGCCCGACTGTGCGAGCCGCGATAAACCTATTGACGGGGGTATGCTGTACTATGCCGTCGCCTAGGTAGGGAGCCTGGGTAGAGGAGAATTTTCACCAGCGGCTGCTCTGAGTGGTGTTGGTGCAAATGGGATGCAGCTGCAGGAAGCAACACTACCACCACCACCGCAGCGCAGGTTCGGTCGGTCCAGACCAATCGATTGCCAGCCGTCACACCATGAAAGATCCTCTCACTTCACCGACGCCCCAAAGCTAAACGACGCCAGAATCAGATCTCACGATGTATTCATTCACTCAAGGCAATCCATACATTGAGACACCCAATGATGCCAAACGTAAACAACAAGACCAACCTGAAAGACCAGAAACGTGACCCGCTCTCAACCAGCAACAGCCGCGCAGCCTTAAACAAGGAACTCGGCCCTAAAAAAAGCTCACCTGGCCCGTGCACCGCTGCGATCCCCTCCTGCTTGGGAGAATGGGAGGAGCTTCCCGCCGCATCCAATCTCTGATCCCCAATCTCGTCCCACAATCCCTGCCCGCCTTCAGGTCTGTTCCCTGTCCCCAAATCCAGACTTTTCCCCGCACCCAATTAGACGAAATCTGATTCGACTTCAAACGGAGCACAGCGCTGAAGGGGAAAAGGCAGCAGCAGAAAAAAAAAAACCGACCACCACGGTAACCAGCAACCACCGACCGTCACACAGACATCCCACCCAAAAATCCACACCACAAATCCACCCAGCATTCCCACCGCGCAACACGTGTATCCCCCTCACTGAAAGACAGAGGGATGCGGATAGACACCAGATCTTGAGTCAAACCAACACGTGTAAATCACCCACACCCGCTAAACCAAACCCAAACAAACCCCGAAAAAAAAAGAGGCAGCAGTCAAGTCTCAGAGCGAGACAAACAACCAACACAAAAAAAAAAACATGGCTAGCCAGGACCCCGGCATACCACTAACCCATGCCCCGGATGGCCGTGGCTACAAGCTCATGGAACTGCCCCCCGAGCTCGAGGCCCTGCTCGCTGCCGACGATGCTCCGGTGTAAGTCGTCATTCAACCCCCTCCCCGTCCCCGTCTCGCCTCCGCCCATCACCCGCGCCGCTGAGCCGCATCACGGACGTCAAGCTCATCTACGGCACAGCATCACGCTCAAGTCGACAGACACAAACGCCCTCCTGAAAACCCCAGACAAGACGTACAAGCTCCTCCAGAAAAATACGTCAAACTCCCTCATCCTCCTCACGCCCCATTCCTCCGCACCATCCACCGAAGATATCCCCACCTCCGGTCTCGCCGCCATTGCCACCATCCACGAAACCATCGAGCTTGTCGCCCAGACGGACCCTCAACCCATCTCTAACCTCAAAAACACTGGTAGCAGGGGCAAATGGCATGAAAAGTTTGGAAGAGGGCGGTAGCTCCGCATGCATCACCATCGTACTTCACATACGCAGCAGATATGTTACTTCTTAAAGCGCTGTATTAATACCAAATCGGCTGTCGTCTCGTCGAGGACTACTTGATTATACTCGTAAACAAGATACCCCCAAACGCCCTTCCAAAACGCCTTCAAGGCAACTGTATCAACAATGCAAGTCCAAAGGATCAAGTTGCCAACGCCATGCGTGAATGCTCTCGCTCCTCAGCTCAAAGTATGAGACCAAACCTCCAAGAGTGCGCAACAGCGAGCCATCTGCTTCCTTCCAAGGAAAGACATCAGATGATTTCGTCTGATGATCTTCGCCTCAGCCCCATCAATCTTCTTATATGAACGAGATGAGCAAATCCGTATACCAGTCTCAGAACGTACGGCAGCAAGGGACCTAGTCGAGCTCCAGGGGGTTATCTCTAGTTCTCCCGAGCTCGGATGCATCCCTTGGTTGCTGAACCACATAGTTCACCGGATTCCCATAAGCATTGTTGCCAAAGTTCATGCCACCTGGCACAGGAGGGTTGTTCGCCTCGGCACCGAACAGTGACAGCGGATAGGAGTGGTCAATATTGGCGGGTTGCTGAGCCATGAGTCCCAATTCGAAGCCAATATCGAGTTCGAATGGATCGAGTCCCCCGCCAAATGGCGGCATATTCAGTTGATTCCAGTTGTTGTTGGCGACGGCATCAGGAACCCCGAAAAGACCATTCACCGCCTGCGGAGCGGCTCTGGCCGCTGCGTTCGGTACCTGCCTTCCAGTATTGTGTCCGTCACGATGTGGCCGAACCACATGGTGTTGCGCGAGTGGCTGTCTCTGCTGGGCAGACTGGTTACCATTGTTGCCAGCCTGAAACTGATACGCTGCTGGGGGAATCGGCTCTGGGAAAAGCGGTTGCTGAATCGGCAAAGGCAACTTTGACGGATACCTAGGAACCACAGGATTGTAGGGCGCCGCAATTTGTGGACCACCGGCCGCAAGATTCTGAGCTCCGGGCAGTGCATTTGCTCCGTGTTGTAGAGCCATCGCTTGCTGTATTGCCGGCTGGGCTGGTCTGGCCAGGCGAACCGGCTTGGGCTGCTCAGGAGGCTGAGCCTGCGATGGGTTTTGCGCGATGGGTTGATGAAGACCTAACCGATTGTTCCAGGCGGCCTGCTCACCGGCAATTACAGCCTGGATTCTTTGCTCAGCAGCTAGTGCGTCTGGATCCAGATGCAGTCTCATAGCTTCTCCGACCTGGTCGACACCTGCGTGCCGACGCTGGACTACTTGCGGACCTCGTTCAATGTGTGCCATACTTCGGGTTTTCTTCTCCCCCTTCGTGACATGCTCAGACATGTTGAACTTGAGAAGCCCTTCGTTCAACTTGGGCTTGGCTGCTAAGACCTTCTGGCGGGCTTCCTCCTCGGCCTGCCGAACTTCTTTCTCGTGGCGAACCTCGGTCTGTTCGAAGAGGGGGCAGTTTCCCTTCTTTCCCCCTCTGGCAGCGTCGTCAAAGTGATCGTATGCGCAAGATTTAGAGCAAACATAGCACTGCACATTTCTGCACCCTGGCCTGGTGCAAGTCATCTTGTTGCAGCCTTCCTCTTTAATAAAAGGAGTGCCGCCTGCATAAATTATCAGCAATCAGCTCTCGCGGCTACGTCTCTTGGGACACCTACATTTGTTGCATTTGCGGATCAAGGCCTCAGACATGGCCTCCTCGATTTTGCGCCGCTCCGATATTCCGTTTTCGGCTGCGGCCTCCTCACATGTCCGGGGAACATGTGTCTCTTCTTTACATAGGCGGCAGCTGACGATCTCGCATTCAGGGTTGGCACACCTGAACTCTTTGTCCTCCTCGACTGGAGGGCAGTCGGCGGCGTATGGACAGAACGGACATGCTGAGAGATTCTCGAAGCCTTGGGCTTGTAGAGCTGCTTCAAATCCTATGCGGTCGAGCGCTGCTTGCAGCTTGTCGTCGAGGAAGATCGCCCGCTGGGAATGAGAGAAATCATGGCTGCAGCCGTCCATTGACATACAGTTGAGTTGAAATCTCGCGAGTCCAATCGCTGTCTCAGCGCACTTTCGCGCGCAAGCGAAGCAGAAATACTAATGCAAAGTCAGGTCTGCAAGCTTCCACAAGAAGTGTATGGTGTCCACTCACGTGCTCAGCGTCCGGGTTGTCGCAGTGAACCATGCGGTTCAGCGGTCGTTCGTCGAAGCAGCAGCCACATTCAGCAATAGTCCCTTCTTCCTGGGCTTGCTTGAAGTTGTTTTCTTCCTCGAGAACTTTGGCCCTTGCCGAGTTCCGCCTGGACTGTTCTGCTTCGCATACCTGCCGAGCAGCCCGTAGTTCCTCGAGAGCTCTTGTCCTGTCAGGAGTTGTTGAGTCGCGAATAGTCCCATCTAAATTCGCCGGCTCAAGCTCCGGATTAGGTGGCGTTCTGGTTTTCTTGAAATCGAAGCGCGCTTTAGTTTTGCCTGATTTCCAGTCGCGGGTGATCTCATCCAAAGCGAGATATGTCTGCATCAGACAATTATTGTGCTCTGCTAGTAGTTTCGTGATACTCTTGATAGTAGCTCGCGGGAAGTCTTGGGAGAGCACTTTCTTCCTGCATCGGTCATTAGCACCGGATCTTCCTACGTCGACCAGTTTGAATGCCATGGTTTTGGGTGCACCGGATTGGGTTCCAAAGGGGTTCACTTAAGAACTTACGAGATACTAATGTAGATTTGTGCTCTCTCCGGAGGACGATTGGCGAAGTCGTAAAGTTGTCGTACCTTGGAAACCTCATCCTTTTCGGCCGGAGACTCGCGTTTGCGCTTGAGACTTTTTGGGCGGGCTTTCTTAGGATATGAGGAAGCGCCTAGAATCTCCTCAATGATTTTGTCGACATCGTAAAGAAGCTCCGTTGCTGTCTTCTCGAAGTACTCGGGGCAGATATCCGGGAAAACGGCAAAGATCTGAGCTGCGCAGTCGCTCTTGATGTTGGCCTCGATGTCTGCCATCTGTGGATAACTGCGAGGCTTTGGTTGGTTCGCTTTTACGGGACCATTGGCTTCTGGTACGGTCGAAAGCTCGTCCTGTCCAGGGGGAGGATGTTCACCGATTGTTGGCTCTGCGAGCACTGGCCTCTGAGCTAGATTCGGGGACTGAGGGCGCGGTTCAGCAGGTTTGGCAACACGGTGAGTGCGTCGAAGGGCAGGCGAACGACGAAGGGTGCGAGCAGACTCGATATCGGCGACATAAGAGCGCAGATGCGCAACCCGGCCAAACAAGCCGTTCTTCTCTACGCGGCCTGGAGGAACCGGTGGTGGCTGTAATGGGGGAGGCGGGTGATCTGGGGGTGGAAGAGGTTCAACGGCGGACGACCAATCCGGAGAAGCAGGACGCGGAGACACCGGTTGAGGCTGAATTTGGGATCGTGGTCGTTCGTGCCGTTTGGACTGTCGCCGCAAATTTGGCTCGAGATCTTTGCTCTGTGGACGGTCAGCGTCTGCCTCGCCCTTCATAGGCCGGCTTGATCCCAGTCCCATGGTGCTAATAATGAGATACAACTTCTGAGGTATTGAAGCTGGAGAAGGGCTCACACACGTAGCAAGCGAACAGGGATGTCGAAGGGGTGTTTATGAGTAGAGGGGATGTCGCTGGTGGCGTGGAGACGGCCGCAAGAAACAATATTCGGGAGGGGTTGATGGGAAAGATACTTCTGCGTTGGGGCGCATGACAAAAATGCGATGTTCAACCCTTTGCGCCTTTCAATATTTGTAAGGTGGATGTATGACAGCGCCATCGACGCCATGGCCGAGCAAGAAGGTTCGGACCCTAAGTGGGACGTTCACGCCAGGGAGAAAATGACGGTGATATTGAAGAAAACAAAAGTTGCCAACTTACCTGGACGGGGAAGTCGTCGAAAAGGCAGGCGAGAGAGAGCCTGATATCTTGGCGGTGATGAAGACTCGGAGAAAAGCCAGAGGGGAGGTCGGTCTCGAGATGGATATGGCAGGTCGAAGGTCGCGCTGGTGAGACGACTCAGGTGGTCAAACGAACGGAGAGAAATATCAACGGCGGCTCAAGTGAATGGACGTCGATGGAATGACGGCGGTCAACTCGTTGTTGCGAAGAAGTATACCTGATATCAAAGGCGAGGTCGTGAGGGAACAAACAGAGAACGAACGGAGGCAGCTGCGGAGACAAAAAGGTGAGCCAAGGCAACTTTGCGGGACGGTTGTGGCTTCCTCAGGCGAGTCCAAGTCGTTGAGGTCCCAGGGCAGCGCAAGGCAACTCAAGGCGATCGCGAGTGAAGTTGAATGAGGAGTGCGCCGGTGTTCCCTTTGCGATGAAGACTTTAGAAAGCGCGGGTGGAAGGAAGGACTTTGGGCCCGACAAACGAAAATCGACCTTGGGAAGTAGGTATGTGTCTTGGAAAATAACCTGCTGCCGAGTACTAGGCAAGAATTACGGCAGGAATAATGATTCACAGTCCGGCGCCCCGATTGTAGTCCTCTCTTTCAGCCTCTCCCTACCTTAAGGTAAGGACCGCGAGGCTCCAACTCCGTCTCCCGGTCGCCTCGAAACAAACAAAAAAGTATTGGCCCGTTCCTGGAGATGCACGCGGCCTCGATGCTTCGTTCGATCTGCAGCTGGCTCGTCGATTACCAGAGATGTCAGGTTACATACGGCGACCAAGTTTCTTATTGTTTATTTAAATCGCAGATGCGCAACGGCCGAAATGCGCATCCGGATCGCGGGCGGGAATATGAGGTGATGTTGGAAAAGGAAAAAAAAAAAAGAGGGTTAGATGGGCCGGTGGATCGTCGAATATGCCCTGGGAATTTGGGAACGCGAACGTTCTGAGCACCCTGGACGCCCTAGTGCCGCCTATCCATGGGTCTTTGCCGGGGAGGGCCCTGGGCGACCGAACACGCTGCAACTGGGCTGGGTGGTGCGGAGGAGGCCTCGATTGGAGAAAGGCCTGTTGCCTTTGACACCCATGATCGTCGAATGGATATCTGACTAACATCGATACAATCCAGATCCAATTCTACATGTATTGAATCCATACCAGCCGCCTGCGATGCGCTCTCAAAGCACGGAAATCATTTCGACATGATGGCATGACAGACGTTGCCTCTTGCCCAGCTTGTGCCAGCTTTATCATCTCTCCCAGCTTAGGCTACAGGTGATAAATCCGCAATGACTTCATCAACCAAGTATCTGGGTTAGGCGATTCACAGCGCAGCAAGGGCATGGCACCACCCTGGCATGTCATCTTCATGTCTCAAATTATCACCTGCCACAAATCCGTATGGGCACTCTCGACGTCGTAAATCAATCCTACTGCTGCCCCCCGTAAGCCAACGCATTTCAGCATAATCATATCGGGAGCGGCGGCTTTCTATTGGCGACAACGAACGGCATGTCTCGTTCTATGCACACCCAGCCAAACTGGGCATGGGAAATTCGAATGGTAGCACGAAACGGCTGCCTTCACTTCCTCATTGCGTAATATTTGCAAGCTTATATGGATTCTCTGAAGAGCTGCGCGCCCCAATGCCAGCTGTGCTCATCATCCATCCCGTGCGCTCCTAGATTCTTGCTCGTAAAAGATACACTGCGTCCGAGCTGTGTCACACATAGTCGTCGTCCGAATCTTGGAAATCTTCATCTTCGTCGTCGTCTTCCTCGCTTTCGGAAACAACCTTCCGTCTGCGCCTGGTCGATCTTCTGGTCGCAGCTTTCGTTGCTTTCTTCGCCCGTGGTTTGGCCTTCACAGGCGCGGGGAGAGGTTCTGGCTCTGGCTCTGGCTCTGAAGCCTCCTCAGCGACGTCCTCCACGCCTTCCGCGCTTTCCGCGATAGGTTGATCCTCACCACCGTGATCCACAACCAGTGCATCGTCCATGTTCTCGTCGCCATCTTCGTCGTCGACGACTGGAAAGAATCCTGACGTAAACCGCTTGGGCTCGGCCTCTTCTTCTTCGTGTCCTTCGGCAAAGAAGCCGCCTGCTTCCTCCTCATCATGTCCTTCAGGGAAAAAGCCGCCCGCCATCTCTTCATCTCGCACCCGCATTGCCTCTGCATCCACTTTAGTTGACTCGTCCTGGTCTTCCTTAGCTTCCTTACTCCCGCCATGCTTCTGGAAAACAGGAACGCTGTCATCGACATGGCCGTAATCCTGCCGAATGCGCTCGACAATGCGTAACCCTTTGATAAACTTGCTCCAAAGTCGCAACGCCTCTTTGCGCCGTTTCTCGTCCTCCTTGCGTGCTCGCTCAGCTTCGTCTTTGCGGATCTCTTCCATAACCTGGTCGTGGTATTCCTCCGCAATGACCACACCTTGAATGACGGGAACCGCCATTCGGTTTCCAAATTCAAAGTCCACCACAGCTTCTGCGTAGTCGATGCCAAGCCTCTTGCAAACCTTGACGGCCCCTCGGAAAGGGACGTGGACAGCACCTTCGGGACACATGTGCTCGGCGAAAAGATCGATATTGCTAGATATTGTCAGCAACGCATTTCGTAGACATAGAGAGCCACATACCCATAATCGTTCTTCGGGATGATGCCGTCCTTGATAGGCGGCGGGATGATCCAGTCCGTCTGTTCAAGACTGTACAATCCCTGAAGAACCTTCTCGCCGCTGATGGCTTCCGCCTCCGCGATTTCTCGGCGTCTGTTGGTTGTCGCGGCGCGGTACGGCACTCGCTTGAGGGGCAGTTCACCAGGCTTCGGTGCTCTGCCTTGCTTGTGCCACGTCTCTGCGCTCTTGACATTGACGACGTCCTTTCTCGAGAAAACTGGCTCTTCCGATATATCCCCGCCTTTGCCTTTGTTTTTGAAAGTCTTGACAGGTTTTGACCCAGGTAAGAGTGCTTCTTCGCGCTTGAGATGCCGCTCCAGACAAAACTCCTTCGACTGCTTGTAATAAGCTAGGGTTTCACTGCCCTCCTTAACCTCCTTCTTCTCGGGTTGGGCCGGAGTCAAGTCAGTTGTGTTCTCGGCCTCGTCCTCCTCTGTAAGGGGGTGTTTTCGACTACCCCTAACGAATCCTTGCATGGCAGACTTGAACCAGTCGAAATGGTCATGTCGCTTTACCTTGCCATGGCGATTGTAAACAGGTACTTTCTCCAAAGGCATTCTAGCTCCCTTCGTCCTTCCCGGCCACAATTGTTTTCTGAGATAACGAACGGTAACGTCCTTTGCTGTTCCATCCTGGGAGAAGCCGACAACGTACGCCATTACCTCCTTGGCCTTGTCTGCCTTGCCTCCGCGGGGCTCCAGAGACTCAATCAGCTCTCGGTTGGTACCAATGATATTCTTGACGATCGGGTCGACCGGCAGATATTTCTTCGTGACCGGTGACATGACTTCCGTCCAATAATGTGGAAACTCTAGGTCGTTGTCAAACTTCTTGGATGGAGCCGATTTCCGAGGGGTTACTTCCAATTCTATAATCGAATCGTCGTCGCTGTCAGGATGCTCTAAACCAAGTTCATCATCTGTATCAGGCACCTCGATGACGGTCTTTTTCTGACTTGCGCGTCTCGAACTTGTCGTTTTGGATGGAGTCGCTTTCTTGGGTGCTGTTTTCGTTCCTTTCTTCGTGCCCTTTTTCGTCTTTTCACTTTCTTGACTCTTCTCGTCGCTGCTCTTAGATGTCGACACTCCAGGCCTGTCCTTTTCAGGGTCAGCTTCCTCCCCCTTCGTCCATCCAAAACCAAGTGGCTGCAAGTTTGCAACCATTCGGGCCTCGAGTCCCAGGGCCCTCATAAGAGCCGTGAAGAGCTGAGATCCTACGTCTCGGCTTCCTGTGCAGTTCTGGGCGCATCGGCGGAAGTCCTCCAAGCCGCAGACCCTTTCCCCGAACCGATCTTGGTCGTGATCCTCGCTCTCCCACGCCTTTCTCAGTCTGCCAACTCTTTCAGGGTGCATGTAGCCCCACTTCCGGATCCCAGGTGCTGTGATACGGAACCGTTGCCTCCACCACGCCACCAGCGACTTCATAAG